CTCCAAACTCACTGTCAGATCACATGTCTGTGGCCACAGCATGAACCACAAAAATCATACATCCGCTGTTTCGTTTAGAATATTTTTTTTCTTGTTTTCCTCCTCTAAAAACTACGTGCGTGTTATGGTCGGGTGCGTGTTATAGAGCGAAAAATACAGTATACAGCAGCTTGTAGATCAAACCCATGCCATGCAAAGCGGCTATGTATGCTGTTGGGATAAAAGTTCATTTAAACAATTTAAAAGGTGTTTGCATGAAAATTACTCCACCACTGAACCAGAAGAGACTGGGTTGTCTTAAACAAAACTAACCCTTATTCATAGAACATAATGCAGTAAAATGCTCCCACGTATTGAGGCAGTCACATGATCAGCTTAACATGGCAGAATCAAAGGACACTGTGATCTTGTGTTTATGGAATGGCATAAAAATATTGAAAATAAAGTAAACTTATGTCAACTTCAGCATATTAAAAATGGTTATTCATATTATTTTGTGCCAGATTTCTGGGCATATTCCACAAATAGCTTCAAAAATAATTTGAACAAGTTTGTGTTTGGAGTTTTTACTGCAACGTATAAGATTCCCCACCAGATTGGCCCATGACAGCCTCAAGGATTTGAGCTGGTGGGCAAGCAGGTGCTGTATTTATCTCTGGGCTGAAAACTGCACTTAAGTGATGCAGAGTCCCTTGAGTCCTGTGATACACCCTCGGATCCTGACTCTTTGGGTAACCATTCTAGTGAAGCCTCTGTATTGACATCACTCCTGTGCCTTGTATCTTTTCAAGGTTCCTCTTCAACCCTTCTGCCTGCTCAGATGAACATCTGATGCAGTTCAAGTTCCTGGGCATTCTGATGGGTGTGGCCATTCGTACCAAGAAGCCTTTAGATCTTCATTTGGCTCCCATGGTCTGGAAGCAATTGTGCTGTATCCCACTCACTCTGGAGGACTTGGAGGAGGTGGATCTTCTCTATGTGCAAACCCTCAACAGCATTCTTCACATTGAAGACAGTGGGATTACGGAAGAGAATTTCCATGAGGTAAGATAAGCAGTAAGCCTCTGTCCAACTGTTTCCGCCTCCTGAAGTCAGCATGCTAGGTGCTGCCATGCAAGATCATGGCCCTGGAGTTGAAAGTCATATACTTAGTTTGGGGGCACTTTTAGAATGAGAAGTAAAAAGAATGCATAGTTGAAATCTAGGCTAAGGTGGAAATCAGTTCATGCGTAGTAGTGAAATGATAAAATATGGACATTTTGGAAGGTTGGCCACAACTCCAGTGTTAAAAGTGTTCTTCTTTCCAATTAGATGATTCCTTTAGATTCATTTGTTGGCCAGAGTGCTGATGGAAAAATGGTTCCCATAATCCCTGGTGGGAACAGTATCCCACTTACTTTTTCAAACCGAAAGGAGTACGTGGAAAGGGCCATCGAGTACAGACTCCATGAAATTGACCGTCAGGTGAGAATCTCAGATGTATTTATAAGGTTTTCATTTATTTCAATAGCTGTTCATAATTTAAAAATTTCCCTAGTTTTGTGACTGCTTTCTATTATGAAGACTTTTGTGTTGTCACTTTGCTGCATCCAGGGGTCCAGTGGCTTCATAGGTTTGCCCTCTGAAAATTTATAGTCAAATAGGTTCTCATCTGGATGCATCCGGAATATAGTTTTGAAAAATATTTTTAAATGATACAGTAGAGTGGAGAAAGAGATTTAGCAAGATACCTCACGGTTAGTCCAATCTGTGCTGCTGGCGTATGCAAGCTCTTAAGTTCCACATCAAGACTAGTTCTTCCTGTCAGTGAGCTCTTTGAAGCTCAAAAGCATACTATATGAAATTAACAACAACAGCAACAACACACTATGCTACTTCATTAACGTTACTTGAGCCAACCAAAAGTGTTTTTAGTCTATGATTGCAAGAATATAGTTCTCTCTTAGGGAAGTACTCCATAAAACCTGTTTCTTACCAAACACATGCGGAACTCAGTGCATATCCTTTTTCAGAATATCACTTGATCATTGACAGTGAATCTAGTGTTGCTGTTTTTCTCAAGTAGTATGTACGTACATACATAATTCTATTTATATGCCACCTTTACACTGTTCAAACCATGCTCAAGGCAGCTTACAACTTGAAATACATAGCTGCAACATAAGTCAAAAAGAAATATTAAAAAATAGACAACCAAACTGAACAACTTGCACACAAATCACAAAAAGATCTAAAATAGATACAACCCCCCCCCAAAAGCTAGAACAGCAAAAAAAGGGGGCGAGCCTTTTAACAACACTGCAGTAGTTGCACACAAGGTCACACCATTTCTGGCCTAGCATTCCCTTTTTGAAGATTTATTTTAGTTACATTAGCTACCAGCTACGTGTCCCAAAATGTGTTTTCACTGACTGTGCTTCGGATTGTGTAGCTGCAAAGTAGAGATCTGTGTGCCGCTACTGAAATCCATCTCTCTGGGCTGCAGGTGGCTGCAGTGCGAGAAGGGATGTCGTGGATCGTCCCGGTCCCCTTGCTTTCTCTTCTGACTGCTAAGCAGTTGGAGCAGATGGTCTGCGGAATGCCAGAAATTTCTGTGGAAGTTCTGAAGAAGGTTGTACGGTACAGGGAGGTTGATGAGCAGCACCAGCTGGTTCAGTGGTTCTGGCACACCCTGGAAGAGTTTTCGAATGAGGAGCGTGTCCTTTTCATGAGGTTTGTGTCAGGAAGATCTCGCCTGCCAGCTAACACAGCGGATATCTCTCAGCGTTTCCAAATAATGAAGGTCGATCGGGTAAGGTCCCACTTTTCCTCCTCTTTATTGCTGTCCTGCCTCAGTCTGGCAACAGAAAGCTAGTAATCACTGGACACTGAAACTTTTGAACAAGTAATATTGAAACTGAAGGTAGCCTACTAGATCTGGCCCCACTGACTTAGAATGTTTATGTAAATGCTAATCTGGAACTGACAAAGCCTGTGCAGGGGAGTGAAGAACTTCCTCTAGATCAGGGTCAGGGAACCTGCGGTCCTTCGGATGTTGTCTGTCTCCACCGCCCCGAGCTACTGGCCATACTGACTGCGGCTGCTGGGACTTGGAGCCCAGCAACATTTGGGAGGCCCTCACAGGTTCCCTCCTCCTTGCTGCAGATGAAGGCATTCAATTCTCGCTTGAAACAAGGCTCCCTTGGGAAAAACCAGTTGTGGTGAAGCACAACTAGATGGGGCAACGTGCCAAACTTAGCTATTCAAAGGACTAATGAAGTTGCCCAGCAGAGGAATGGGGCAGCAAACACCAGCCCACAAGGAAGGTTGGACTTGGGAGCTCTTTTTTTTAAGTGGCAGAGCCCCTATTGGTTCCATTGGGATTTTTTCCTCCTGTGTTCTGTTTGTGGAACCACTGGGGAGGTGAGAGATGTGTGGTGTGGTGAAAGGCCTCTGATGGGGATCTACAGAATGTGTGTGTGTGGGGGGGTGTCTTTCCCGTCATCCTATCACAATGACAGCTAGTTGTTTTTAAATCTTCTTTTCTAGCCTGTATAGGATGGATCTTGATCTCTCCATAGAATAGAAAGTGATCTTTAGAAGCTGGGCTGTAGGCATCTCTCTTAGGGTGTATTTTTTTGAAATGGGGGAGAGGTAGTACAAATCATAATGCCAGTTTGGAAATCCCACACTCAACATTTCCCACCCCCCCAATGAGTTTCAGGCTGGCTCGTAGTATCTTGGTCCCCCCCCCCCCCCATTCCTCTGCCAGCTTCCATCCTCCAGTACGTATTGCAAAGTGAGGGAGTTGGGAGGAAAGGATGTGAGGCAGATACCTGCCTGAGCTGTCCCTGCATTGCCAATGCAAACTCGGAGAAGGGTGGTTTTTAGAAGTGAACACTGGATTCGGAGAATCTTGAGCAGAAGAATCCCGAGCTTTGGGGTTGTTCAAGGGAAGGTATTTCCCCCCTTGAATATTAATATCAATATCAACAACAACAATACCATTAACACCAGGAAGAATAAAAAATATTGGGTCCCCAAAGTTTCTGTCAGCAGTGGAGGATCCAAGTATGTTTGGAAGTCTTCATTGCACAAAACTGGAAATACAGTGTTACTTGCTATTTCCTTTCACCTTGCCACTTGTTATTATTGGGAAAGAGGGACCTTGGAGCCTGCCTGGCTGGGCCTTTCTGACTCTTAAGAGGGTTCTTAAAAAAACAAACAGCCTAGACTGCTCTCTCTACAAGTGTGAACAGACCCAGCCCTAAAGTGTGCTGCTTCCTTTTCTGCTTAACCATCTTCTTCCTTTCTCTTCCTCTCCACAGCCTTACGACAGCTTGCCTACCTCACAGACTTGTTTCTTTCAACTGAGGCTCCCACCCTATTCCAGTCAGCTAATCATGGCCGAGCGTTTGCGCTATGCAATCAACAATTGCAGGTCTATAGATATGGACAATTACATGCTGTCCCGAAACGTGGACAACGCTGAGGGCTCAGACACAGATTATTAACTCTGTGGACAAAAATCATCTGCCTTTTTCGCCCATGTCAGATTTCAATGTTGACACCATTTTATGGTAACAATAGATGTTTTAGGAACATAAACAGCTGCCACCTTTTTAGTTACTCTAAATGTAACAAAACTTAGATGTGTTTATTTTTTTGTGACTGTAAACAAAAAAAAATGCAAAAAGTGAGATCAGTAAGGGTTTTCTCCCCCTCCGCCTCCCCCCATATTTTTGTTCACTTTTGATAAGTTTGCATGGAGCCTTTCTTGTGCATTTTTGTTGGGAATGGTACATTTTGTAAACCCTCCCAGTGAACATGAAGAGTTGTACATTGTGTATAATTGTTCATTAGAAAGGACAGTTTTACATGAATATTCATATATTTATTTTTGTTTTAATTTGAAATGCCTGTCCAGGGTTCCTTATGCAGAGAAAATAAAGCAAATTCAAGAACTGAATTGTGGTTTTGTCAATATTTGACATGGTGCTGACCCAGAACCGTGGCTTGCCATTTGGGTCTCCAGTTTGTCGTAAGAAGTCTTTAAAAACTAATCTTCCACAGTATATTAATTTCCTTAAATGAGGCTGACAGCTGAAACCGGGATGGAGGCTTCTGTAATCTGGCACAGGAAAAACTACAGGACTTCCAATGAGAGCTGGAACATCAAAACAGGACATGTGCGTTGTTCGCTCACTTTTGTCTATGGCTCAACAATTAGTCCTAATTGTGCAGCTGTGGATGTAATGCTACTTTTTGTTGCAGTCCCAGAGGAGTGGTAATCTGAGAGGGCTTCCAAAGAAAGGTAGTATAAAAGTAGAGAGTAGTGAAGAATTGCAGTTAATAGATTTACATCATTTGCACCGAGAGACACGGTAGACTTTAAGCCATTGTAAGGTAGCAATTTCCTTTGTCAGTTTTTGAGGTATTTTTGAGATTCCAGTAAATAAAGCAGCTGTGACCCTCCAACTCACACCAGCCCAAGGCACTATAGTAATGGTCAGGGAAGAGCTTGGTGTCAAACAGCTGGAGGGACCCAGTTGTTCCCTGCCCAAATGGAGGAAAAAATGCATTCTCACAACATCAAAAGCGGGTTCTTTCTGGATCTTACTAAGTAATCTTAAAAAATAAAAAAAAGCACAAAAGCCAAAGCACTTTATGAAACTGAACACTTAATGTTCCCAAACCATCAGGAACTGTTCCACACACCCCACACCCCACTTCAAATTCCTCTGACTCTGCAAACTTTTCAGTCAGCTGTGAGGTTGCTAGTTCTGAGTACCTAACTCCAGGGCTTTGCCATTCTCACAATTTAGTGAGTTTGTGCATGAGAACAGCTAGGTGCCTGTATGTGCATGGTCACCATCTCACAACAGAAAGAGCACAGAGCCCGGCAGCTTCTCTCTTGGCTTAGTGCCACAGCAGCTTCTTGAACGCTCTTTCTGCAGGCGAGTTGCTGCCTGGCTTTTTGTCTGGGATCATGTCTGCACTTCTCTCTGCTTTTAGAGAGAGCAATGGCCGATTTTTACGGACTTGCTGCAAACCAGCCTCAGTTATATTCCTGCAGAAGTCCACATGTAAAATTTCTAAAGATGTAGCATAGAAGATTACAGCTTCCAAAGTCCGGTCAGTTATCTGGACACAGTTTTCAAGTTGGAGTGTGTTCAGACAGGAGCAGCTCATCAGAAGCAGTGTGATACAGTCATCTGTGACATGGCCACATCCAGACAGCATCAAAGACAGCAAGTTTGGGCATCTGAAAGAATGAATGCTATAGGTTAGCAAAGTAAAACGTAAGCCACACAGTGCTAAAGTCCTCTACCCCTCACTCCACTGAAGCCAATTCAAACTCTGGCCCATATCTATATGAAGCAGAAAACATAGCACTATTTCAAATGAGACTTTATACTGACCATGTTCTCTAGGAGCAAACAGCCCATAGAATACAGTAATAAATTGCATTAACAATGACCATTAATTTCCCTCTAACGTACAACTTCCCTGTTTAGGGAAGTTTTTAAGACATGATTGGAAGCCGGCCAGAGTGGCCGGGGAAACTCAGCCAGATGGGCGGGGTATAAATAATTTTATTATTATTTATTATTATTATTATTACAAAACCCTCTCCAAACCATGTATGTATAGCTATGGATATAACTTAGGATAATGCTTCAAGCATCTAATCAAGTGGACTTTCTAATTCCAGGGTGGCTAATTTGGGAGCTTCAGTTTGGCTATGATGATGATGATGATGATGATAATTTTTTATTTATACTAACAGCTAGAGAGCCATGAATTCCCTTTCCCTGCTCCAGAAAGCTCATGCCAGAATAAATTTTAATCCATTAGCTTCCACAAAACTGTTGCGTTTGCAGCATCAGACCAATAGGGAATATCCCTCTGCAGCATCTCCCAATATTATAATCTAGCTAACCTCAAATTATTTAGAACATATCAAATATAAGCTAGTTAAACATACTGGGAAGGTTATTCCAACTTAAGTGAGGGAAAGTCATGCAAAGTGAACCTGCTGGATCAGACCAGAGACCTATCATCTTACTGCATTCCCTGCTTGCATTCTGCCCAGCAAGAGAGCAGAAGCCCTCCTGATGTTTCCTGATAACTGGTAGCTAGAGGCAGAACATAGCCATCACAAGTGCATGGAGGCTACTTCTCTGCCTTGCAGTCTTAGGAAGACTTCACCATTCAGCAACCTAAGAGGAGGCTACTGAAGCTTTTCTGCTGTTCAATACCAATCTGTGTGAATGGACCCTGTTAATGTAAGGGCATCTTATGCCCTAATATTTGTTAGTCTATCAGCTGCTCCAGGAGTTGGGAGAATTGCTTGATAGACCTCAGACTGGCTGTGTAGAACAATCCATCCTGTGTAGAACCCCAATCCCAAAGAAGGGCAGTGCCAAAGAATGCTCCAACTACCACACAATTGCACTCATTTCACACGCTAGCAAGGTTATGCTTAAAATTCTACAAGGCAGGCTTAAGCAGTATGTGGACTGAGAACTCCCAGAAGTGCAAGCTGGATTTAGAAGAGGCAGAGGAACCAGAGACCAATTGCAAATGTGCACTGGATTATGGAGAAAGCTAGAGAGTTCCAGAAAAACACCTACTTCTGCTTCATTGACTACGCAGAAGCCTTTGACTGTGTCGACCACAGCAAACAATGGCAAGTTCTTGAAGAAATGGGAGTGCCTGATCACCTCATCTGTCTCCTGAGAAATCTCTATGTGGGACAAGAAGCTACAGTTAGAACTGGATATGGAACAACTGATTGGTTCAAAATTGGGAAAGGAGTACGGCAAGGCTGTATATTGTCTCCCTGCTTATTTAACTTATATGCAGAATTCATCATGTGAAAGGCTGGCCTGGATGAATCCCAAACTGGAATTAAGATTGCCGGAAGAAATATCAACAACCTCAGATATGCAGATGACACAACCTTAATGGCAGAAAGTGAGGAGGAATTAAAGAACCTTTTAATGAAGGTGAAAGAGGAGAGCGCAAAATATGGTCTGAAACTCAACATCAAAAAAACTAAGATCATGGCCACTGGTCCCACCACCTCCTGGCAAATAGAAGGGGAAGAAATGGAGGCAGTGAGAGATTTCACTTTCTTGGGCTCCATGATCACTGCAGATGGTGACAGCAGTCACGAAATTAAAAGACGCCTGCTCCTTGGGAGAAAGGCGATGGCAAACCTAGACAGCGTCTTAAAAAGCAGAGACATCACCTTGCCAACAAAGGTCCGTATAGTTAAAGCTATGGTTTTCCCAGTAATGAGGTATGGAAGTGAGAGCTGGACCATCAAGAAGGCTGATCGCTGAAGAATTGATGCTTTTGAATTATGGTGCTGGAGGAGACTCTTGAGAGTCCCATGGACTGCAAGAAGATCAAACCTATCCATTCTTAAGGAAATCAGCCCTGAGTGCTCACTGGAAGGACAGATCCTGAAGCTGAGGCTCCAAGACTTTGGCCACCTCATGAGAAGAGAAGACTCCCTGGAAAAGACCCTGATGTTGGGAAAGATGGAGGGCACAAGGAGAAGGGGACGACAGAGGACGAGATGGTTGGACAGTGTTCTTGAAGCTACCAGCATGAGTTTGACCAAACTGCGGGAGGCAGTGGAAGACAGGAGTGCCTGGCGTGCTCTGGTCCAGGGGGTCATGAAGAGTCGGACACGACTAAACAACTAAACAACAACTATGAAGTACATAAAGGCTGCTTCAACCATATGATTAGGAAGTCTACACATGTATGGAGTAGGTACAGAGACCTGTTAGAAAGAAAGAACCCATGCTGGGTATCCCCAATAGAGGTGGTAGCAATAAAAGATCAATCTGGAGGAAAAATGGGGGACATATAAGGACTTACTGGAATTTAAGGATGACACTACCAGACTCAAAAATTGAGAGCTACTAACAGGAGTAGTCACACACTGGTTTCAGTATACTCAAGCAAGATATATAGGAGAGATAAAGAAAGAGGGTTTGTGGAAGGCGGGTCAGAGTTTGAAAAAAACACTATTAGGAAGCAACAAGAAACTTACCAAGAATATACCAAATCATATTAGAATGGGAAACCAAAGATGAGTTAGTGAAGGCAGCAATGATACACTGGGTGTTGGATATTGGACATAATATCGAGCTATCTGCATGGGAAAAACTGGAAGACAATAATTTTTTTGGCATGTTTCACAATTAAAGAGAATATCCAAAAAATGACCTTACAGATGGTTTCTGACGTCCAGTAAAATCGCTAGAATGTACAAGAAAAGATCCAACTTGTGTTGGAAGTGTTCAGAAATAGAGGATATGCTAATTTATATGTGTGAATTGTAAATGTGTCCAAAAAAGGGGGAGATGGCATATAACGAACTCAAAAAAAAATCTAAGCTCACATTTCAAAAGAAACCAGAAGCCTTCTTAGAACAAATACCTAGGAAATACCAAACTGTATTCATGTATGCAATAACTACTGCGCGAATGTGTATCTATCGAATCTATCAACAAGCCCTACATTAAACGTCAACTTCCCTTCCTCCCCTTCCATGGCTCATTCCAATTTCTCCTTTACTGTTGCATATTTTAATTACTCCTTATTCTTTCTCTTCCAGTTTTTCCTCCATTTATAATTTTACTGCTAAATATATTCTAATCCTGCTAACATTTTAAGTTGCTTACAATAATTTTTCAAATACTCCACAATTTTTTTCTAATCTTCTTTAAAGACTTCTTGTTCCTGCTGTTATTCTATCAGTTAGGCTAGCATTAATTTCATCTGTCATTCCTCCTTTGTTGGTATTGTGCCCTCCTTTCATTTTTTAGCGTACACCATTCAGGCTTCCGTTGTTGCATACATTAAAATATTTTTCAGATCACTGGGTATATCTGAACCAATTATTCCTAAAATAACAGCGTCTGGTATTTTTATAAAAGACCTTTCCACCCCAAAAATAATTTCATTATAAATCATCTCTCAGAAGCCTTTCACTACTTTACATGTCCACCACATATGGCAGAAGGTACCTCAATTTTCCTTACACTTCCAGCAGTATCTAGTTCTGACTTATACATCTTCGGCAACTTACTAGGTGCTAGATACCACCTATATATCATTTTCATACTTTTTAAATTATTTATTATTATTATTATTACCCCACCATCCGGCTGGGTTTCCCCATATAATTCTCTTTTAATGTATAACATGCAGTAAATTTTAGTTCCATAGTTTATCCCATGCACTCAGTTCACTATTATATCATATATCCCTTGCCTTATGTATCATTCCTGGTTTTACCAGCACATATTTTGTTTCCCAGTCTAATAACAACTTATACATTCTAGAAATCAATTTTTCTGTGTTCTCTATAAGCTCCCTTTCAAATTGTGAGCTTTGATTCATAAAACAATTTTTTTGATTTTGAATATTTCATTCAATTTTAACTAGTCCCTTCCTGCTTCTGTAATGTCCTCATATTTCTTAAGCTTTGCCTCTGTAAAGTTCAAAAACTTTGTGTTGCCAAGTCTCAGTCCATATTTTGTTTTTTTCAAGGAGGTTGCTTCTATGGGTGAAAGCCATAGGGTGTTTTCCTTTCCAGCAGGTTTTTGTATTTTCCCCACACTCTGGAAGCTGTGGAATTAGTTGTACCTTGTCTTAGGCTATCAATAGTTAATCTTCCTACAGTGAAATGAAGGAGGGGCCCAAAATTTGTTTGCTTTAGCTGGAGAGCAATAACATCCATTTGAAAACTGCTTGGAATAGCTGGCCAAGGTAAAGCACATGCTGGAAATTCCAAAGCATAGAAGGCTGCTATGCTTGATTTGATTTTTTACACCTTAAAAGATGTTGGAATGGTCCCATGGGGAGGAAATAAGGGATAAGAATAGGAAGAACCCTACTAGAAGTATTGTGTTGATTGAAGAGTACTCAAGAAATGCATGTAAACAAAAGTACTGTGATTCTGATGCGAAACCGAATCAGATCGTGCAACTGCAGCCTATGCAACTCCCATCTATCACAGAAGCCACCCATTTTATGAAGCATTTCACAGCCCAAGAACTTACCTGTTGCAAACCTGTTGTAAAAAGTTATTGACTATGTGCTCGTGGGTCTTGCAGATGTTCTGCTGCAAGGTGCTCTTCATCCAGTTCTCAACGTTGCACACTTTGACTTGGCTGGAATGCCAGCAGATGGAGAGGTGGCGCAAGGCTGGTCCCAGAACAAAGTTGTTCTTGGTCAGTTCTGCAGGAGAATGAAAATGCAGCAGAGGCCATAACGAGGGATCCTGAAAGACCCTGAACAACTTAACACAAGTCTGGGCTAAATTTTTCCTGCTCTTTTTATCCAAAAAGGAGAAGATGTGCAGAAGGCATTCCCAATTCATCTGTGTGATATGCATTGCCACTGAGTGGCTGTAGGGAGAAGGTATGGTATGTTTCAGCAGCAAGACAGGAGGCCTGAACGGCTTCCAAGTCACTTCTGGTCTCTTGCACAAATATGGTGTGGAATGGAAGCTATTTTTGGCTGCCAGCTGGCAAAGGCGTTTCAAAAAAGGGCAAGGATCAAGGGGAGGCTGGCTGCAGACTCAGTCTCTTCTCCCCGTGGAATGGCTAGAGCAGGAGCAAAATGGCTTAGTTTAGTCAAATCTTGCCTTAAAAGGATTTATTTGCCTCCGAGACTATTCATGTTTAGGAGGTGGTTTCTGCTTGTTTAGAGCGCTTCCCAGCCCACCCATCTGTTTATGTCACATGATGGATAAAGCCACTACTTCCCCTGTAAAAGGTCTGAAGCTGGGTTCACATCATACCAGGACAGCTCCTGATTTCAAAGAATGGCTGTGCACCAAAGGCAGCCCACATGGGGGAGACAGCCAAGATTTACACACTATATAAATCCACTGAGATTCTACAATGCAAGTTTAAGACTCTCTGCTTCAAAGCCCTGGATGAGCAGCACCCAGTTTGCTAGACAACAGCTGGATGCAGTCATTACTTAAAAGTCAGTAGCTCTCAAATGATGGAGTGGTTATTGCTAGCTTGGGGCGGGGGGGAAGGTTCTGTTATTTTTTGTTGTGAAGGTCTCATCATGTTGCAGAATGGGACACTTCAGCTACACAGTTCATGTATTTGGTTAAACAGAGATGAGAAGTAGAGGAACTTTCCAGAGACTTCCAAGAAATGATGAGAGCTCTGAGCTTGGTTAGGAGTTAAAAGGTTCACCCAGTCATTTGTGAAGTAGTTCTGCCCTCCTACCTTGCTGCCTGCCTGGATGAAAAACTACAGAACTGAAGCCCACCTTCCCATTGCTTGGGTGTGACGAGCTACTGCCAGCCAGAAGCTGCTTTAAGGCACCTGCTCCGGCACCAAAGGCTCCAGCTTGGCCTTTGTTATATTTAAACATCTCCAAGGACAGACAGACCCAGCCTGTGAGAAGAAAAGATCTGGGCAAAAATTAATCCATTCAGCTCCTTTGCATCTTGAGGGGAGGCAGTCGTATCGTTCCCTGTGTCCTCTTTTGATTCATTATTGCATCTATATCTCACATTTCCTTCAAGAAACTGTCTTGCCCTCTTTTTATCCTCACAAGCACCGTTTCTATCCAAATGTGATTTTGGTTTTAAACGCAGTGTAAGGTAGTCTCTATGGGAGTATATTGTATTTAATTATGGGGTATCAGAGTTTTTAGGGGGTTAACCAGGCTGGGATAGCTGGCTTGTTGGTTTTTGAATGTCTGATGTAGATTTTTTCAATTTTGTTGTGCTGTATGGAACAATGGCAATAAAGATTATCGTATCGTGATGTAGGTGAAGCCATGGGACGGTGACTAGCCCAGTCACCCAGGGAGCTTCTTAATGAGTGGGGATTTGAACCCTGGTCACTCATGGGCTAGTCTGACACACTGACCACACTTGCCCTGCAAATGCCCATCTGGGCTCTTCATGAAGCACAACCCATAGCTCCAAGTGAAACTTATTCCCTTAAAAAGGAACAGAAAGTTCAGTGGAGGTACAAGAGAAAGGAAATGAAAGGAAGCCGTTCCTCTTGGAGCCCCTTCCAAGCTCCCCTGCTGGGGGAATGAGAGGCCGTCATTGACTGGACAGGGGCTGTTCTACAGAAAGGCTCCACACAGCTGTTCTAAATGATCAAGGATGCAAACACACAACAGCTGACTAAAAGAAATAATGCAATCTTTGTATCGAGTCTGCAAAGGGGAGGAATCTACAAGAAATATTTAGCCAAACATACTCTGCGTACATAGAGATGCCGTATGTCTGGTTTTTCCTGGACACGTCCTCTTTTTCATGGTCAAAATTTCTCTCCAGGCAGAATTTATAAATTTGGCAAAATGTCTGGGTTTGGCGGCTGGCTGACTGGAGTGAGGAGTTGTGAACGCAGCAGGGCAGAAGCAGCAGCAAAAAGGAGCTGTCAAATCCGGGCTCCTGCTGGAGCCGGTGTGCATTGCTGGGACTTGGCTGACAGGTTAGAGCCGCAACGCCAAAGCCACTTCCTCCTCCTCTTCCACACCACCCTCCACTGGTCGGACTTAGGGAAGAAGGAAACATCGTTTGTGTGTGTGGAGCATGGGATTCCAGAGCGAGGGAGGCAGGCATATCCCTGGGGGAGAAGAGGGAGGAGAAGCCAGGCTCTGAGGCGGCAAAGGATCTTCCGCTGGAGCGCAGCTCCTGTAGTTTGGCCTCTCCCCTGCCCCCCTGGCTGCATCGGGCCCTGGGCATGTGGCCTCTCGGTCCTTCTGCTCTCCCTCCTTAACTTAACTGTGGTGAAGAGTTTTCTGGAAAATTATCAGTGCTTTAAACTGATTGGAATCTAACATTTTTGGCTTACATTTAGGAAACAAAACTGAAGTATGTCATGTTCTGCATAATGTACACAAACATTGGAAGATTTCCCAATAACCTAAAAGTATTAGAAATAATATTTAGGATTAAAAAATAAAGAAAGCTTACTTAATGTGGTTTAAATGTTATATTCCAACAGTTTCAAAGCATTACTAGGATATTGTTTTTCTTTGAGTAATTGTACATATTTTGATATGTGATTGTGCTATAATAAAATGTTAACCACTTAAATGTATGCATGTTTCCTTAGGAGGATAACCTAAGGAATGTGTCCTCTTTTTTTGCTCTTCAAAGTATGGCAATCCTGGTATACAAGTATGATCCAGTTCCGGCCTTGAAAAAAACCTGTTCCACCAGCTTTTACAAAAAGTTCCCTGCCAGCTTTCCTGGAGCTTTTCCAGGAACTTCTGTCAATTCTTACTTGCCCTGATCAAAAATGTAAATCTAGTTCATTAAAGGGCTCTTCTTCCAGAAGCTCAGGAAAACTGATTCTCACACAATGAGCACAGAGAGAAAAGACTTTAATGGCAAATCTTTCAGAGGAATATGTTCTATGAAGGAATTTGAATTGTGGCCAACAATCCCCTTCCGAAATGCTCAACAGTCCTCACCGAGGATTACACACAATATTTTAATGGCAAACAATCACAGCTATGGCACTAGAACCCCAAGGCCCTCTCAGGCACGCAGGCACCAAAGGGTATTCAAGATGCAGATCACCACTCCAGTGAGAGCGAGAGAGTGAAAGAGAGAGAACGGGGGAGAGAAAAGCACCACACTGCCATTTCCAACCAGTCACCACAAGTGCCTGAAAGTCTGACTGCCTCTTACCTTTGTAGTTGGGTCTTAGTTGCCTAATCCTTTTGTCTGTGGAATGGAAACACTCTGGTCCATCAACAGAACTTCCTAGGCAGAGCACCTTTGGGGTGGTGGACCATTTGTGAAGCAGACAGGCTTCATCTTGCAGGAAATGGGGTGGGTGGAGGGGGGGTAAGACAGGGCATGGTTCCCAACAACTACACAGGGGAGCAACCTTTAATTGGGAAGTGTTGATAACTAGCGTGAACTAAGCCAGTGCTTTTTCAGAGAGCATCTCTAGTGCTTACCTATATTACCAGCTGCACATTCCTGCCCATAACTGTCACTGGCTGGCAGTGCTACACCTGGCAGCTGAGGGGGCAGAACTGAAAAAGTCCCCCCACCCTCCCCTTTAGACTCAGGTTATACAAACAAGGGTAAAAATAAAATACTAATCCAGGCGCAGTACACACTTTGACTGCTTCAAATCTGTCACTTTGACACGACTCACTGAGTATAATCCAGCGGATAAGGAAATCTCCACCAGGAAGAGAAATAACTTGTGTTGCCACAACTCACTGATTAGACATTTGCGTTTGCAGGGGTGGGTGGAGCTAAATTAGGAAAAGGCTTCTTTGTCCAAACTGACATGCCTGAGCCACCACACAGCCGGCTTCAAAAACAGGAACAAGTAAGTGCATTGCATTTCAACTGCCACATTCCAAAAAGAAAGAAGGTCTTCACACAGGGGAAAGATACCATGACAAAAAGGAGGAGGGGAAGAGGGAGGCAAAAGGTGGAAGAGAAAGGGGAGAAATGAGAACCAGACCCAGCTATTTAACATAGCCAATTTTTAAGAAAGGCACATTTACATTACTTTCTGAAGCTTCCTCCTTAATTCCAGCAGGAGCTGGTGCTGAGGAAATATAGCACATAGTGTGACCTGATGTTTTCGCTCTGCCTCCTCACTTAAGCAGATGCTAATTCAGGGTTACAACCCCAGGGAACTTGATCATAACCCCACCATGGACCCTTTGGGCATCACTGAGGTTCATTACAAACTCCAGCGACCTGATTCTCTTCTCTACTTTGAAACCCTGGGGTGAACATAGCACCACAAAATGGTGCTATAATTTCCTATTGGGTGTGTGAAAAAGCAATCAAGTATGTGTAAACCACATGGGCACAATCTGAGGGGGCCAGCCTCTCCTCAAAATAGCCAGAGTTGCAAGAGAGCATCCTTCTGTCCATTTGAACTAGTTGGTGAGAGCCAAAATCCCTGCTGGGCTGGGCTCCTTACAACTGTAAACCAAATCTGCAGCAACAAACCACAAGATGCAGAGCAAAGAAATGCCAACAAGGAACCCAGCATTGCAATGCTGCAACAGGGATTATTAATACTAGTGAAGACTATAGTCTCTACATTTGCAGTCACCCAAGACTGCTGCTTCCATGATACAGGGATGGCAATTTTACCTATTCCATTCTACCTTCAAGGCATCACAAGACAAAAGGATGCATGATAGTATTACAAGATGGATTATACACACAGTTCTAATCTTAATGGAAAGACTAGCAAATCCTGAATTTTCTCAGCTTTTTTTATAGCTTAATTGCTGTAGAACACTAATCTTTCCTCTTGCTTTAAAGGAGAAATGAAAAAATGGAGCAAGTTCCTATGATAAACAATGAAGCCAGCTACTAAAGTACAGAGAATTTTGAAAGAAAGCAGCCTCCATAGACAAAGAGTAGCAGCGATTACATGGCCTGTTGAATGAGGCCACAATTCATACACTCCTTTTCTTTTTACAGGCAGCCAAACAACTGTCCACACATAAAGTGTTTGGTACAAGTCCTTGATCTTAAGAAAAAAAGCCTTCCCAAACAGCTGAAAGCCTCCAGACTATTTCATAATTAGGTACACAAATGTGCTTATTAGAAAGATTCAAGTTTCTTTGATGTAAATGTGCCTTCAGAAAGCAAACTCCAACATTGATATACAATGATATACAAAGTCAAACAACTAAAGTAGCTCTTGAAACAATATATATAAATTGGGTTGAAGTAGCAAATGAGGTGTTGTTTTTTTCCTGGTATGACTAACAACAGTTAGCTTGTGTCCATGTTAACAAATCAAATACTCTACTACTGACAAAATAAAACCAGAACCCACAAGAAAAAAAATGAAAAGTGCACAATGAAATCAAGAGTCTTGGATCAAGTATCTGTGGAGGATTGGAAATGTTTTGTCTGATGGACTTGATATGCACAGGGCAGGAAGAGGTATTAAAGTTTATCAGATGCTGATTTGGCCTGCCGGTCTACATAGAAGAGGATGTAAGCCTTGGCTTTCACCACCGTCTCCTCATCAGTCAGCGTCACGGTGCTGTCATTGAAATGGAACCATCGGCCTTCATGAGTCGCATAGGCTGTATAATGTCCAGAGCCAACCCTGAGAACATCAAGAAACATAGCATGAGGGAAATTAACTCACTGCTTTCTATTTTAAAAATAAGGCCAACAGGTCATGGGGAAGGATCCTGGTTTTAGCTATTTCCTTCACCTTAAAATACTTGCCATGCCTCAACTGCCTTTTCCTTCATTGGATACATCCAACGCAAACACTGATATGAAACATTTCCAGAATGCCTTCTAATGTTCAGGAGCCTTAGGCACATAGCCATGCAAAGATAAACGCAGCCTGTTAGTGGAAGAGGTTCTCTCCTCCTGCTCACTCTCAAGGCTGGGCTTATGCAAGGCTGAAGCATCCACTGGGAAAAGTCTGCACCCCTTCAGGCCTGCCTGCTCAAGGGATGGGGCAGCATCCATTGGGCACGCTCTCCATTAGTTTGGTCTTCACTGCCTTACTTTTTGACTGGAATACTTCTCTACTTCTATTCCCAGCATTTACTTAGCCAAGGCGGAAAATGACCCGTCTCCTTAAATTTGCCAGCAGTTTAACCCATAATCAACCAGCCAGGGTCCCCACAATGCCTGGTGCATGAAGCAAGAGTGGCTACCCCTCCCCATGTCATAGAGAAAATAAATATGACTTATTTAGTTGATGCTGTTGGCTTATTCAGGAAGAACCTCAGGCCCTGTTTTTGCCAGAAGCTATTCAGCACTGCATTTTCTTTTTCTGTTGCTACAAGCAACATGACCCTTTTGGGGTCATGGGACTTGCCCAGGGCAACATAACAAGTGGAACAGTGGAACCCACATCTCAGGCCCAAGTCTAACAGACCAGCCACTAATCAGCCTACATCATTTTTGAGAGTGTAGCCTGGTCAGTTACAGTCAGACCATATAATGTGAAGCCAGCTGGATTGTAATCCATTCAGGGTTTTGGGAAAGAACCAAGATCCCACATTTAAATAGTTCTAATTCTGAATTATCTTTTTGTGTGTTAATTTATGTTGACTCCAATCTAGATCAAGAGGCATTTGTCTTCTAGATATGAGAGCTCTCCTTTTGAAAAAAATAACAGCTCCTCTGACAACAAGCTGCTTCTCACCTGGATGACTGCACTTTTAAACAAAAAATCAAATGTGACCAGCTACCTTTCATGTAGGAATTAAATGTATTTCCATTTCATTTAAGTAACTCAAATAAGATTGTGAAGTATAAAATTTCTATCAGGACCACAGACAATATTTTCAGGCAAAGCATTGCATCTCTTTATTGATTTATTAAACTTAAAAGGGGAATTAACAAGATAAGCAAAGCTAACAAGGTCATTCTGCATAGATTACGTTGACATAGCAAGGCTCCCTCTCTAGTCACCACTTCCAGTTGTTCCCATGCATTCTTTTTCAATTAATGCCTGGTTCCTAATGGAGTGATGCAGGTTTTACAGCAGAGAAGCCTTTCAATCATCAACTCAAAGGCAAAAGAGCCTCCAGGGTCCAATCATACTCACCCTGAACCGTGGTGCACCACCACAGCTGCAAGGTCATACAGACAGCTTTCTGGACCACTGTTTTCTGGCTGCAATTGGGAGGGGGACAAGGAAGAGAGACAAGAAAGAGGAATTGAGAATTTCCCAGCAGCATTCCAGGGCCCCTGACTAGCAGCTCCCCATGACAAGTCACTGTACCTCTAGCAAGTAACATTTCATGTCTAGGCCTCTCAGGGGAAACTCAACATACGTGTCCACTTTGTTCCTCAGATAAGCTGTCCAGTGAAAGCGTTTTAGATGTAAGCACAGCACCTGTGGAATTAAAAATGGCACATAAGCCGAAGGACATGCCACAAATTCCTTAATGGAGGAGTACTTTAAAAACAACAGACCTGCCACCTCCTCTGCATGTCAAGAGCATATCACAGCAAAGTAGCTGTCACATTTATATCCACATGATCCTTTTGCTTAAAGATAAAATTCCAGAAATAAAACATTTCCCCTCCCCCCCAAAAAGGCCCATATGTAGTAGCAAAAACAACAAAGTACTGCGGCTCTGAGATACAAGCTATTTTACCGCAGAATGAACACTAAAGCAACATCCCACTTCAGGTTTGGGGTGTGCATTCACTTTGGTCAAAGCGTGCACTTTCAAAGTGGCTTGTTTTGAAAAGATTTGGACCGTCTCTGAAGCAAATCAGGCTTCTTCCAAAGCTTCCAAGGAACAGGCAACAAGTTTAAACTTTTCTCTACGAGCTCTCCATAATAGAAAAGGCCAGGCATGAAAGAGAAGTTCATTTTGTGACTGACAGCTCTAACTTCCAACCAAAGAATGACTTTAGAAGGAATGTCTTCAATCATATAGGAAGGATGATAAAGTAATATGACAGACCTGTGCCACTGTTTTCCATTTCCCTCTGCTAGTTCATTCTCTTAGCAGCAGTAACACTGGAAGAGTGGTGGCTGGGTTTTTTTTTGGGGGGGGGTTGCTTGTGATATGAACATCTCCTTATGCCAGTCAAAATCACTCTCTCACTAAGACCCTTCCTTTAAAACTCCAGTCCCTTGATTCCTAATTTTTAAATAATTCCTCTTGTCTGAGTCTGTTCTATCTTGAGTGTTGCTTATTATCAGGTAAGTCGTTTCTGCTCATCTCTAAACCCAGCTGTGCTGGCTGAGGCAAATAGGGAGCTGTAGCCCAAATTATATGGGAGGCACCAGTTTGCAGAAGGCTGAGATCCATAATCTTTTACAAATTTCAACTCCTAGATCTCACCTTTGGTAGTTTCTGGATCCAAAATTTCTTGGTGGACTTCTGCTTCTTTTTACATTTGTGGCACATATAGAGCTCTGTTTCATCAAGTTCTTCCAGGTCTGTAAAACTGCGAAGACAATCTAGAACAATTGAATTGACATGATTAAAGTCATTTCCTCTGCTTTTTGACTCATCCCTCTAGTGATCTAAATAAAAATACTGATGAAAGAGGCAAAAAAGGCAATTGATATATGCAGATGGCAAGGGTTTAAAAAAACACCACCACCTACCTGGTAATGTACACATTGGTCCATTTTCTTGGTTCTTACGTTTATTTCGGAAGTGACTTGGAATATCTAGCGAAAGGTCTAAAGAAGGCAATTTCAAAATTAGTTTTTAATGTCAAAAACATAGCATCTGCTCATAAAACTTTCAAGATGCATGGTTTACCTAGGAATGGATCAAACTTTCTGGATTCAGTCCCACATATCAAGCAGTTGACTTCATTCTGCAGAATGCCTCCAAAGATGGCTGTGACAACAGTGGACGTGCCATTTCTGAAGATAACATTACAAGGAGAAAAGGGTCAGCACTGCACAGTTGGTCTCATTCAACTACCACCAAGAGGACCCTAGCCATGCTGAAAACATCCTTTAGGTCATCTAAGTTTCTTAGAACAGATATGGAGAGGTGCTTACATTCAGAAATGGAGCTACTAATATTGCCCCAAATACAACATAAATGTTATGCTCTGTCCAAGTGGCAAAAAGTATCCCGATAAATAAATGAAGAAGCACCAGTTGTGGTTGAGAAGGAGTATACTGTACAAAAACATTTTTCTCCTTCTCTCATAGCAGCAGAACCCAGGAACACCCGATGAAGTTGAATGCTGGAAGACTCAGGACAGAAAAAAAAAAGTACTTTTTCCACACACAGAGTGCATAGTTACGCTATGGAATTAACTCCAGCAAGATGTGGTGATGGCGACCAACTTGGATGAATTTAAAGGATGATTAAAGAAATTTGAGGAAGGACATAAGGCTACCAATGGCAACTAGTTATTGATGATGGCTCTGTTCTACCTCTAGGATCAGGAGAGGGCTGGAGAGGGCTACTGCACCCATGTCCTATACTTTCAAAAGGCTGAACCCTAAAGCTCAACCTTTCTACTTCCCTTCAACCTATCCCTCAAAGGCAGACACATTGCTGAGGCATGGAAGCACCACTTCAGCAGATGAGGATGCTTCCATTTAACTGGCCACTCTCCCACTTCATCTACTTGGCACGTGAGGTCCATGTTTCCAAGGGACATACTCCCCATGTGTCACCTCACCTCCTGGCATACAAAGGGCAATGTGAGGGAACTGGACATGACGCAGAAAAATGCCACATGGTTATTGGGGGGGGGGGGTTGGGATGCCGGGCTACTTTCCAGGAATTTCTGCTTGCCCCACCAATAAAGTGCATCAGCTGCGGTGGGAAATAATTATCCATTGAGGATAATATGTCATCTCCCAGGAGTCTGCCTTCAGCATGATCAGAGGCTGCAAGCCAAAGCCAGCTGCTCCCAACCTGTGTGAGCATTTTTCTGACAAACTTTTGCCAAAGGCCACTCCCAATCTTTGTTGTCTAGAAACTACATAATTTGCATTTTCTGCCCTACAATTCAGATATTATGGTTTGAGAAAACCAGATTAAAAACCTCTCTTCTTACATGCAGCATCTACTGCCACCAGAAAGACCCGAATTCTCTTGCAAGATGACTGAGCGGGAAACACCATTGAAGCCTCCTTGGAGTTCCAAGTGCAGATGGTCCAAAAGGTAACGCATGAATTCATGGGCATCTTGCTGCTGGTAGCCCCTTAACACAAACATATCAATGAATATACAGACTGCTTACTTACATTGGTACATAATTCACATTACATGGCATGGCTTACAAACCAGGAAATTTCAATTACATTGGATGTATCACTTTATAATAAAAAAAGGCTCAGAGTGATCATTCTTGCCACTGTGACAGATAGATATATGGCCCTGTAGTTTTACAACCAAACAAAAGGCCAACAAGCTTCCCTACAATAGCTCAAATGCAAAACTCATTTGGAGCTGAAAGAAAATCCAGCAATGCGAAACACATTTTGAAATATGCCAATGTGGCATGGTTGTGAAGGCGGTGGGAGTTTTGTACTTGTAGTGCAATTTACTTTATCTAGATGGTTTATTTTCAAGACAGAGGATGGGACATTTATATATTTTAAAAACCCTGTGAAAACAACTCTAAAATGAACACACTGCAGGCATTGCAAATGTTCTGCAATATGAACTTATATTGTACTGTAGCCCTAACACAAGGGAACATATTTTATTTCAAAAGTAAACCAAGCACACACTGAAGTTGGGGAATGAGATCTGGCTACCACCAGCACCCCATCGCAACAGCTGCCACTTTGGGAATCCACCTATTCATGGATCTCCTGCCTGCTTCTCCAGGACCAGCAGCAATGTTTCCTCATGAAAGTGCCCAGGCTGACAAGTGTGCCCACACAGGGTGCCTTTTTGTCACCTCCCTCAGAGATGGCACCCGGGGCAGACCGCCCCCCGCTCCCCTTCCTACACCCCTGTGCCCATGCACATTAATATAAGAAAACATGGCAGCCAGCTCTGTAGCACCCATAGCCAGCATGAGCCGAAAAAGGACTGACAGGAAGAAATAGGGAGAGCGGTTCAGTGGGTGTGCTATGGGGTCTGTGGGTTGCCCGACTGAGATATAGGAAAACAAAACAAAAAATAATCAACTGAATGGTGTACATCCCCTGTATGTGGACATTAGCTGTGGCATCTACCTGCCTATAATAGTAATATCCTTACTGCTCTCTTGCCTCTTGTGTGCTCTAACTACAACTGGATGCCATTTCATGGCTGCTGCTGTAATCATGCAGCAAAACTGGGGTTATGCTTTCAGCACAGTATCCAGTGCATCCACCCAATTCTAGAGAATGCTTGCTACTTATTGTGTGTCCCATTCCCAGCATTCAGTGGGAAAATTAATGCACTTATGGAGTCAGAACAGCACCACCAGACACAAAACAGAGACGTATCAGTACATTTTGGAGTATCCCCAAGGTTGGCAGAAGTACCACAAAACAAAACAAAAATCAGAACAGCAAAATGAGGACTGACTTGGGGGAAGGAGAAAAAGACACTGAAACCTAGGTAGGAGAAGGAATGGAAAATAAAATAAATGTGTTGATAAAAATGTGTAGAGAAGCCTCTCATTGTCTAGATGGGTCATTTCCTGGTGCACAATATGAATCCATTTTTAAATTTACCCAGGGATACAAGAAACCAATAGAGAAAACAAAAAAATTACCGTTTAGCTTTCTAATCACAGCAAATATATAATTACATTTTTAGACTGCATTGCTCAGCATTTTATTTCAGGGTTTTGACTGGATTTTTATTGACGGCATGTATTTCGTTTTACTTTCTGCTGTAGTCTTTTGATTTTATAACTTCTACTTTGTAAAACTACTTAGAAGCTTTTAAATATATATATTAGACAGTCTATAAATTGGTTAAACAAACAAATGGCACACCAGATTCACCTGAAATTTGTACAAAACCAAAGCTTCTAAGCAATGTCAGTGTTTACAGTCCACTACAGGATTTTATACAATTATATTTCTTGGCAAAGAAGGTATTATATGTGCTATTAAGTACACAAAATTATCTGGAATCGATAACATTCCTAATCAAGACAATCTCACTAAGGATTTTATAGTTTTCCTCCGAGTTCTTTTTTTCAGACTGGGAAGCGAGGCCAGAGGACAGTGAAACCTGGGCCCGAGCTGGATTCACCCACAGTTTGAAAAATGGGAAACAAACTTAAAACTGCTCACGAAAAGCCTTCCAAGCATACACTTTCTCAAATGAGTATGCCAAACAAAGCCACCTGAAAAGGTTTGGTCCATATTGTTCATATTTTCTCAACAGGGAAATATTTGTAAAGTCTCCAAGAAAGAAACAGCCTTTCTCTCAGCCTAACTCAAGGCGGGTTCAAGCACAGAGCATCTAATGATGACTTGCACATGTTAAGAATACTGTTGGGGGCGGGAGGAAGAGACAGAATTGTAGATCCATCACTACACAAGCAGAGCCCTTCTCTGAGATTGCTTCAGAAACAAGACTCTTCAGTGCAGTCACATGCTTGAATCAGCACAGAGCTGGAGCAACAGCAACACTCTTTTAGAAAGGGGGAGCTATGTTAGTCTATCAGAGCAAAAATGAAGTCTCATGGCGCCTTAAAGATGTAACAGACATGAGAGTCCAGCTCCTCAGATGCGTGAAGTAATAGTCTCAGTTGGCAATGAGTGCAAAGAAGAAACAAACAAGAGACCGGAGGGAAACAAGATGCAAAAAAGACAGACTATGGCAGGGTGTCCCGTCCCCCCATATTATATTAGCTTAGCAATGCCAAAATGCTTTATGAATATTGGTTATTTTTCACACATTTAAACTTTATGTAATTGTCCATGTATTTTTTCAAATTTTTTTCCCTCTGATCTCACTGTCTACTTTTTTCACTCTCTGATTCCCATGGGTATACAGATACCTGCAATGCCAACCAAGGATAACATTTCCTCCATCTGATGAAATGCATTCGAGTGCCATAATATATTTATTGTCATTAACATCCCTTTCTGTTAAAAGCAAACAAACCCACAGTGCTGAAAATCTGCTGGAGCCAACTTAGGGAGCAGAGCTCTTGCTTTGACTTCAAACAACTGTTGAGGAGGATAACTGGCCAAAAGTATTGTAGGAAGCACGATTATGACTTTTGCCCATTGCCTGAAACTACTGGTGCTAAACTTCCTTGATTCTCATCAGCCAGGGATAGACACACAGTTACTGGAAGAGGGAAAGGAATGGCCTGGGCTTCTCACTTCACAGGCTCTGGTTGTGCATTCAGAGCATCTTTTCAGCACTGCTAGAGGCATTAATACATCAACAGAACATCTTTACTACCTGAAAATATGGAGCAACTTACCTTCTGCACAATTAATCCTAATAGGGTTCAGTGCTCCTTTGAAAGAGGTTCAGGGGCCAGGACAGGGAGACCTTGGAGAGGAATGACACTTGGATTTACTTGTGTGAACTGTTCTTTTTGACAGCCTGGGTGCAAAACGCCTATTGCACATAGATTTATTCTCTTTGCAGCACTTATTTATAACTACAATGACAGAAACGAATTCAATATTGAGAGAATCAAGGAAGTTTTGCCCAGTATGTTTGCTTGAACCTGCTAGAGCTGTACATTTTTAAGCACAGTCCTTGCCAAAAGCAAAGGTTTGGGTTCTGTCAGGTACTTAAGCCATGTTGCACAGACTAAGAACTTGGAATGACTTAGCCCTGTTAGACCTCAAATACAACAAAAACACTCAAAAACCACTAACACTGCTTCCTCTGTATACTGGAAGAATAAGAGCCTGCTGGCACACGGTGGGCATTATTCCTACAGAGCTAGAAGCTCTCAGAGCAAGGTAACACTGCATTCAGGGACAACAAAATGCCATCGTTCTGGAGAGTCACTGAGTTGCTAACAGCATTCCTCCTTTTCTTATAGGACTTACCTAAAGTTTGGCATGATTTTCCAAACAACATAAAACAATGATTCAGGGCTAAACGCTGTTTGACTCCCTTGCCACAAAGCACACAGAGTCTTCCGAAACTCTTCTACCAATGAACTGTGGAAGAAAATTGAAAGTTTTTAATAGAAGCATTGCCACTCAACCCCACCCCCACTCACCATGGCCCCCTCCCCCTTTTCTTCCTAATGTAACACTAATGTCTCAACAAATGAAACTGATCTGTAGAAAAGGTAACTTGAAAAAAGAGACATTGCACATACTTTTGTAAACCAAGAAATCTTTAATAAAAATGTTTTAAATGGGTTAAAAAATACCTGATGGTATTGTAATCAATCTGTAACATGGCTCCTTACATTTTCTATTGATTAGGTCATTCCCCCCCTGTAAAGTGTGCACTGTCTATCCATATTAATTCTCTTAATTTTAATAGACTCGATAGGAGATGGCCATAAAAGTGTTTTCCTTTCCAGCAGATTTTTATATTTCTCCCAAACTCTATACAGATTCTTCCTAAGAATATGGTTCATATAACTTTTATAAATATTCACCTTCCCATACTAAAAACATGCATGCCAGCCGAATTTTAAGTCATGACCTACAAACAAAGTAGTGTTATTCTCAATTCACAGATGGAAAAATGAGACTACGAATGTGATTTGACTGAGTCTTTTCAGGGCTCGAATCTCTTCTGGAGAGAAAGTTAGCTAACAAACCAGGCTGTGTCATGTTTAGCTGAATGTAGGGCTTTCCTGACCATCTCAGGTTACTGGGTAGAACGGGGAATTTTCAATCAGGTGGCAAGAGAGAGAGAGACCACATCTATAGACACCACTTTCTGCTCCTCAGTGGTGAGGGCAGCAGCTCACATTTCCTGGCACTGCGGGAAGACATTCCTAACCCCACAGAGATTATTAGACTCCTCTAAGACCATTCATGATAGCTGTGGATTACATCAAATTCTTTTTGTAATCCAATCCAAATAACTTTATTGTTCTAGCCATTGGCCATAACAAATTTGAATCAAAAATAAATACACAAATAAAAGGATGCTTCACCACAAATAATAGTCTCTGTTTAGATCTCTCTGTCACCCTTACGGTTCAACGCTATATTGTCCAGGGTCTTCTTTCTGCTCTTTTTGGCCACCAGAGCAAAAAGGGCAACTTTGCGAGTCACTGAAGTGTTTGCATCACTAAGAAGCTGTAGAAGGGAGAGACAGCTTTCTTGTACAGGTGGTTGGGTGAGAAATCGCCTCCTAGGACCAGTGTATAGCGGGCAATATAGTAAATAGTGCAAGATGTTGTCCACCTGCAGTTGCCCACATACAGAGTCTGTCTTTGTACAGTATACCCTGTGGTATTGTCCATCCAAGAGGGCAAAGGGCATAGCTTGAAAATGCAGCTCGATAAAAGTGATTCTTAGTGAGGCTGGCCAGAGATTCAGCAGGGGACTGGCTCTAAAAGGGACTGTTTTTAGAAGGGGGAACCAGGGAGAACATTTAGAGGATTTGATCACTTGCAGATTGCGTAGTGATTCTGTCCAATGACACCAATCCCTTAATTGACGTTTGTCTGTGGATATAATCTCCTCTAGCTCATGGAAATAATAAGAATTCAAGTTACATTGGTTGTTAGATTTCCACCATTGGCTGTTCTCCAATTCCACATAGTACAAGGCTGGCAAGCGCTCGCATGGCATGGAGGAGTTTTTTCAGGTAATTAAATCTGGTACAGTCCGCTCTTGCACTTAACGTTGTCCATCCAGCTTATGTACATAAGAGTGCAACTGCTGTTCCCTTGAGCAGGGAAAATAATCTTTTGAGAAACTGGTTTTGTACCGTTTCTAACCCCTTAATAGCACTCTCATCCTCACCCCAGTTTTTGACTCCATAAAGCATTTGAGGGATCACTTTACTGCCAAATACTTTCAGCGTGGGATCAAACTGTTTCCTGCCCTTTATGAAGTAAAACTTCTTCAGAGCCCTGGTCACTCTCTACGTTCTGATTTTCATCACCTTGGTGTGCCACCTCCAAGTCACTGTTTCACTGAAAAAGACTCCAATATATTTGAAAACACAGGTTTTCTCTAGTTCATGGTGCTCAAGGGTCCATTTATATCGGATGTGAGGGTGATCTGGCTAAGACATCTGTCACCCCATTGATTGCCAGGGTTGACTCGGTTGTTCTGGTTGGCTAGGCAGGTGTCCCTCACCACTCCATGTGCGTCCCTCCCAAAACTGCACACCCAGTGGAAGAGGATGACCATCCCAGATAGAAGAAGCGTACCGTTCTTCTTGTAATTTGCCCTTAAATCTTTCCACCACAGCTAGATTAATCTGCATGAGAAGGGTTCTCTTTTTGCTGGTTTGGGTTGAATTTCCAGTGCCAAGAATACACAGTGAACCATCTTCCTCTCCAAGGGTGCCAACTCCTGGGGACCCAATCCTTTTGGACACCCCAATATTTTTGGGGGGTGCCCCACAATGTTCTGAAAAATCAAGGCCAAGCACGGCGTACCTTCAGTGGCCAACTCCTTCTCCTCCTGCTGCCACAGAGGGGAAGGAGAGGAGAAGCAGCTCCGAGACGGTGGTGGCAGAAGGAGGAGGAGTCAGCAGCCATTGATGCCATGCTGCCGCCGCATTCCTACCTCCTCCAGCATCATGAATCGATCCCACACACAACCTTGGCCCACCATCTCCCTCACAAGTTGGCACCTCTGTTGCTCCCGCTTGCTCCATGTTATGTGTTTTGTTTTTTCCTATATTTAACTAGCCACCCAATCCCATATGTTCTCTGAGAAGTCCACCATCTAGAAGATCTCTATGTTCTTTCTTGAAACTCCACATAAATGGCTTGTCATGTGTCCCAAATTCAAATTAGATGCTGATACAAGTTTTTGGCTCTTGAGTGAAATCATGCACTTGGTCACAAAGGGTTCCCCATCTTATACATGCAGGTAGCAGAATTAACAGTGCCAATTTCACAGGGCAGCAACACCATGAACTGTATTCTATACACCAGAAAATATTAACAACCAAGAGTATAAATAACTGATGAGGATACAGACTGCTCACTGGGTCTGGAGGTGGGCAAGGTTTGGGGCCTGGCGCCCGGCCCCGCCATCCTCTCAAAGCCACACCGCTCCACCCCTTGGTCACCACGGTACTTGCTGGGTTTCCGCCAAATTCAAATTTGCCCTATCTGCAGCGGCTTGGGGGGCAGGGGAGGAGGAGAGGACTGCATCTGAGCAGTCCAAAAGTAGAAAAGGGGATCGGAACTGATACCGGCAGCACAGTTGTCCCCAGAGCGTCATCGGAAGAAGACTAAGAAGACACAGCGAGAGGAGCGTCATGGGACAATTGGGTAAAAGCACTGGAGTCAGAGGAGACCCCCAAGTGCAGAGGAGCACTGGCAGCAAGGCACAGCTCATCCGAGCCAAGCACTGGCGTCAGCTGAAGTTCCCAGGTGTGGCGGAGCACCGGAGTCCTTTAACCCTTGGAAGGGTTGGAAGTGCACAGGGACACGCCAGCGCTTTAGCCCGCAGTTGGTCACATTTTCGGAGGAGCGCCCAGGCAACGGGCCCGATCACTGGAGTTGCCCCTCTCAAGCTTTGCTGCTCGCATGTGGCAGGCGCCATTTTGCGTGCATGTGGCCACACTGCTGGATCTTGGTTGGGGGGGGGGTAAGTACAGCACCATATTATGACTAGTGCTTTCCGTAATGCCAGCAGTAGGTCTGCCCTAGTTGTGGAAGCACTTGTGCCCGATTCTCAAAATGCTCCATCTGTGTGGCTGCCTGTAGATCTCAGATTTGGAATTTCAGGGTTTACATTTTGTCTGCCATGTTTTGAAGCAGCATCTCATGGGACTCTTAAGGCACTGGATGCACGTATGGTTGGTAACGCCTGATTCTCAGCATGAGTGGGGTTTGCATGTATTTATTAGTATATTGGGTCTATAGGTGAAGTTCACGTGAGCCTTTTAAGAAATGCTGGGGCCTTTAAGACATGGGATGCATGCATAGTTAAAACGTTTGCATTTAAGCGTGAATAGGGACTGCATGAGTTTATGCGCTGGTATAGAAGGCGCTCCCTTTAGTCAGCATAGCTCACTGGACAAAGCCAGGTGTGCTGATTTATTCCCTGCATGGGGCTTGGGACTTGGAGCAGTGGCGGATCCCCGGATGGTGATAGCACGTGTGGCTGGATAGCTCAGTCAGCATCGTATGAGACTCTTAATCTCAGGGTTGTGGGTTCAAGTCCCACATTGGGCAAAAAGTTGTTTGTTGGGTGTAGTGAAGGGTTAACCTTCTGTGCCTCAAGCCTGAGAGGAGGCGCATACAAGGGAAGTACGCCAGGACGCGACGAAAGCAGCTTGGAATGCTGTGAGCTGAGTGAAAAGCGAAAGCAGTTTGTTGCGTAGCTGCAAACAGAGGGAGAAGATGCAGCTTGAATCTGATGGCTGTTATTGATTGTAAATATGCTACTTTTGAGCAAATAAAGGGATATTAGGACAGAAGAAACGTGTGGGACTTGTTTACTGCTCTTTCGACACACACCGCTGTGTAATTCTGCTAATGGCTTTACGACCGCTCGAAAGCCACACTGCGTAAACAGAAGCTACAGAGGCTCGCAGGGGAAGCGTGGCTGGGCGCCGAACAGTAAAGCAATAAATCTACCGAACATTGTTTCCTGCATAGCAGGGGATTAGACCAGATGACCCTTGTGGTCCCTTCCAACTCTACAATTCTAGGATCCTTTGCAAGATGCAGATGGAACAACCATATGGAACAACCACACACCCCAGCATTACAGGCTGGATAGCTCAGTGGTTAGAGCATGGTACTTATTATGCCAATACACAGGGTATTACTGGTACCCACATAGTATAACGTCTCACTTCCTGTGCTACAGGTGGAAATAGCTTAGTAGTTCGGGCATGCTGCTGTTAATGCCAAGGCTGCAGGTTTTGATCCCCATTTTGATCACCAGCACATATTCTTGTGTGCTGTGTGGTTGAGCTAGATGATCCGGGGTCCCTTCCAACTCTATAGTTTTATGGAAGGATACAGATAAACACTATGTGTGCTGTTTGTATATATATATATATATATATATATATATATATATATATATATATATGTATATAGGTATACACACTGTGTTTAGACTTACATGCTGTTATCCCCTTGGCTTCGAGTATGGTAAGTTCTCCGGCCTGCAGTCTTCCCATTCCGAAGCTCCACAGCCGGCAATTCTTTGAAGTAGCAACAGAACTGCTGAATGTTACTGTTGAAAGAAAGAGATGTGAACCAGAAATATGTACCAAGAGGGACAGAAAAGAAACCAAAGGATTTAACTGTTTTCTTTGTAACCCAGCAATGAATAGCTGTAGGGCAGCTATAAAGCGCGCACACAGATGTAACTTGAACATTCTGCAATTGCCTCTCAAATACCTGCATGTTAACACACTTGAAATTGAACTGCACAGTAAGAGGTCGGTCTTACAGATCCTCTTTTCAAACATCACAGGAAGTTTTATTTGCAAATATATTACAGGGTTTTGTCAGTTTTAGATATGCCACTGGTGGGAATGCAAACTGACATAAATGGAGCTGCAAAACTTGCTCTTATGGGTGTAGAGAGACCCTTCAGATGCACATATTTTAGCCTCAGTGAAATGTCCTACTCTCTCAATACATCACAGGGTGCACAATAACACTTAGCCTAGAAGCCAATTACAGAAGTGGGATTTTTAAAATTAAAGCAATGAGTACCTGAGTGACTGAAGAATCGCATTCATGAAACATGTGTTACCCAGATTCCGAAGGCCTGTAGCACACAGGGCTGTGGTGCTTCCCTGTGAACCAGAGACATCAAGGCAAACGAGTCATCTTACAATAGGCTATACATAATCTTCCATCCACCTGCTTTCTTTGAAACAGAGGGCTACATGCCTACATCAAGTTTTAAAAGTATTACATATAAATACTCTCATCCAATGAGAGTATGCCACACAGAATTCAGAACACACAGAACAATAGATTCAAGCCAAACCCACAAAGCTTTAACACAGCTTGTGAAAGGGCTGTCACAAATTGCACAAGTGGAACAGCTGTGTGCCCACCAGAGGAACAAAGCACCCAAATTTTCACACCTAATTCTGGCTGGGCTGAGACCACCAGTGACCCAGATAATAAATAAATAAATAAGATAATACATAATATAATAAATTAATAATAATACTTCTCTTATTAGGTCCACTTTGCAAGCAAAATAGTATTTATTCTTTATTAATATTTTTGATTCTGCATGTAACGTAGGCTAGGTTGAGAGCAGGATATGCTGTTCAAGGTCACATGGGGGAGCTTTATGCTAAAAGCATGGAATTATTTTATTTGTTATTTGTCTTGTCATTTGATCTCTTAGCTAGCTTGGGTTCCTTTAGGAAATTATGCAGGGCAGAATTTTAGAATGAATGAGTGAATAGATGCTGAACCCAGCTTTCCTCCAGGCCATGTCTGGGAAACTTGCAGCCAAGTTGCAACCAGTCCAAAGGGCTCTCCAGGCCTTATCAGACACCACAGCCTGCTCTAGCCTCCCTGAGCAGGCAGAGGCACAGTGCCCAATTGCACAGGCAAGTGCAAGGCCCAGCAAAGAAGCCACGACAGTGACAGCAGCAGTGAGAAGATACTGTAATGGTTCTTGCATTCCCTTCCCCTTATCAGCAGGATCACATGCACTTGGTGTTTCTACTGCTTTTGCAAGCAGCTGGGACAAGAAAGCTGTTCCCTCTCTTCTCCGTGACTAGCAAGAAGGAGGCAGTGCATGAAGGATTTCATCTGCCCTGTTTGGGCAAGTATGAGCACCAGCAAAGACATGAAGACTGCCACAGTTCTACTCTAGCCTGCAGCATTAAGAAATCTTGGAGTTGGGAGGGAGGGAGGGAGGGAGGGAGGGAGGGAGACTTTTAAAAAGACCCCCACAGGTCGTTAATTCACAAGAAAAAAATCAACTGGGGTCTCTGTTAATTGACTGGCCACCTGGTGAGTCAATGACCTTTGATAGAAAAAAGATTGTCATCCTTGTCTCCACATGCCCAGAACAGAATGGAGCTCAAGATCAGGTACCCTAAAGAATAAGACTTGCTTCAAATTAAAAATATTTTGGGCAGTCAGAATAGTGACCTGTTTGGAGGCTTTGGTATTTAAAACTAGACAAGGTAATGAGCCTATTTCAATACACAATTGTGTGTGCACCACCAACACTGGAGTGTCACTCAAGAACCAGCAGGCAAGAGTATATTAGAAAGGTATGCTAACAGCCCAAGACATTTACTAAATGAGCTCCACTGATTAATGAAATCTGCTCCAAAATTATGTTGTACCTACATTTATTTTTAACAATTTGCTGTTTAGGGAAGAGTCTTCCAGAAGTTTTCTTTTCCTCTGTCGGTCTGCCGCAAAAGCTGAACTGTAGTAATGAATAAATTGGTTAAGACATATTAAGAAATCTAAAGAAAACATACCAAAGATAATCTTGGCCACAATGTCTTGACAACTGCATAGTCACATTTGCAATGATTCCTTTACATACAACAGTGAGACTGATCATTGGTTATAGAAGTTATAATACAAAAAAGTCATCTTAAAATAATTTCAGAGCACACACTCAAATCTATTCTATTTTCAATAGCATGCAATTATAAAATACCCAAATTAATCTGATTAGGTTATGCTACAGCAGACACCCTTGAGCATGCCCTAATTAGAACTAAAATTTATGATCTAAAATAACGAACTCCACTTTCTTGATCAAAGGCTACTTGGTAGAGTATCCGCACAAGAGTCCATCTCTGCTCATACAAGCATTGTTCTAAACATGAAACTTAAGCTTGCCAAAGTAGACAACTGAAAGTATGCTACATCTGGAACCAACAGACTTCCATCAATGGACTCCAGGCCAGCAGCAGGCTTTTGCAGTTTAAGCCCATTGTGGTGACAGGTGTTTGGCATCACTAATGCAGCACAGGGGAGGGCCAACCCACGTATGGATACAGTACACCAGGAAGTTCTGCTATGCAAGTCTCACAGAAATAAACAGCAACTATACAAAACCACAGTGTGCTCTTGCACAGCTCCTATTTATTACAGTGAAGCCTACACAGGAGAATTTCCCAGTGGATTTTGTTCCATGTCAATTAGCGTGCCTCTAGATTTTCAGCATGCACCCATGCTGTCCTTTCACATACAAAGGACAAACTACTAAAAAGGAATGGCATCACAATGCTAAACGAGGAACATCCACTTTCAGAAAGACACATATAAGTATATAGCTTACTTTTCCAAATTTTGGAGGTGCTCTCGGACTTTCTGTACCAGGCCAAGCTTGGTATCATTGACTACGAAGTCATCACAGCGATAACTGCAGTAAGAACACATTAATCAGCAAATGGACAGACTTTAGCACAGCCATACCACCTTGAGCAAATATGGGTTTCTTGAACTAAACAGCAAAAAGTTAGGTGCTAAGAGAACTAAAATGCAAACTGTATTCACTACCTCCTTTCAGATGAAGAGGTACAGAGGTCTTGCCCTTATGATCTAAGCAGACTGCATTGAAAAAGGAAGCAAGCAAGTGGGTCCTACAGGGGAGGGGGGAGATGTAGCCTGACCCGCATAGCAGAAGCAGTTTTCCTATTCACAGTTCCTATCAGCCAGCTGTGCCCACTTCCATGATACAATAAGCTGCATGGAGATCAAGAAGGCACTCTTCCATTCCCCATCCCTGTTTGCCATATGACTAGGCTATTTAGGGATTGTTGTGGGGGTTTCTCCTTAGATTTGGGGGTTTCTTTGGGGGGGGAAGCTCCCTCAAGCATGCCAATACTTTCAACACTCACTACCAGAATTTGTTACAGTCATACCTCGGGTTGAAGTAGCTTCGGGTTGAGCATTTTCGGGTTGCATTCCGTGGTGACCTGGAAGTAACGGAGTGCGTTACTTCCGGGTTTCACCGCTCACACATGTGCAGACCCTCAAAATGACGTCACGCGCATGCGCGGAAGCGGTGAATCGTGACCCGCGCATGCACAGACACGAGTTGCGTTCGCTTCAGGGTGCGAACAGGGCTCCGGAACGGATCCCGTTCGCATCCAGAGGTACCACTGTATTAAGAAGATCAATACAAGTTCAAAGTATGTATTTCCTCTTAACTAAAAGTGACTGCTCCAAGGGTGGATCCAATTTGGTCCTCAATGACATTTTCCTCAAACCACACACCCCTGTCTATCAGAGGACATCACTGATAATGTCAGTGGATGAGAGAGAGGATAGGGTTTAATCCTACACTGGCTGTGTGCAGTGTTAGAAACAGAGATATGAAAGCTAGGAGCTAAACAGCACCTTAAGCCTATGTTATGGGCGCAACAATGGAATGTCTAGGCACATTTTTTAAATAACAAGAATACAAAGCTGAAAATGAACGAACTGCAACTAAAATATTATGTTCATTTTTCAAATGGTCTATTCCTTCCCCTGCCCACCCACCCCCTACTATACTTAAGAGGGTCTCTTCTCCAGTCTTCAGAAAGTAGCTGGAAGTGGGGAGGCAGAAAAAGGTCCTCCTTTCCTTCTACTCTGCAATTTTAATCTGAAATTTTAGGCACAGTACTGCGCCCAGAGCTCAGAAACTGCTCACACTAATTAAATTCCCTGTTGCAAAATGCACCTAGAACAATGAAGTTTCGAACACTCGCTGTTTGATCCTGTTTCCAGCAGGGAACAAGATCCTGCAGCCAAACCAGCAGGATTTAATCCTGCCTATCAGCCCGCAGGAGCTACTTCAATGAGGCTTTTCCAAAGGCTTTAAGACAGCTCTTCTGCTCCTATTTGCTCAGACAGCAGTGACTGTCTTAAAGTGGCTTGCCAAACTACTTTCTGAAGTTGTCTCTCTCCCCACCTTTACGCATCACTAGAGAGATCTTTACAGGAGGGGAAACTGCTTCATAGAGCCACTTGGCTGCAGGTTTACATAACTTAAGAACATAAGAAAAGCCTTCTGGAATAGGCCAATGTCCCCACCAGTCCAGCATTCTGTTCTCACAGTGGACAAGCAGCAGCCTTTTTGAAGAAGAAAATGTTTGAAGCTGCACTCTCACAATCAGGGCTTCAAAGGGAAGCATCATTCACCTGTCAACTTTGGCCCACCAGGATTAGGGGAGATAAAGAACTGGCCCTCCTGGCCAGAAAATGTTTCCCACCCCTGGACTACTCCTACACTTCAGCAGCTCAAGAGTGCAAAAAAACCTCTGTATCTGTCACATTCCTAAGCAAGAGGTTCAGTCGTGAACAATCAGTACTGACTCTCAGCACTATGTAGCAGGCCTGCCCTACAGGCGACACCCAGAGTTGGCAGTACTAAACACAATGGCATGTGCTGCTCAGTATGCTGCCACTTCAACCGATTTCTTTACAACAGAGTACTTCAGTCACTTAAGAGACTTTTTCATTATAAAAAGGGAGGCATCCAGCATTTGTGGGTGCAGAAACAGATTTTTTAAAATATAATAGGTATATTTTTAAAATGGAAAAGGTTCTCAACACGAATTCAAGGAAACATTCCAGTATCTGATATCACTTTCTGCTTGTTCCTTCCCTGCAGTATTAGCTTATATCCATCCTTACCCTATAATGCCCCTTATGAGATCTCACTACCTGCATGAATCATGATTACATGTTTTGTGGAATTAAGCATCAATTGACAACATTTGTTATCTGCAAAATTCAATCTAATATGACCACAAAAATTTACTTCTGCTTCTGCAGTTTTCCATTCCTTAAATAATAATAAAAAAGCCAGAGTGGAGGCCATGTTAATCTCTTGCAGCAAAAACAGCCAGGCAGCTATATGGTACCTTAATGACTAACAAATTTTTACTGCATAAACTTTCATGGATTAAAACCGTTGCATCAGATGCATTCAGTGTTACCCTCAGTTACACATATAGTAGACGGAGGTGGAGGTGGAAATCGGTTATCTTTGCTTCCAATTCCACATCTACCCCCAGCCACCACTACCATGAGTATACATTTCTGTAAGGCAGGATAAGAATCTGATGGTGTAACTCTAGCCTATGGAAGCTTATGTCAGAATAAATCTGCTAGTCTTGAAGGTACCACAAGAAACTTGATTGCTTTTGCTTTTAAAAAAGGTTATTGTTTTGTAGCTCAAATTCTAATGGATTGCATATTTAAAGTACAAAACTTTACATATCTCAATACAATATTTTCTCCACATTGGAGCTAAGCATTAACTATTTTAGTGAGATAATGGGATTAGAAATAATACTACATCCACGATCTATATTCCTGCTATTTATTGAGTTTTGGTACAGTGCAGCTATGACTAACCTGCTAACTGCAATTCTGCTTTTGTTTCTGCTTACACTGCTGGCTTCTCTGTGATTATAACACTACCAAGTACATAGCCTTAGCTTCACAGCAGAAAGAGTGGTTAAATATAGGAAGGGCCCAACACCTCTGCACACTGTTTCTGCTGGAAAGGGGAACAACCACAATTGCACTGTGTGTTGGAAGCCCTTGAAAAAGTCAAGAAATGACTGCAAGTCAAACAAGAGCAGATGAAAGTACGACAAATCAGCTACTAAATACAAGGTTCAAAATCCCCTTTAAAGACCTATCTGGAATTCTAAAAACAAAGAAACATTACTGAAATGCTCATCTTGCTGGCCACCACCACCCTGGCAACAAGGATTAGTTTCAACACCTCCACACACCAATTTGTTTAGGACCAAAAGTTAGGCTGGAATGCATAATGAGCTGGATAAGTGAGATTAAACTGTACTTTTCAGAGAGCTGGAACATTAAAGTTGCATTTTTGCTGTGTCATCAAGAGACATTCTCTATGGCTGCTGTACAGCTGTGAACTTCTTTCATTGTATATTTTCCTCAAATTCTGAGGCCAAACATGGTTTCAAGGCATGGTATCCTTTCTGTTTTGGTTGGCTTCTAATGGCTATAGTTAAACAGATATGTGGTATTTTAATCCAGTATAATACTTCCCTGAAGTTTACAAAGCAAGCCATATGAATGAAGACAGACTGAGTTAACTGGGTATGTTTAGCTTACTAAGTGGGGCATAGGTAGCCTCAAGGGAGGCGAGTGGGATGGGAAGAGGACAGCTGCTTTTAACTCACAAGTCAGGCTTATAACATCTCACTGACAACATGAGAGGAAAAGGCCCAAGAATGCTGCTATATATAGCATGTTGGCAACACTGTCATACCCACAAAGGGTTGACTGCTATCAGCATGACCCATAACTACACAATCTGCCCCCCACCATGTAAGGAAGATATACACATTACCCAAAGAGTGGAAGCAGTCCCAGAACCACACCAATCCTATGCAAATTAGGCTTTCACCAAAAACAGGGGGGCAGTTTGGATAGCAATCACACTGCCATAAAATTTGGACATGTGAAGATTCAGGACAGCTATGTATGCAAGCATACATGCACTCATGTAAGAGATAGACCTCAAACCAAACTTGACAAAGACCTGATTGAGATTGGAACATGACACTGGCTCTCCTCACACATTCATAATGCTGATTTACAAGTCTAGAAGACGCCTCCAATGAGGATGCTCCCTCGCCTCAGATTTCTGGGTTTTGTCCTTCAAGACAAAATTGCAAACCTTGATTCAAACACCGGTTTGAACTGAGGTAGTGTTTCTCCTTGAATTATTTCTTAAATTAACTCTACAGTGGTTTGCAAAAAAATTCCTTCTTTCAGTTGGCCTTTGGCTTTATATATCTTTTCTGCAAAAGGGTGAGAAAATTGAAATGAACTGGGCAAAAGGTTATTCCATACAGGTGAAGGTTGCTGCTTTCATTATTTACCCCAAACCCTCAAGATAAGATGGGATGAACATAGAAATAAAAAACAAGGAAATTGTTCAACTTGTATAGCGTAGTGGTTAAGAAAATCAGTTATAAGCTAGGAAGTCCCAAGTTCAGTTCTTACCACCACAGGGCCTGAGATAAACCACCATCTCAGTGTACACCTACCAGCTGCTATATTGGGATAATTCTGGCCTATCTCGTAGGACTGTTGAAGGTATTGCCAAGATAATGTGAAGCACTCTCAACAGGCATAAAGCATAAAATATAAACTACAACTACTAACTGATGATATGCCTTAAAAAACCTTACCAGTATGTACTGTAACTACTGCAATCCATGCACACTGTGTGTTGAATCTTCTCTTGCTTTTCTGTTTTCTTGTGATTAGCTAATGAAACTTGGGCCTCTTCATAATGTTTCTTTGCATGCCCATTCACATATCTGAAAGGAAGAGGGGAAAGATAGCAAGTTCTCAAGAGCCTCCTTTTCCAAGATAATGCCTAGCGCATCTCAAACAAGCATACTGTATGAACAACTGCAGCAGTATCAACTAGGTTGGGCTGTTGATTGTTAAATTACTTGGCACATTTTAAGTGCAGATACCCAGTAGGTTTTGGAAGTCTTCCAACAGAATAAGCATACATTCACCTTTGTACATTTTTAACAGCCTTTTTATGGTTTCAGTCCGATAAAAAACATCAGAAACTCTCAGATAAGAGACTTTTGAAAAAAATACTGCCCAGATTACCTGTCATTTTAATTGAAGAGAAGCACTCTAAGTCTTCTCATTCTAAAACATGTTTTACCTAAATACGCTTTCAGGATGGGTCAAATGTAGCTATACCCACCTTCCACAATGGACACTTGAACAAGTCAGGCAGATCCAAGGACTTTTATTAGATCGGCACACTGTTAAGCATGAAAAAATAGAGAAGTTGAGTTAAACAGACTGTGTGGTGCGGTCACATAAGCCAGTTTTTTGAGTTACAAATATCTCTTTTTCAGAAATATGAAATACAACACTTCTCACAATGATGTTTATACAACATCAACTGATTGGTAGTAGGTAACTCCTGTAAACTATAGAGAAGGAAGTTGACAGAATAAAGGTGGACAGTATATGAGAGTTGGAGAATGGGTGGGTTATTTTAAAATGTAAACATATATTTTCCATCAGTATATTTCTCACAATCATATGTTCTACATTTTACTTACCTGCATCATAATATGAACACTTGTTTTCTGACATGATCCTGAACTGATCTACTGTACTTTATATGTGTTAGAAACTCAGGTATATAAAGCTAATCACCAAATGGCACCTTAAATGGTTACAGTTGCCACAACAGAATGTCTAGGTGCCATTTTTTTTGCAGTGAAATTTATATCATCATCATCTGTATACAGCTTTATATTTTAAATAAAAAAATCTCAAAGCAGTGTACACATTAAAACATCAAATAAAACAATCCAGAATTTTTAAAAAATCAAGCTTCAAGGAAAATATTTCAGATCCTTTTCTCTAAGTGGCATTTTGCTTTCCCCATATTTATTTACCCCATTAAGTACAGTCATACCTCGGAAGTCAAACGGAATCTGTTCTGGAAGTCCATTCAACTTCCAAAACGTTCAGAAAGCGTGGCTTGAAGCCCCATCGGACATTCGGGTTCCATTCCAAAGAACGTTCGCAAACAGGAACATTCAGTTCGGAAGCCAAAACGTCCGAGTACCAAGGCGTGCGACAACCAAGGTACGACTGTACTCTAGGAAGCCAGTGTGGTGTAGTGGTTAAACTGTTGGACCAGGACCTGGGAGACCAGGGTTCAAATACCCAGAGTCATGAAGCTCACTGGGTGACCAGTGACCAGTCAGTCACAGCCTCTTAACCTGCCTCACAGGGTAACTGAGGAGGGGATGAATCATGTGCTCCTTGGAGATAAAGGTGGGATATAAATGCAATAAGTAAGCTATTCTGCTTACCTACTTAAGAAAGCTGGAGGGGTCAGCCAGATGGAGATGTCAGTCACCAACCTGGCATCCAGAGATCTCCACGTGGTCACAATTGGACCCATGCAAGTCACAAAATGCACCTGGCAGATTTCGAACACTAGTTAAACTGGATACTAAATCTTTACTGGTCTGAACCAGAACCAAACTGGAACATCTACAATCAGCAACTGAACCAGAACCAAACTAAAAAAATGGAATGCTTTCATTTGTTTATTATAAAATCCTGTTATGTGAAGCACTGAGGTGCAGTTGGCATGATGCACTCCACTTATAAGTGTGATTAGAACCAACTTCCAATATATTGGAAAGAAAACAGAAACCAAAGCAAGCAAGCCATATGGTAAAGATCAGATGCCATAGCTTTCTAAAGAGGGCAGTCTGTTCTGCAGTGATTGGGATAGGGATTAGGGGGTAGTCAGCAAGGATTTTCCACTCCTGCTTTGATTGATTTGAAGAGCTGAGTCACACACTTTCCTGATGTACTAAGTACATTAGAAAGGAAGAAACAGCTCATTTTGCACTAGTCACAATCTCCAATTTAACTCCAAAGCCAATCCATGAGGACCGCAATACAGTGGCCATCACTTGAGATTCTGAAATCACAAATTACAATTACTAATTTTGAGTATGAGGAAAACGTCAGCGACTTCCTTCACAGATAAAACAGTGGTTTCCAATTAGCTAATTATTGAGGATCCCCTATTTTTCAAAAGCTAAGCCAGAGACTTTTGAAACTTTTGATAACTCTATGGTAGCTGCCTGTGCAAAGCAATTTTTTAAAGAATATGTGGGGTAGCTCCTAATAAGCAAAGATTTTAAGTATGCTAAAAAGACCATAAATTTGTGATATTTCCACACAAAAATGGCAAATATTTAGTTGGGGAGAGACAAATTTGATTTTATCAATGTTTAGTACATGTGAACAAATTCTGACATTTCTAGGAGCTTCTAAACCATTCTTCTTCTTCTTGCTGTTGCTGAGAGAGAGATGCCTCCCGACAAAATGTTAAAAACACTAAACCTAAATGTGATGGGAGAAATCATGCCTCTTTTTGTCCCAAACAATTCCTTCAACATCTGGTTCTGTATTTCCAATTTTATTCTCAAATCTGGTTCAACATCAAGCCGATTTCTATGCTTGTTCTTCATAAAACAAAACAATGAAAATGTTTGTTCACGAAGATATGTGGAACAAAAGGGAACTAGATGCCTGAAAGCAAGCTTTTCCACCTAACACCTTATAATCAGCAAAAACCTTCACCCAAAATTGGTCAAGTCTACATTCTTTGAAAAATGATTTCAATGAACCATCACAAGTCATGTCAACAAGTGCATCTTGCTCTTCCGCAGATAAGAGTTGTTAGTTGTACATCACCCTTCAAAAGGATTCCTTATCCACAAGTTTTCAGGTTTTCATGCAGTAATCCAGATTTGGTGCATGTAATTGCTGAAGCTAGTCACTAAATCACGCAGGTGCTCAGTGATGTAATGTTTTACTTTCGGTATCAATTCTTCGTCACTGGCCTCTAGAAATGTCTCTAGTGTTGGGATGTTAGTGAGGCTACCACCTTCTAATCAGCTTGCCCATAACTGTAATTTTTAAAATCACTGCCTCAATTTTATCTTCAACATAAAAAAATATTCACATGACGACTTTGAAGGTTTCTGTTGAGATTGTTCCAAGTATGTGAAAATGTCTGCTAAGTAGGCTAGCATACAAAACCATGCAAAGTTGCTCAACTGATCACATGGAAATTTGAATCTGTCAAAGAAAGTCGTACTTCATCACATAAATAATTGCTTCAATATCCCGCCCCCCGACAGCCAATGCACTCCTGTATGTAAAAGTAACTGCTTATGTTGGCTTCCCAATTCTTCACGCAATTTTGAGAAGATCCTAGGATTCTAAGCATGAGATTTGATAAAATTACTAATCTGGACAATTTCATCAAGTTCCTTCTTTAGTGAGTCTGGCATCTTCTTTGTGGCCAAAGCTTATCGGTGAACACTGCAGTGGGTCTATTTCATTAAAGGTGCTACAGTCTTCACCCAAACAAGCCCACTGATTTTCCCTGACACTGCAAAAGCCGAATCTGGCAGTAGCTCTCCAGAATTCCAGATAAGGATTTCTGCCAGTCCTATCTGGAGGTGCCAAGGATTGAACCAAGAACCTTCTGCATGCAAAGCAGATGCTCTACCACTGAGCTATTGCCTATCCCCAGACAATAGGAAAAACTTGTCTCAATTGCTCCATTACAACAGAATTTAAAAAAGCAATTGTGTCCCGAGCTTGCATGTTTTATATATGCAAAATGATTTTTATATGAAAGAGTGTTCAAACATGCTATTCTTACTTGTAATTTGAAATGGTACATCTCAGCAAAACTTTGCAGCATATGGTTCTGCTAACTGAGGGATCTTGCACCTTCAAGACATAGGTAAAGGCTTGGTCAGGGCTTGATAAAGTATTGGTGGAGGCTGAATAGAAAACTATTGGAATTTTGTAATGTTGGTAATAGTAATAGTAGTTTATTATTATAATAATTTCATCCTTCTGTGCCCAAGATTCATCCCTGGCTTAAAGAGATTAATTAGCTAAATACAGTACTTATTTGGAGTGAGGTTTTTATTCTTTCTGATTACCCAATAGGAATAACCAACTTTTTAATTTATTAGGATTCTGCCATACATCTCCCACCCCCAAACATAGCTTCCCACAGAAAACAAGAAAACAAAATCCACACAGGCTACCTTCTGCACTAAACTAAATTATCAGAGAGTGAGCTGTTGTGCTAATCATAGTAGCAAATTGCTTAGCTATTTCCCTTGTCTGACTTCCAAGATGAGACACGAATCCCAAACTCATACGGCACTGAAAGACTTACCTACAAGCAGTGGGAGAGTCCTCTAAACTTGATAGTCATTGAAAGTAATTAGAAGTTCTTTTCAGAAAGAGAGCAAGGGGATGGGATCCCTTACATCACCCCCCCCATGATGAGCATGTGAACCTGCCCTGTGGAGCAAGCTATTTGCATTTGCACTCTCCCTCTCTCTCTCCACCCCCTCCAATCACAAGAGCCACAAGAAACTCTGTCAAAGATTTTTGCTCAGTCCCAGCTCACTTGCAATCCAGTAACTCTTTCACAAGTTTTTCCCCTGGGAGCAAACAGGTGCTGGTCACTAGAAGAGGCTGGATGATCCATGGAAGGCTTTCACTGTGCAATTAACAAGATAAGCGAGGCCTCCCGACAATAGGATGGTGCTGAATTAGATTCTCTTTATTTTTGTATCTCCAGCCTCCAACATCCTAAGGAGTCAAAGAACTCCTCAAAGCCCAGGCATAACAGCTAAAACATTGCATTTTGGGGCCACACTATCATCACAATTACATTCTATGCTAGAATAGAGAGATTTTAAGAAATATGCCCATGAAATCTTAGGTTCAGTTCCATGCAAGCTACAAAATACAGCCACTCTCTCCAAACACTGACAGCCCAATTAGTGTATTTGATGGCATACAACTATAGTTCCTGAAAAATAAGCCTTCATAACTGTGGTGAGATGCTGGTGCAACACAGACATACAACCAAACCATAGTTTGCACTAATTAGAGCTTAAAACCCAAGCATGATGCCTGAACTCTGAAAATTCAGGTAAACCATTGTTCAGAGTTGCTTGGCTGCTTAGTACTCCAGCTTCTAGGTACAGAGAAGCCTTCAGGGGCAAAGTAATATACTTATGCCTGTAAACTGAACTTAGTATCTATCTAGATGTTGAAAATATCAAACCAATTTTACAAAATCAAAGCTCTTCTTTGTGTGAAAAGGGGAGTCTTTATACAGCTCACATTAAAGAGAAATAAACAGAACTGTTCTGCAAGTTTTAGCTAAAGTGTCTACAGCAGCAATTACCTACAGTTTTACCCAGCTGTATTTTTAGAATGGCCTCAAGTATTATGAAAGACATTCATATAGGAAGGATTTGGCCAAAAAGAATCTGAGATGCCATAAGGCCGTCTGAAATGAGTCATATGTCTCTTTTCTTCAACATCCTGTTAATTTGGGAATGTGGAAACTATATTTGCCATTGCATAACAGAAAAGGGAGAATAGTGTTGTTTACAACTTTGTAACTTGAAGTGAGTTTGCAATGCTTGTTCCTTATTTACACAATGGGCACAGCCATTCCCTGCAAAGAATTAACTGCTCTATTTTTAAAGAGCAAAATATTTCACCCTATAAACAACATTTAGTCTGCCCCTCAGTTGGCTCCCTCCTTTCTAAGCTTTAGGTGAGCTGTTGAGATCTTTTTATTCTGCTTAGCTTTTCATTTGCTCTTAAGTTTTTGACCATTTTAGTCTGCTTCTTGAATGCATTTGTTTGATTGTGTCTCAGCTGGTTTTGTTGCAAGCTACTTTGGGGGCATATAAACCAATTTATAAAAGCAAAATGTTCAAACCACTTTACATGTTATTCCAGTAACCATTCCAGTAACCCTGTAGAGTAGACACTATTATGTGTATGTTGCAGGGGGATGGGGCTGAAGCAATGGCACAGTGGCTTGCCAAAGATCACCTATCATTTTTTAGTCAGCTGCAATGACTTTCGAACCAAGAACTTCTCAGTTTTTGTCTATGTACTGGGTAAAGGTAAAGGTAAAGGAACCCCGACCGTTAGGTCCAGTCGCAGACGACTCTGGGATTGCGGCGCTCACCTCGCTTTACTGGCCGAGGGAGCTGCCATTTGTCCACCGGCAGCTTTCGGGTCATGTGGCCAGCATGACTAAGCCACTTCTGGTGAACCAGAGCAGCGCACGGAAATGCCGTTTACCTTCCCGGTACCTATATATCTACTTGCACTTTAATGTACTTTTGAACTGCTAGGTTGGCAGGAGCAGGGACCAAGCAACGGGAGCTCACCCTGTCGATGGGAATCGAACCACCAACCTTCTGATCGGCAAACCCTAGGCTCTGTGGTTTAGACCACAGCGCCACCCGTGTCCCATATCATATTCAAACCCAGGCTGCTACAAAGAGGGTTGAAGGTGAGTAAGAAGTTATCTGTAGCTTCCATACTCACAGATGAGAAAAGAGAAAAGTCAAGTTAGGATGAAACAGCAGACAAACAGGAAATGGGCTTTAGAGAACAGCTGTGTCAAGAAACTGAAGATATAATGCCCAAGGTAGCTTTAAACAATACACTTCTAAAGGCAACTCACCACTCTCCAAGAACTTATTAGTCATTTTCTTAGACAACTAAAAGACCTGCACTAAAGCAACAACTGGCTAGTTTAAATGATTGAATTTTGCTTGTCCTCCAACTCTGACCACTGACCTCACTGCACTCTTGGCTTTCAACTTCACAAGTCCCTTCCTGCAATCCAACTCCTTGCCCATGAGCAAGATACTTTCTTCCTCTGGCACTTCTCTCTTAGTGGTCGCTTTTTCCCTTTACTCTGTGCCTTCAAGGTTACTTATCCCTCCAAGAAAAATTCCACATTCTACTGCTGACACAGTCACCCTAAGCAGCGAGCCACAGCAGCTAAGCCAATACCCGAGAAACAACCATGCAGATAGGCGGATGGCAGCCAAGTTTCAAGTCTATTACATATAAACATTACTAATTCATGTATATGATATAGTTCCCTTTTCATCAAACCTAGCCTGTCTACTAAGAGCAAACAAGACTATCTTCTGTAGCCGTAGAGACTAACAAGATCTGTTGACACAGGGAACCAAACATGCCTGCATTTCCAGGTAACAGAAATTCTGAAGTAATCATGAAAATGTATATAACAGAATCAATGAGAGACAGAAAAATAAAGGTACCTTATTAATGTATTCTTTATTGTTCTGTTTTAAGTGCTTCGTTAAAAGTTGTTTTTCTTCTACTCCACCCTAGCATGAAACCCAATGTCATACCCCTTAAGTTATGCAAATACCCAGATGAGGCCTGGTTTCCATTCAGTAATCAAGATGATATCAGCACTGGCTGAGCGAGAACACAGAAAGTTGTTTTTGCACTTATGAGCAAGGAGGAGGAAAGTACACACTTGGACTGTGGCCACAAACCCCTCCCTAATCTACCTTGAAGCATGATTGCCACATGGAAGACGGATTTAAAATTTACTGCACGTTGCACATTGAAGGAAAATTATATGAAAATGATTTATAGATGGTACCTAACTCCAAGTAAATTGGCAAAGATGTTTAAAAGTGAAACAGGCATCTGTTGGAAATGTCAAGAAGCAGAAGGAACGTTTTATCATATATGGGTGGTCATTCGAATAGTTAATGATGCTTTGGAAAGAATTTATAATGAAATGAAAAAAATGGTTTACAAGAATATTCCAAAAAACAAACAAACCAGAAGCATTTATTTTGGGTATGGTACAGACAGAAGTACCCAGGGGATAGAAAAAGCTATTTATGGATGCAAAGACAGCAGCTCAGATTTTGTTAGCTCAGAAATGGAAGGTGGGAGAGGTTCCAAAGAAAGAGGAATGGCAACTGAAAATGATGGACTATGCAGAGCTAGCAGGCCTAGCCAGGAAGGTAAGAGAACAATAAGAATGTATGTATAAAGGGGAATGGAAATTATTTGTGGAATATTTGGAAAACAATTGTAAGCAAGTGAAAATGCTAGCAGGATTATTGTAAATTCAACAGTATAATGTAGATTAAGATATAATGGAAAGGGGAAAACTAGATAGAGGAAATAGAATATGCAGTTACTTTTGGAAGTACAAGGAAAAACAAAGAGAAAATGGGAAGTCATTGGATGTACTGTTGTATATTTAAAGGTGGAAAATGTATATTGGAAAATTTAATAAATAAATTGTTTTAAAAAGCAGCATGAATGCCAAATCAAAACACAAGGAGGATGAAGCAGCATTTCACTGATGCAACAATCCTTACCTGCACACACCTATGGCTGGATGATCATTTTCCAGTATCACTGAATTACTTTAAGGGTCTCATTTTTGAAAAGAATTACTTACAACTCAATACAATAAAAATCACATGCATTTAAAATAAACAATAAAGAAGGCATGCCAAGCATCGTAATAAAAAAAAACTGCTAATAAAATTGGGCCAGCTACGAGGGAAGCAAAGGTATAGGTCTGACATTTAGCTGTGGCTTGTTCTGCCTTTTCATACTGCACGCTCCTTACAGGAAACCTTCAACCGCAATTTTATGCTAATGACCAGACTGAATGAAAGAATAACCTCAAATTCAACTTCAAACTACTTTCTAGTTCTTGTTTGGAGACAAGCTGCCATTTATAGAAACCTTAGTTTTCCCAATTCAGCTACCACAGCAAACAGAAAGCTACTCAAATCAGAGGAAATCTGAGCACGTGAGAGGAGCACCTAAGTAGGGATACCAAACCATGGTTTGGCTGTAACATGATAAACTGTGCCTAAACTGTATCAGAGCTTTCCACAGTATCACTGAGCTACTTCTCTGTGTAGCCAAGATGAAATAAGGTATTAAAATATATTGACATGTAGAAATTGACATGTGTTTTAAATCTGCTTTTAGTTTAACAGTTGGTTTTAATTACGTTTTAACTTTAAGTTTGCCTTTCATTGTTTGTTTTAGTTTATGTAAATGACTTAGAGATTCTGTTTATAATCAAGCAGTATATAAATTTTGTTAAGCAGATAAAAATAAGAATGATTTATTTCAAATGACAGTTGCTGTGACAGAGGAATTATGACCACTTGCACTGACAAGTCCTGTACATGTCATCCTCTGGTATCATTTATAACCAAGACTGGGTACATGTGCAAAGATTTTCACAAGCTGACAGAATAGTTTTCCAAGCACTGCAAAAGAACCAAATTTCAATCGCTATGGCAACCGGGCATCTAACATATATTTCCAGCCCTATGATCTATACACTGAGTCGATACAAACAAGGCATACAAAGAACCCCTCTTCAGCAGCTGCCCCAGAATGAATCACTCTTACTCTCATCTAGATGAGAGTAAGTCTCCCAGGCAACTTCCAGTTATGCCAAAAACCTTCAGCCATGTGGGTCAAGCTGGTAACACAATAAATATTCCCATTTTAAAAACGTAATTGAAAAAGCATAATAAATACTCAGTATAACAATTGAAGACATTGTTATTAGTCAAGAGATTAGAGCTGAGTTGGCCTGCCTGTAAACTGATCCAGCAAATACTCTCAATGAAATGCCCATATTCCAAAAATGCCACTATCATTTTATTTCGTTATGGTTACCATATGTTAGAATGGCTACTCATGAAGGATGCTTGCTGCTGAGCCCTGCAGCAGTCAGTGTTAGAAAATGAGATATGAAAGCTAGGAGCTAAATAGTACCTTAAACCTAGGTTATGGGCGCAACAACGGAATATCTAGGCACACTTTTTAAATAACAAGAATACAAAGTTGAAAATGAATGAACTGTAACTAAAATATTATGTTCATTTTTCAAATGGTCTATTCCTTCCCCTGCCCACCCCTCTAATATTCTTAAGAGGGTCTCTTCTCCAGTCTTCAGAGAATAGCTGGAAGTAGGGAGGCAGAAAAGGGTTCTCCTTTCCTTCCACTCTGCAGTTTTAATCTGAAATTTTAGGCGCAGTACTGTGCCCAGAGCTCAGAAACTGCTCACACTGATGAAATTCCTTGTCGCAAAATGCACCTAGAACAATGGGAGTTTCGAACACTGGCAGCAGCCCTAGTCAAATCAAGCAGCATTACAAAGCTTCTCTCATTGGCTACCTGCTATAACTGCAAGTCTCTCCAATAGGGAACCCAAGCAAGTCCTAAGTGGCAAAAGTGAGTGCTTAGTGGAGAGTTTCAGACTAGAATTTGGGTGCCGGGGCGGGGGGGAGCGGGACTCAGGTGCAAATTTTCACTTAAACCATGAGGTGGGCCATTAGCACAATCACCCAACGTACCTCTCACTGGGTGCAGTGTTCAAAACTTCCATTGTTCTAGACACATTTTACGACAGGGAATTTCATAAATACGAGCAGTTTCTGAACTCTGGAAGCACCTAATATTTCATATTAAAACTGCCACTGCTGAGGGTTTGGGAGGAGAAATTCCTTCCCGCTAGACTTCCAAGAGATTGCTGCAGCATCAGGTAAGTTGATAGGTTCCACCTCAGAGCTGGCCTTACACAAAGGCAGTGTTTCGCTCTCAGAAGCCTTGGATTGGCTGCCCTTAGGCTAGGAGTACAGCTGCCTTTTTCCTCCCTCCCTCCATCTCATTCCCATCTTGTCTCAACCACTGAAAACGGACAGGGAGCAAAGCTCTCACTGCCTTGTCTGGCTCTTTCCTCAAGAGTTGTGAAACTCTCCCCCACCCATCAGCTTTCACTGAAACTGCTGGAGGAATGGGCTTGTCTACAGAATTAATTGCACAGGAGAAATTAAACCTTGGGTGGAATTTCACACATGTGGGAGATGGAAGGAGAACTAGGGAGAATGATCTAGACAGGAGCGGTGGTTTTCTAACTTCCCATCCACAGTGCACTTGAAAACTGCTGAGCATCTTGGTGGACCATTTAAATATTTTTCTCTGTTTAGCAACTCTCATGCACTGTACTTTACAATGTTAAGGAATTCAGGAAACTGTAATACAATAAAATGCAATGTATAAGAAACAAAAGAAGCAATTTGGGCACCATTATGGGGGGAAAGGGTTTTCAATCCTGATCTGGATCTGCCTGTTGCTCAGAAGTAAATCCCAATTGAGTTCAATGGGGCTTCCTCTCAAGTAAAATATGCATGGATCGGGGACCTGAAAACTTTTCTTTTGAACTCAATATGTTTTGTTTAGGTTTTAGCTGCCTTGTTTAATGTACTTTTAATGTATGATGTGCTTTTAATTTGAAATACACTAGCCAGTTAGTTATGATGTTTTAAGTAGCGCATGTTAAAGTGTTATCTACTTCAGACTCTCACAGGGATGCTTAAAATCAAAACAAATTTTGGAGTGGGATCATTGTAGGACACTTAAGTCTTAGGTTTGCGAACTGGACACTCAAGGTGGGTGTCTCTACCATCAGATGTATTGGCCTTTAATATGTGTTAACTGTAGTGCCAAAAAAAAATATTTATATGAGGGAAAGGGGGTGTAGGGAAAATCCACGGCTTGTCTGCAGAATGGAAAGAAAGGAGGACCTTTTTCTGCCTCCCCACTTCCAGCCGCTCTCTAAAGACTGGAGAAGAGACCCTCTTAAGAATATTAGTGGGGCGGGCAGGGGAAGCATGGCTTTGTTTGTTGTTGTTGTTTTGGTTTTTTTTTTGCAGTCTTCAGATGAGGACTGGACCTTGTGAAAAATGAACACAATATTTTAGCTGCAGTTCATTCATTTTCAGCTTTGTATTCTTGTTATTAAAAAGCGCACCTAGACATTCATTTCATTGTTGCACCTAGAACTAAGGTTTAAGGTGCCATTTAGCTTCTAGTTTTCATATCTCAGTTTCTAACACTGGCCAGAAGGTGAATCCCATGGCGAGTCTCATCAGTGGACATAATTTGGAGGCCTCTGGTTAAACAAAAGCTTTATTCTAAACACCACAAAAAATGAGGAATAACTACAGCATCACCAAACAGTGCCAAGGAATGTAGTCACAACTGTGCTCATTAACTTACAGCACTAGAGCAATTATAATGAATGCTTTAAAAAGCAGTAAAATACAACCATAAAGAAATAGCAAAAAATAATTAAGAACAGCAGAGGTTAAAATTACTGTCTCACTATAAGAACAGCAGTAGCAGAGAAAGAGAATACCCAATTAATGACATCCAATATAGGCAGAAAAATATGTTTTCACTAGAAATGTTTACAAACCAGCCCAGAATATTTTATTTGTCATCTTGTATAATTCTAATACAAAACACAAAAGGACAGGGGGAAAGTTCCCACACTTGTTCCCTTTATATGTCTATAGTATATTGTAGAAAGAAAAATAACTCCCGTCCTCCTCTGCTGAACTCTGTTCAACAGGGTATTCCCAAAGGAGTGTAACAGCCACACATAAATATGCGCGCGCGCACACACACACACACACACACACACACGAGTCTATTGGAAATCCACATTGCAATACAGTACATCATAAACTCCTGGCTTTTCTAGAGCGTTACAAGCATGATTGATGTTTTATGGACTGGAAGAACCATGGGAGGGCTGAGACTGCAGGGAGGGGAAGGTGGTAATGAGAGGGGAGCTTTATCAAACAAAGCGTACGGAAAAACTCTGGCATCCTGTAAAACACTCCTGCATTTGTGTAAGTGCACTTATGTTAATTTACATATACAATAGACAAAGATGTATCTGGCCCTGTCTCAGCAAAACAGCAACTTCAACTGTACTCTTTAGGAGTGCAATTGTAACATCTTCCAAACTAATTCAATTTTGCAGCAAATTCCCCCAAATCATTGTCAGGATATTTATACAAACGTCAGACTTACAGGAAGCCATTTGTAAGGGGCAAGTAACACTTCCATGCAGACAACTAGCTTGTCAGGCCCTAAAGACAGCTCACAGTACAGTGGTACCTTGGTTTACGAACTTAATCCCTTCCAGAAGTCTGTTCTTAAACCAAGGTGTGCTTTCCCATAGCAACGGTGGATTCAATTTACAAATGGAACACACTCAACAGGAAGCAAAACATGTTGTTATTCCAAGTCAAAGTTCACAAACCAAGACACCTACTGCTGGGTTTGCAGCGTTCTTAATCCAAGTTGTTCATAAACTAAGCTGTTCTTAAACCAAGGTACCACTGTATACTTTTATAATCTGCAAGATACTGACACTGATACTTTTTACTACCTTCACCTTTGGTAATGTTATCTTTCTGACCTTCCTTGAGGAAGAGGAACTTCATGCCAGTGATCTTGCCTAACAGATTTGCTTGCCTGAGCTAATAGATACGCCCCTTATGACTAAGTTTGTAAAGATATTTCTCAAAGTTGTTTTCTTTTTCAGTGCTTTCATTTACACTTTAGTTCTCCTGCAACATCACATAGTATAATAAATTCTGCTTTAACACTGCATGTTTTACAGAGTAATATAACTGGTTTAGCCAAAGGCAGCAGTAGTACCTACCACACCTTAGCTCCAGGATGGAGTTGCACAGGAGATTCAAGCAAGCTAACAGCCTCTCTCAAACATAAACGTAAGAGCAGCCATGTAGCTTTTCCTCCATAGAAGGAAACCTCAGAAAACAACATTAGCAAGGTTTCCTCACTTTAGTGACAAGATGCAATCCACAACCCATTGAACTGCAAAACTCCGACTGAGTTTTGCAAATTCAAAAGAGAGGCTTTTCGAGTACAACTCAGACATTTTAGAGAAAAAGAGAAGTTACAAGAGCACAGCTGAAACACTGTAAAACACCCTACTATTGATTTACTTCCTACTAGAAAGGTGAAAACAACTCAAAGTGAAACAACTGAACACAACTTACAGTACTCTGTTTCCATGAGCGTACTGAAAATGTAAAGCAAGTGTCTCAATGTTTATTACCACCATGAAATGAACAAAAGGCCAAACATGGAAAGTCTTACATTTGCACCACAACACACATCTCAATTATGTAAATATTGACTGAGGCCATGTGTACACACAGAGGAATCAAATTACCCAGCATTTCCTGTTGAAACTTTCCCTCCCCATATGTTTTATTGCACTATATCCACCCTCCAGCATACTGTGGCCCAGTTCACTGGCATGGCCTAAATTCAAAAATACAAGAGGCACCTTCGAGCACATTAAACACAAACAGCCTCTTCAGCAACCAACCAACCAATCTTTACTGCGGTCGAAGAACAGACAGCAAAGTTCGCAACAGAAACACAGCCTCTTCAGCGTCCTCCTTGGTGGGTTTTGTTTTTCTCGCTACTGCTCTCTCACCGGAACAAAGAAGCTAGAAAGAAATTTCTGCATTCTTTCCCATTTGAAGGCAACGAACCCCTTGGCCACCTCCTCTCTCCAGGACAATGCCTTGCCTGCCAGCACATGGTCAGGATCACATCTGCTAGACTTCCCTCTCTAAGAAAGTAAGACAAGCTAGGCAGAACTGTAGAGGCCAAGCATTCCTGAGCCCACAGAATGGGAAGGAGTAAAATGAGGCCTGCAAAAGCATTCACGGATAGATGAATGCAAAAACTACATATCCTGAGCTTTGGGAGGTAGGAGTGCTGCAAATGATCCATCTTTCTAAAAAGAGTAGAAAATATGATCCCTCCAACATCTCCAGCAAAGGCCCAGGATGGTCCCCTGCTGAGAAAGGGTCTGAAATCGAAGACTTCCTGCTCCTCTTGTTCTTGCAGGCATCCTTTCCTCCCCCCCCCCCCAGCCCTAGCATCTGTGGACCATAGAGAGAAAAAGGCCACAAAGGAAATGAGAAGCAAGCTCAGGATTTCGGGAAGTTATATAAGGAGGCAGCCTAGTACTGTACATGCATAACGAAAAGGAGATGCACTGTTGTTTGCACACGACAGTGGGAGAATATCGAGAGATCAGAGAAAATGGTTTAATGGGATCAGGAGGGCAGAATCTGAACGCGGAGTCTCACCAGGAGGGGATAAGAAGAGGAAGAGGAAATCTTACACAGAACCGGGAAAGTGAGGCAACGGCCACGAGGCAGAGCCTGTCAAGGGTTACCACAACTTTAAGGCAGGGAAAAGCCCAAGCAAGACGAAAAGAGACGCGGTGCCTCTTCAGGTGCTGCCCCCTCTTTGTTGCTCTGGCGCGTAAGGTGCAGGAAAGGGCGGGGCGGGGGGCAAGAGGAGGCAAAGCTAGTGGAGAAAGCGAAGGCCCCTCAAGCCACAGTGAAGCGGAATAAGGGGGGGGGAGGAAGAGGACGGACTCGAGAGAGGGGTCGTGGGAAGAGCAAAATCCCAGAGATCTTTTTGTTGCCGGTGGGCGGGGGGGGGGAGCTCGAGAGACGGGTGTTGAAATAAAGCCGGGCGGGCGAAGGGCCTGGACGTGGCCCTGGAACAAAGGAGAGCGGGGTTGGGGGGAGGGGAGCGAGGAAGATGAAGGTGCCTGTCAGCCCCCCCCCGCCCCCACTCACCGCTGCAGCACCACGAGGAGGGCGAGCCCTGAGGGAACTTGGCCGAGTCGGGCGCCAGGCAGACGCTGGCGCCGAGGTGAGGGCACTCCATGGCGGCGGTGGCGAAGGGCCGGGGCGCGACGTGAGGCGGGCGAGACGAAGCGCAGGCCGGGACTGAGCGGGGGGGGGGGGGGAGGGGGCAGGCCGGGCCCGGAGAGCGGCGCTCGCTCCGCCTTTTCTCTCTCTCTCGCGCGCTCGGGGTAGCGCCGCTACTGCGCCTGCGCCGGCCGGCACCTCAGCGCCCGGGAACCCTCGAGCCGCCCGGCCGCCATGGCGGTCTTCCTCACAGGCGGCGGCGGCGGCCCTTTCCTCCTGCCGCTTCTCACGGCGAAGTCCCAGTCCCGGAGGACCACTCGAACCCCCCAACTTCGAGAGCTCCCGCCTCACGGAGCTTCCGGAATCGTAGTTACGGGAAGGCGAGGCGAAAGGAGCCCTCGGCCCCAAAAGGCAGCGTTGAGCGGGGGGGGGGGGCGGGTAGAGCAGCTCCCCGCTCGGCTTGTTGGTGTTGTTTATGTGGCGCGAATGGGAACCGGAAATGAGCGGCTCTTGGCTTTGTCTCTCGGGGAGTTTGACGGCGCTCAGGCCCCGCCCCTTCCTCCCCCACCACTCGCTTCGCCCAAGAATCCAGGCTCCGGGTTTGTCTTCCCACCGCCTGGTTCGGCTTTCCCAGCGACGCTGTAGCTCCTGCTGTTCCCCCTTTCACCGCTAGGGGGGATGGAGCAGAAAACGAGCGTTCGTTGTCCTCGCTGCCATCCCTGCCGCCTTGCGCTAATCCTGAGATGAAGGCATCGCAATCAGACTTCTCCCTTTTTAAATTATTATTAATTTCCGCAATTGCTGCTAGTGGTCGCCTTATAATGGCAGCTGAAAATGATTATCAACACACTTCCCACACGCAAACACATGCACAACAAAACAACTTAAAACAATCACAATTTAAAATGCAGTAAAATCCAGTTAATTAAAGTTACCAAAAGTAGAAAACAGCAGCAGAATAACTTAGCAGCTAAAACAAATCAATGAAAGGGGTTGAGCAGAAGGCACAAAAACAAACATTTTTGTTGTTGATGATGTCCCCAGTGAGGTGTGCCTGACACCACTTGCGCTTCTTTACAACACACATTATTTGAACCTTGACAAATATGACTTTACGATTTTATTTATTATTACATTTATATCCCTCCTTTTCTCCAAAGAAGTCAACCTAGCATACACACTTCTCCCTCTCAACAACACTGTGAGGTAGGTTAAGCCGAGAGTGAGTGACCGGCCCCAAGTCACCAAGTGGGCTTCATGGGTGAATAGGGATTTGTGTTCTGGCCTCCCAGGTCCTAATCCAGCACTCTAACCACTATGCCACACTGTTTGAGCATAGTGGGGGTCAAGTACCATCTAAAAATTACTTTATAAAGGTTTTCTTTTGAAGTGATTCTGCACAAACTGCAGCTTACAGATCAAGCACAAGGGAAGCCCCACATAGAGCTCATTGCAGTAATCAAGTCTTGAAGTAATCAATTGTAAGGGAAACCTATGCCAGGAAAATTTTGTATTTAGAGGAGATAGGTCAATTGGTTTATACAATTCTTCCTCATTGCTTAGGGAGAAATGTGACTCATCAACCTGGGAAAGTTGCCAATCTAGGAGAAGGAAAATCTGATCTGAAACCACTGCTGCCTTTTGGGATATTTTCAGGAGAGAAAAAAAGGCTGGGGAGTAACTACATGGAGTGGAGTTACCAAGACAGTTGGATGGCCTCTTATATGCCTCCTTCCAGCAACTATTGAGACAGGCTGCTGCCAAATATATTGTTCTGCTTTCCTTTGGACCACATCAGTGAGACTGATGTCCGGACAGCCCAGGACTTCCTACGCACTGCCCAGGCTTGAGCCCCAGGGAGGTCACTTCAATGTTGATAACACAGTGGTTTGGCTTCACCCCTGGAGGCACGCTTCATTGTCTATTGAGACAAATGAATGCCAACAACCTCATTGCTTATTGGTACAATCTCTTTGGGACTGTCAACGGTTTTTGGTTTGCTTTATTGTTTTGATGTACTGTTTGTGCTCTAATAATAAGTAGCAGCAGGGTTTGGGAAGATCCACATGGCCCGGCTGGAGGCTGAGTGCCTGCCAGTAGTAGTGCAACTGCAGAGTTAATTAAGTATGCTGGCCCCTGTATTTTGGACTAGCTTAACAGGTGGGAGGAATTTAGATATTAGGCCAGCCAGCTACGGGTTCAAATTATATAAATCTCTCACATGGGGTTAGACTTTGGAGCTTCAGTGTAGAAGCTGACCAGGAGGGTGTCATCTTCCTTTCTTCTTCATTCTTAATAAACTACATAAAGTTTGGCTTTGGGTTCTTGCATATATTTGCAGGAGAAGTGTAAAATCTCCCATGAACATAAATCACTTGGCTCATGCTACAGAAGGGGATGCCAGAGAAATGCCGGTTGCTCGGATCCAGAGAGCTGGTTGTTTATTAGCGGAGAGCAATGTTGATGGAGTTTGTTTTGCCCTGGAGAAAATTAAGTATACTAGATGCTATCTCAGGGTCCCTGGTTAAATATTTGCTTAGGATCCAAAAATCCATCTTTGTCAGAGGGCGCTGTAGGGGCCAGCATTACTGGACAGTCTTCTAAGTGTAACTGGTCTACTGCGCAAGGCAGTTTGTGTAAAAAAAAAGGCTTAAGAGGCTTCTACTTGCCTCCCCTTCCATTACAGTGGTACCTCAGGTTACATACGCTTCAGGTTACATACGCTTCAGGTTACAGACTCCACTAACCCAGAAATAGTGCTTCAGGTTAAGAGCTTTGCTTCAGGATGAGAACAGAAATTGTGCTCCGGCAGCTGGAGGCCCCATTAGCTATAGTGGTGATTCAGGTTAGGAACAGTTTCAGGTTAAGAAAGCACCTCTGGACCTGAGGTACCACTGTACAGGGATTTCCTACCCACCCAGTTATGCTGACCTACCTGGAGAACCTGTGACCTTTTGCATGCAAAGCAAGTGTTTTCTCACTGAGCTACAACCCCCCCCCCTCCGAGTAAACTGCCTTGGGTAGTTTTTTTGTGGGAAAGTGATGTATATTTAGAACCAATACAGTCACAGTGGAGGAAGTGACCTTTTGAAATAACGCTGAGGAGAGGACCTTCGGTTCCAGCAGCTTAATTTTGAAGCCTTTCAAGCATGGTAGCTGTGGGCATGGTCTCCAAAGAAAATACATTTTCTCCCATACTATTTCCACTGCTGAGCACCAGGGGGCACCAGGCACATGCTCCAGAACTTATACTTTTTTTAGACACTGAAGTGCCTTAACAAACTAATTCATTGTGCATTGCTGTTATTTCTGCATTTTTCAGTGGTAATCCGTGAAAAACAAGATGGTCTTAAGTCATTGAAAACTGTTTGGTAAGTTGAAATTTCTGGTTTTGGAATACACTTTCAGATATTCTATTCTGATAATCAGCTTTTACACCAGGCATAGGCAAACTCAGCCCTCCAGATGTTTTGGGACCACAACTCCCATCATCCCTAGCTAGCAGGACCAGTGGTCAGGGATGATGGGAATTGTAGTCCCAAAACATCTGGAGGGCCGAGTTTCCCTATGCCTGTTTTACACAGTATTCTAAGTAACTGGGAAAGTAAATGAAAAAGATATTGTATTAATAAAGGAAGAGAGAAGACAGCCTAGGACTAAACAACTGAGGTAATCAAATCTAAGTGTAAGTCAAAAGAGCCAGGTTTCACAGCTAGGGAACCAGAACATGGGTGTAGCCAGGGGGCAGCTGCTCCCCCGTCAAGTTAATAAATAAAAATACTTAACTAAAAGTAGAAATAATCAGAACGCTTGAAATTGAAATGCTCACTGAGGTCACTTGGGTGATGATATGGCATATTTTAGTGACACATCTGGCAACCCAACTGAGTGATAGGCTGTGTTTTGTGAACTCCCAAAGTGCATCACAGGTAACACTCTTCTGGAAGCTTCTCGTGGTTTCCAGCATTTTCTCCTGAGAGTGCACACTTGCAGGGACTGCCTAGGAACTGTTCTTGGTAAAATCATTCCGAATCTGATGATGACAAGTGGGTGTCCTGCCAACATAAATCCTGGCTATGCTCAGGAGCCAGAGGTCTTACCTTTCCAGCAACCAGGTGGCTCAAAGGAGGGACCACCTATCGTCAACCTTAGCGGCAGAGAATCCTTCCTCCTGAGAAGAACCCTTACTCATGAGCAGCCCTTTATTCTGGAGCAACATAGCAACTGGGCTTTCAGGCATGGATTTTGTCATTGACTTGCAGCCTGAGCTTGGACCTTTCTCCATCTGCATTCTTGAGGGCTGGGGTGGGGTGGCTCAGCCTCTCCATCTAAATGTGCTGGGAATCTGTTGACAATTAGATTGGATCCTCTGGAGGCGGCCGTAAGGAGGCCCCCCCAAATTCATAGGGTCTTCAAGGCTAGCAACAGGGGGCCCTGCCTGCTCTCCCAGGTCTTGGGCCAAGAGGAGGTCCAGGTCATCCAAGCAGTCAGTTTCTGACTCTGGGTCAGTTTCTGACTCTGGCATTTTTAAGAGCACCCAAAATATTCTTTTAAAAAAAAATATTGGTTTTTTACAAGAACAAATTCAAAATAATAAAAAGAAAAAACTTTTACCATATCCATATATGAGATTCTCTGAATCCCTTTACTTCCCCCTATCCCCTGCAAGGGTCCTTAACATAATTTTTCTAAAACGACATTACGTTCTCCACAGTTTTCATCGCTCTAAATTAACCTTATTTTTCGTTTCTTCACAAGTCCAGCTAACATTTTTATTTGTTTACGGTGGTCTCCAGTGCGGTTTTTGGCGCTCTGCAGAAATACAGGAGCCATTAAAGGGCTGGGGCTCTTACCAAGGTGCACACGGCTGTTTCTGCATATATATCTTTAATAGTAATTATGTAAAATATATTAATTTGCTGGCAGTTGTGCAGAGCATTTTGCATGAATAAATGTCAACCCATACTGGTTATTGGAGCTGCATTTGAGAAAGCAGCTATGAAATTGTTTTTAGAAGATTTAAGCAAAGATCTGAGAGTTTCCTTTCTCGCTTCAGAATTTTGCTGAGCTTTTAGATGTGTAATTTCCTAAATGCCTGCATTGTTTTATGTTGCTTTGATTCTCTCAAAATTACTTGCGATCTAGGCAAGACAGGTATAGGAACCCTGAGAGATCAAAATGTTGGCAACGCAAGTAGTCAGAAGGGAGTCAGCCCATGTTCAACTTATGCATATCCAGCTGGCCCTGCCTATCTACCCCAACTGCCCCTGAACCGTCTACTGGGGTTTCTCACTTCTCCCAGCCACCTCCCACTAGTAACTTCCTCCTCCCTCTCAGCCACCCTGTCCATTTGTGACATCACAGGAAGTTTGTAGCTGGTGGCAACTGCTTAGGGATGCATCTGCACGACCTCCCATCCTGGTACTGGAAAGGGGAATGTCATGAACGTTACTTAGATGCATTTAGAAATACCTTGATTTAGAAGTAAAAGATGGCTTGCTTAAGCTCTGCTGTTCCCTTCATTGCTGCTTTCGGGGAAAGCCTCATTGGCTTGTAGCATCCATGAAAGGCAAACACAGATATGGTGAGGGGAATGGCCCTCATTCAACAGTTATCATTCAGCCACCTCCACTGGCCAGCCTGCCAACCTCTGCTGGCTTCCACCCATGAATATCCAGTGGTTCATTCGCCCAGAGCCTGGAGGGCAGCCTACACCGCTATCTGAACATGCAATTCCCAGGCATACCATGTCTGGTGGGTGACCTATGTCCAATCTCTCCATTCATACTTACCCCAGCGTCAACGCACAAATATCCACACAGCTTTTGTCAATGGCCTTCTGAAGGTGAATTTCAACCAGCTTACATGCACAAACTTCAGCCTCCTTCAGCCCTGCAGCATCCCGGGCTTCCACATGCTAATCACAGCTTCTGCCAGGTCCATTACCAGCTTCCAACCATGGATATCTGCCACTTTCAAGCTGCGGTCCTGCTCAGCAGGTACACTTGCCTTCTCGTTGCTCCACAGAATCTCATTGGTGGATGATGGCCTCCTTCCATTTGCCACTTCGCCTCCATGCGGAAGAAGACCACCAAGTACTGAATAACACAGCTGTTGTCCACTGTGTCCTCTTCAAGCTTTTGCCTTGGGCTTTCCCTTTGGGCTGCTTTTGTATATCCACTGAGCTTCCGTGTGCTTATGTGACATCACAGGATGTCCACAGCCAATAACAGCAGCTGGAGCAGCATCATCAGCATCACCTCAGGCCTCACAATGGTGGGTGCCGCTCAGAAGCCATTTCCCCTTTGCTTGTTTGCTATGTACAGCTCACTCCTTATCTGTAATGACACCAGAGAAAGGCATGCCATAAATCCACCTTCCCATTTTGATTCTCTGGCGCCCTATCTGCATAACCTAGCAATTCCAAAATATAGACGTGTTTTTACTCTCGCAAGATTGAATGTATTGCCCTCGGCTGTACTTGAGGGATGATTCCAACAGATTCCACACGAAAAACGCTAATGTCCCTGTGGAGATGGCAGCACAGAATCGGTGGCGCATGCCCTTCTGACTTGCACTCTTTATAAAGACTTGAGGAATGAGATTATCACCCCTCTTTTATTGTCCATTCTGGGTCACCCAGCCACTGCCACAGTGTCCTTTCTCTTGGCAGATCAAGATGAGCAGGTAACAGCAAAGGTTGCAGGGCTTTTAGCTGGGGCAATCAGAATAAGATCCACTATTTGTGTTTTATATAATCTGTGTTTTATATAATCGCCTTTTTATTTCTGTTCTGTGTATATTGCAATGTTCTTTTGTTGCTATGGTCTATGGCTGACGCAAATAAAGTTTCAGTCATTCAGTGGTCTCCTAAGTAAGTTATGAATTTTTCCCATTCTTTTTTAAAGACATTATCTTCTTGATTCCTGAGTCTCCCAGTCAGTTTTGCCATTTCAGCATATTCCAGCAATTTAACTTGCCATTCTTCCTTGGTCGGTACTGTTGGTTCTTTCCATCTTTGGGCTAGTAGCATCCTTGCAGCTGTTGTCACATACATAAATAGTCATTTCTGGTCTTTTGGGATATCGGAACCTTTAATTCCTAATAGAAATGCTTTTGGTTTTTTAACAAATGTTATTTTAAACATTTTTTTCCAATTCATTATATATCAATTCCCAAAAAGACTTTGTTATCTTACATGACCACCACATATGATAAAAGGTACCCTCCCTTTCTTTGCACTTCCAACAAATATTGGTGCTTGTTCTATACATTTTGGATAACTTAGTAGGAGTCAGATACCACCAGTACATCATTTTCATATAATTTTCTTTCAGCGTACAACATGCTGTAAAGAGCACCCAAAATATTCAAGACAGACAGAAGAATGTTGCATTCCCTTTAAAAACCACACACCAGCCATTTAGTTGGCTGAGTTGCACCTATATACAAACTTGGTCACTTTTCCTCTATCCTAAACAAAACTGTTGCCAAAATACTCTTACAGACGGTGCTATTTTTGTAGCCATGTGTTTCCTTGTAAACCACAGGGGCTGCCAGCATGGACTGTGTTGGTTCAATTCTTTGTTTAGCCAACTCATCAGTCAGCTCTTCCCTGTATTGTGTTTGAAACATTTGACACTGCTGGTGCTAAAGCAGGCCAGTTACAACCCCATCCTCAAATCCTCAGTCAGGCCCTGGCTGAGGCACCCAGGGGTTTGGAAGGGCCTCACTGGTCCAACCCAGCCATGCCACCATTCACAGCCTTCCCCACCAAGTTCCCGGGTGTTTCCAGTAATGGTGCCTCTTTTGAACATGAGCCCGCTCAGCTTGCATTCATCCTACCGTGTGGGTTTTTTTGGAGGGGGTTTGGCACCATTCTGAGGACCCCTTGAATCTGCAGTCCTTTCTCACATCTTTGTGGGAACATCTAAGGGCTGCTTAAGCCCACCTAATGTGAGAGTGGGGTGGGAGAATGCCTGCATGCCCGTGTCTGCATTGCTGCTCCTCTCTCTGGATCCAGGGGTGCCTAGTAAAGTTGGCAGCACTTTCCAGATGGAAACATACAGAATCATACAGCGTTGGAAGGGACATTTAGTCCAAGCCCCTTCCTCAGTGAAGGGTCTGCAATGCAGAAAGGCAACTACAGCAACTCTGGCCTAGCTTCCCTTTAATTACCTCAAGTGAAGTAATTACCTCCACCTCCCAAGGCAGTCAGGCAACTTAGCGTTGGACAGCTCTTGCCATTAGGACATTTATCCTTAAGCTCAGCCATGCAGAGACTTGTGAGATGGGGGGTGGAGAGAAAAATGAAGAGAGGCTGCAAAGAGAAGAGAGTGTTAGGTGTCACTAGCATGATGGGGTGCAGAAAGATCAGTGGGGTGAGGAAAGGGGGCTAGCTGGAGATCAGAATAAAGAGAACACTAATGGAGGTGCTAGCTGGACCATCAAGAAGGCTGATTGCCGAAGAATTGATGCTTTTGAATTATTGTGCTGGAGGAGACTCTTGAGAGTCCCATGGACTGCAAGAAGATCAAACGTATCCATTCTTAAGGAAATCAGCCCTGAGTCCTCACTGGAAGGACAGATCCTGAAGCTGAGGCTCCAATACTTTGGCCACCTGATGAGAAGAGAAGACTCCCTGGAAAAGACCCTGATGTTGGGAAAGATGGAGGGCACAAGGAGAAGGGGACGACAGAGGACGAGATGGTTGGGCAGTGTTCTCGAAGCTACAAACACAAGCCTGACCAAACTGCAGGAGGCAGTGGAAGACAGGAGTGCCTGGCATGCTCTGGTCCATGGGGTCACAAAGAGTCGGACACGACTAAACGACTAAACAACAACAATGGGGGTGCTTCCCTGTGGTTAACCTTGCAAACCAGACTCTTCAGCTTTGCTGTAGTCATCAATAAACACTTGCTGGGCCACAATACCTTTGCCACAAGACCAGGCACTATTCCATGACAGCACAACAGATAAGAAACCACATTGTGCTTTGGAGTTCCATGTGACAACAGCCCAATTGATTATGGGAGCAGTTGGACTATATCCACATTACATGAATCAAATGCTAGTGAGACATTCCTCCAATGGAGTTGAAACCACTCAGTTCTCCAAGTCAAGACACTTTCTAAAAAAGAATCTGTCTCAGCTCGATTTTCACAGAACACCTGTGCCAAAACCAATATATCCTAAATCTGCATCTCCAGCGCTTCATGGATGCAAATAGGGATGCCCTTGTATACACCCCATTGCCATGTCAAGATTTGCAGCCAGGCTCTTCCCTTCTACTCCACTGTCTGCTGCATGATGCTGTGTGTTCCTCCTTTACTGATTCCGAAGGGAAGTGGGTGCTTGTTTTCTGCATTGAGGAAAAAGTGAACTGTCTAATTGGTTGCGGAATCTTCAGTGCTGGCAACAGGACAACAACCCCCCACAGTACCCGAGGGAGAATGGCACACACAGCTCTGCCCCCCAACACCTCACTGCTGCTCCTTGCACCCCAGCAGCCATCTTACTCTGTATAATGTTAGAGCTGGCTCTTATAAAATGCTATCACACTTCCTTACGTTATACTTGTGCAGCTGTACTGAGTGAAATATACAAGTGCACATTCACCTTACACAGACATGCTAAACACCAGGGTTCAACCCAGGGTATGGAACTGAACCCTAAAGAATTACAGTGCTAGCCCCTGACATCATGATGATGATGCATTGTGAAATGTAAAAATAGGGAGAAATAGGGATGGTGATATACCAGGATCAGAGGCAGCTAGAGACTTTTAAAGAACAGTAAAAGTGGGCTCAGTAAAACAATATCAGATAAACAGAATGGCCACAATCCAGTACTATTGAATGCACATAAGCTTATTCAAATGAATGAGTTTGAGTGTCCTTAAACAGATTTAAGGACACTCAAACCCATTCATTTGAATAAGCGGAACTGTGGCCAGTTATAGCAATTTATTTTACTTGCAGTGACTATGAAGAATGTGTCTTTCCTGTTCACAGAGCTCTGTTTCTTGAAATAATGTCCATTTGTGCTCATGAGCAAACCGGCCATATTGGGAGTCTTCCTGGCCACCTCCCATGCCTCAGCACAGTCAGGTGCCAGAATCCCTTCCTTTGAGAGTTCCAGCCGACCCACACAGCAAGCCTTTCATCGAAGCCCATTTTTAACCAAGCAACACTTTAGTAATGACAGTTGCCAGAAGCCCCAAACCTTAAATGAATAACTTGGTCTACCTTTCAGCATCCACCCATATTTTGCTCCCTGCTATAAAAAGGCAAAGGTGCCTTGGCTGTGGGATTAGGTTTCCCTTGCTGTTTGTTTTTGAAAAGCCGTGGAAATGTCAAATGAAAGCCACATTAAGTTTTGGGTCACCATTTGTAAAGCATCTAGTCATTCATGCAGCCCCTTTGCTCAGAATCAAAAGCTTTTTGCTTTGGCCTTTTCAGTCCAAAGACTTGGTAAGCAGGAAGACATACTGAATATAGATTTTAGCACCCAGAAGTTCACCTCACTGCCTTGACCTTATTGTTATTAAAAATAAAATTTAAAATCCGTAACAGACCCACCAGTTGTTGCAGGAACCCAAGCAAGGGAATGTTGTGGTCCCACCAAGTCTCAATGTTGTATCCACATGCTCAGTTCTGTTGTGGGAGAAACATACTGAATGGCACTGAGTGGAGGCACCACTGTCTACCTTCTCAATCTATTCACCTCCCAGTCTCTAGAAGTCATATCTCCCTCCACCAAGTCTAAGGAAAGTCTGATGACCATGAGAGAAGCTGGACACCAACTTCCCAAATGTGTTACGTTCACTCTCCCAAACTACCTGCCTTTCCTGTGCTTGGCTGTGTCCAGTAACCTGCTGCTCAAAGCCACCTGGCCTGAATTATTAGCACCAGATGCAGATTGCCATGCAAAAGAACTGGGAGAGGGTTCTGTTGTGGTCCTCCTGCCTAAAATGGGGCCCTACGTGGCTCACCTAGTCATTTGCACTGAGTATAGAAACATATTATACTAGAACTCTCTTAAATCCACAGTCTACTCCATTTATCCCATCCTTTCAGACAGGGACAGACCTTTTGGCCCAAAACTAGAAACCATGTTGACCACACCCCCATCTCTGAAGAATTCGCACACCCCCAGGACCCGACATTTGGCAAAATCATTACAGCACTTCCTATTGACCCTAACTTGATACACAGAACCCCTGTGATTGGAGAGGGGTGCTAACTTTCCCCTCTGCACACAGCTGAGCTTCCTGGGTGTACACAGATGCACTATGTCCTAGTTGGCGGATCACCAGCTGAATCCTCAAAGAGCCTTTGAGAGAAAGGAACCGTTTCTTAGGTCTAAGAAAGAAGACCCTCAGTCTATGTTTAAGCCAGTTGGGAAGAGTTGGCACTCCAGGATACCAATAATGCAATCTCTCTCTTGGTTCTTCCTAAAACACGGAGCCAAAATGTACAAACCCAGTTTTCTTCCCACCTAATTCACTACAGTCCAGGCCAACCTGCCAACACTACCTGCATTCAAGTGGCTGGTTAGAAATGAGCCTGGCCCGGGCACTGTGTTAACAGGAAGGTCAACCAAATCCAAACTCCTCCTCACCCACCACCTGCCTTTTGTCTTATCCCAAGAACAAAAAACTCAGCAGACACCAACAATAAGGGGTCCTGCATGCAAACACAGAGGGTTTTTCTGCACTGAGCAGCCCCTCCCTCCCTTCTTGCTAAAACAGGACTCTAGCTCTTGTGACTGAACAGGAGCTTCACAATGTGGTGGGTTTTCAAGGCTAAAATGCCCTTAAGAAGAGCAGCAATCAACCTAGAGATGTAGCCTATGGTTGCCTAGCAAAAAGCAGACCTTGGGGGCTCATCAACACTACTTTTTGTCCTAGGATTTTTTTTTTGCTTGCATTGTGATTTCTCAGCATGGGTCTGAAAGGCTTTTATTTTGTCTTACCACTTTCCCTGGGAAAACCCATAGTTTACTACTGAATCAGAACAAAACATTAATCTGCAGAAAACCTGATTGACATTTGTTCTGGGTCAGCAGGTTTTCCCAGGGAAAGTGGCAGGACAAGTCCACTTACCCTGAATGATCAGGCTGCATTGTGGCCTGACCATGAGCCTGGTCAGCAGCACGCTGGGGAGGGCTGCAGGTTGCCTGCAGATTGGCCTATGGCAGGCAGGGCTGGGTCCAGGGATTCCCCAGGGGGTGGGCTCAACCTGCCAATGGGCCTTGCTTGGATTCGTCTCCTGGGGGAAAAAATTGAAGTAAGCCCATCATTCCTCCTCAGTTTCTCTGTTGGATCTGCCACCGTTCCTCTCCTATTCCATATGCTTTTCTTTCATCCTAAGACCTTGCTAGAGACATTATTGGCTGTTGTATTCAGAGCCGGGCAGGAATTTTTCCATTTAGCAAACTGGCACTGGCCATTTGCTTTTCACCTACCTCATAGCAATCATCACAACTCTTTGTGAGGTTAGGAACTGGGTAAGCCTTAGTTTTGGCTGGAGCCTGGAGGGGAGGTTGTAGCCTCCACCTGCCCCTCCTTGGTTGTTGTATTTTTAAAAAAATATTTTTATTAAAGTTTTCTTGGTTTACAAAGGTATGCACAATGTCTCTTTTTTCAAGTTACATTTTCCATAGGTCAGTTTCATTTGTTGAGACATTAGGGTTACCTTGGTTAAGGGTATCCCATTAAAGGGATCCATGAGGACTTGCGTTTGTCCAACGCCGAGATGGGGATTAGGGACATAGAACTCCTCCAGCGGGGACCCCTTAGGGGGTGCCTCTATTTGATGTAAGTCTTAGGGGCCCCCATGTTGTGGTTTCCCCTTAGATACACTCCCAGCAGACAGGCTAGAGTTGATTAAATGGCTTCGCCTATGCCAAACTGTTCACATCTGTATCCAATAAAGTTGTGACCTATCTGAACCCAAACCTATATTCTGCTGTCTTGTATGGTTCTTCCATCATACAGGGAGTGAGTGGGTCACAGGGCCTTGGCACACAAAAAGAAAAACTTTGGGGACTCATGCCTAGAAGTCATGGGACAAACAAGTGTGGATGAGCCCAGTGCCTCTCAGCATCCCCATTGACATTGGCAAGAGAAAACATGTCACAACAACAGCAAAAAAAGAGCTGAAGCAATAGAAGCAGCTTTGTTATTACAGAAGAGGCTATTTATGGAGGGATCCAGCTTCAGGGCGAGGGATAGCCAGGCACAGTGTGTGAGAAATCCAAGCAGGACCTCTCCTTTCTCTCTTACCTCACTTGCTCCCTTTTTAACTAGACGGCCAGCCTTTCCAGCGCACGCAGACAGAGCAAATATAGTGATTTCACCAGTGCATCCCTATGATTTGTGTTCCATATAAAGCCCACCTTGAGCATCAGATATTCAGCTGCAAGCAACTGCCATGTCTAGGAGTGCTTGCATGGCTGGGGAGATCAGGGTGGATGGAGGGGGCAGGGTGGCTGGTTGCAATTGTCATACAGCTCAAAGTTCTGGTGCTGAAAGTCTCCAAGTGCGGGGAACAGAATACCTGAACGAACACCAGCCTGCCTCTGTGCTGAGATCATCATCAGAGGGGCAACTTGGCTGAGGGCCCTTTTGTTGGTGGCCCCATTTATGGAATGCTTTCCCCAAGCAGAGCTGCCTGATGCTTGCTTTGTTTTCCAGTGCCAGGCTTCCCCACCATCCACCCCACTCGGGCTTTTTAACTGAGATTACTTTATTGCTTCCAGTTTTGTGCTTTTTATTTTCCTTATGATCCAACCTGCTGAATGACAACTTCCATCATCCCTGGCCATGCTGGCTGGGGCTGCTGGTAAGTGGAGGCCAGTAATACAAGGCCACAGATGTAGACCAGCTTCCAACCATGGGCTACAGGGAGAACCTTCTCCAGGTCAGGGCTGTCTCATGGAGCAGGTGGCGATGGGCATCACTGGCCTCCCTGCTGCTTGGGTTCCTTTGAGGTTGGACACATGTAGATTTATATACCGTCCTTCAGCACAAGATCTCAGGTCGGTTCACAATATTGTAGATGCTTAATTCAGTCCCGCTCTCTTGTCTGCTATTCGCTTGCTGGTGTTTCCCTCTCGCGTTTCTCTTTTAAAAGTTACTTGATGTTTTATTGTCCATTCATAGGCTCCAGCGCCCACAACATTCCCCAGGAAGGGGCAGCGGGGCACCCACTTTTTTTGCGCCGGGGCCGCGCTCGCCGTGGGGCCTTGTACGCCCACCCCGCGACGCTGCTCCTCTCGGCTTCCCGGGCCAGACCTGAGCCAGGAGCGGAGCTGCGACTGTGCGAAAGGGAGCGCGTGAGAGGCCGGTGCTGCTGCCGAGGCCGGGTGAGAAGGAGCTGGCTGCTCCCGGTGCCAGAGAAGGGGCAGCGACTCAGCTTCCCTCCACCTCCGGGCCAGACCTGACCCGAGAGCGGAGCTCTGGCTGCACGTTGGAGCCAGGCTCCAGGGAGGAAGACTTTCCTCTCACAAACGCACCCGGGCCGCGCCAGGCAGGCATCATGCGCCCGGTCCCTGGACGAAGCTGGGCGGCCTTTGTCCAGGGCCGGAATTAGGTTTGATGAGGCCCTGAGCTCCTGAAGGTGATGGCGCCCTTTATATGTCCAGCTGTCCTTTGTCCACAACAAATGGTCGCTGTTTTTTGTGTTGAATATATGCCATATGGTAACTGATGGACGTAACAGGTATCCAAAGCCACTTGCACATGTTTCCATGCGACCACTCCATGCTTAATTCAGTCCAGTTCTCTTGTCTGCTATTAGACAAGCAGAATAGGGCACCCTATATATAGAAAGGAGCAAACCAGTGATATTTTAGGAGCAGGCTAGCAGGCGAGGCCCATGACTTACATCATAGGAGCCTACATGACACACAACACTGTTGGTGCATGTAGGCTTTATTTTATTTGATTTTTATCTTATATTTTGGACATGTACATCCAGGTGTTTTTTTCCTTTAATTTTTTTAGGGGCCCCCAAGAGAGTGGTGCCTGAAGATATAGCTTGTTTAGCTTATGTGTAAATCCGGCACTGCGTATGCCCATGGATTGTTTTGTTTTCAACCAACGCAAGGAGACGAGGGAGAGTACAGACTTTGCAATAAGCAACCATGCAACCAAACGGTCGTCAAGTGGGAGTTTGACCAATCTGAGCAATGGGGAACGAGCCACGTGAAGGTCCCCTCAGCAAGCCCAGCTGCCTCTGGGAGCTTCAGGAGAGCAGCATGTGATGGATGGCTCTTGAGGTGGCCTGCTAGGAGTGGCAGCAGACAGGGAGGGGGGCGCTTTCTGCTGATAGTGTCTAGGACAAGTATCTTTGTGTCCAGAAGAAATGTTGTAAAATGATATATAGGGAAGCCTTACATACCACAGTTGTGGAGAGAAAAGAACTTTCATTGCAGTGTGGGAGCTTGTGACCCTTGCAATAACACAATTGCATGTTCTGAATCTACAAACAAACCTTTGTCCCAATAAGTTGACAGATAAACCAGTTCAACAAACATCCCCTCTCTAAAGACATGGTGCAGGGAGCTGATTGTTGTGGGAATCCGGATGTGTCCCTCTGATGGAAGCCTGAAGACATGGTTTGGAACTTCATATTGTGTTCCCACAGACAGCTTTGGAGACTGAAACAAGCCTTTTGGTCCCCTGTGGTCAGGTTTGAAAACGAATGGCATTCCAGAGTCAAGTCAAATGGCACGTTTGACAAATGAATAATTTGAGAATGAATAATGTCAAGCTTAAAGAAATGCAAAAAGTGGCTCCCAAGTGATTGTGGTATTCAACTAAGTTTTACTCAGCATTAATTACACACTTAAGTTACTGAACATGACTGTTTTATTGATTGATTGATTGATTGATTGATTGTATTTCTATACCACTCTTCATCTGAGGATCACAAGGTGGTTTAAAATATAAAACCAAAAAAAATAAGAAGCAAAATAGTAAGAAGCAAAAGCAACACCCCCACCCTTTAAAAGGCAATAAGTTAATATGTCTACTCTGAATCAAAGTTCGTTGCAATCCTTTAAAAGGTGTTTCTGGCATGTGGTTCTGTATACATGGCTGTAAATTTTAATTGATTGATCAGACAGATTGAGAAGCCAAACTTTGATCAACCAAAAAGGTGTGATTAATGAACCAGGCAGTAGATTAGAAAAAAATGTTTTGATACAATAAATAACATGGTATAAAACTGATATCAGTGTATAGTGTGGATGAGGATGTCTGCAAAGGGTGGAGCGCTTAATGAAAACCAATATTCCACCTGTGGAGCTGTGGCGAGCAAAAACGTGGAACCTGAGGAGAGTCCATGATGCTGTGCTTTCCTCCCCCAGACGAACCAAGTGTTTTATGAGAGGCTAAACACCTTCTGTCCTGACCTAGCTGAACTGTGTGGCTTTGGGAAGGTGACTTTGTTCCAAGGATCTGGAACCAACTTGCTAATCCTCAGGACTGTCACTCCTTGACCTGCCTGAGCCTCTTATGTGTGATGCATTTCTGACGTTTGCAAAAGGGGATGTCCTTCTCCATGCCAAAATGCAAACCTTTAAAAAAAGTTGTTTTTTCTTTGTTCGGGATTCTTCACCTTCTGACAGGGGAGGGGGGGAGAACTCTGTTGCAACAGACAATAAAAGATCAGCTTTGCTTTCACCGGATTTCTGCCTCAGTTCATTAATCTCTGACCGGTAACAAATTTGGGGAGTTGGGCCATCAGAAGTCACCCCTCTATTTTCTGGTAACACTAATAACTGAACACACCCAGAGTTCAAATGGCTGTAGTATGTTGTTGTTTTGTTTAGCTGTGAAATCTAATATGTTGTCAGATTACAGACGGATGCAATTCAAGGGGCTAGTCCCCATTCTGTTGCCAGTTTTGCTGGAATCTTGTCTGTCTGATACCCACCCAGTCCCCTGCTACCCAGGAACTTTCCCAAGCTGGTTCATGTTTTTTTTCTTTAGTCTGAGGCTATTGGATTGAAGTGTCAGGAAGAAGAAAGGTGTGAGTTGTGGCAGAAGGGACAAAAGGTCCTCAGGAAGTTTTTCTGAAAGTGGTCATAGAAAGGTTTCCTGCAAGTGGCTGGAAAGTTTCCAGAAAGTGATTGTAAGTAGAAAGACAATGGTTAAAATATGTAGCTTAGGACTCTCTCATTGTAAATAGGCTGGTTCATTTGGGGCTAAAGTAGCCCTGTTTTCAGGCATTTACTGCCTGATTTATTGCTTGCTTGCTGTGATGTTTGCTCAAACTTCACCCTTGTGGAAAGGTCCTTTGGTGTCATCTTTAGGACTGCGGGAAGGGAGGATTGTGTTCTGTTTGCCTACAATGTGCTTAGCCTGTTTGGGGAATTAGATTGGCAGGAAGCTTCCTGAAAGTGAATAAACTGTAATTTGTTTGATGTTAGTCCTGAGCAAAATATGAGTTAACATGCCTATGGTATAGTGCAGTGGTTTTCAACCATTCTGCCGTGGCACCCTGGGGTGCCTTGAATGTTGGTCAGGAGTGCCATGGGCAACACTGGCCTCTGTCCCTCTTTCCTTCCTTCCCTCTTCTGATGCCCTCTTGTGTCTCTGCCTCCCAAAGGCTTGCACATCTGTTTGTGCAGCAGCCCTGGTTACAAGCTCCCCAGGTGAAGGATGCCTCTGGGTCTGGCCAGGGGGTGCTTCCCAGGCCCCTGTGGGGCAGTGTGAGGAGGCACCTCTCTTTGGGGTCAGCTCAGAGACCAGGGGCGACAGCAGCAGCTGCCCAGAGGACTCCAGAGGAGAGGAGAGGAGGCTGAGGGAATCCTCCACAAGGGAGGGTGTTTGAAAAAGGGTGTGAGGCTGCCAGCTTGGCACACAGTGGGGTGACATAACTGGGCTCCTGAGACCCACACAGGTGCCGCAGAAAGAATGTAGTTGGCCAAGGGAGTCGTGGACTCAAAAATCTTGAATGCCTCTGGTGTAGTGGATATTCTGGAAGCGCTGTTCATATTGTAATTTGTATTGTAAACCTGATAACAAGGTTTCAGGGACAAGTTTTGTGTCTTCCTGCGAGGGGCAGCGCGGGAATGTTTTAGCTCTCTAATGGAGAGAGAGCTGCCTACCAGCAACTTTTAACTAACTGTAAAATTGCAAAAATTGTCTTTCTCAGTCTGGGATCTTATTTAAGATTCCCTAGGGTAACTGGGGGCTCTGAGCCCCACTTTAAGACTGTGCATTTTTAATCGTCTGTTATGCCTTGTCTCAAGTGGTGGCGGGGGGAATGTTCCCAGTCCTTAATTGTAAATCGGCTGGTTGTTTTTTGGGGGGGATCTGGGCTAGCCTTGCTCTCAGTCTCTGTGTGCTTCCTGAGCATAAAAGCTTTAGGACTGTCAGGGGAAACAGTGCACTTATAATGTGTATATTGTGCAATGCATTTGTTTATAATGCATTTATCCAGCTGAAGGGTCAGTGTTTTTATTCCACCCTCCTTTGTAGGGTAACAGCCTCCCACAGAAATGCATTACAAAATTCTGAAATAAAATAATTATATATACAGTTCAAGGGCTACCACAGCTACTGCTCCCCATAAATGTTAAACAACTCTTGATTTGAGATGGGACTACTTTAAACCTGTAGCCGTACACATTTGATTTGGAGGAAGTTCCATTTAGAACAATTGGACCTAATTGTGAGTAGGAATATATAGGATTGTAGTTTAAGAGAGAGAGAAACAGACACCCGTTATGAACCCACTTTTGAGGATTATGATAAAAAGCCAGTTGTAAACATTTAAAAGAACAAAAGAACAAATAAAAGTACCCCTCCTGCTGCAAAATGATCTCTGTCTGAAAACTAAACTGGAGAGGAAAGATTAGAAGAGAGGCTGGGGTGAAAAAGTCAGAGAGCAAGACATGGGTTAGATCAAACATAACCAGATGAAAATCCTCATCATTAACAGGCTTAGCCTATGATCAACTCCAATTATGGCAAACTACAGTGAGAGGTGGGGAGGGACTTGGGTGGCCCAGCGCCAGGAGTGCGTCAGTTTAGTAGAAGGAAACTGTCCAAGCACACTGGCTGTGCCACATGCAAGAGTACACAACCCAGCCAGATGGACAGGGTATAAATATTATTGGTATTAGTATTATTGGTATTATTGAAAATAGAGGATCTTGCACCTGTGGCTTGTGGGGCTTCTTCGACATAAAAAGTTATACCTAGCAGCTCCAGATCCTTACAAGGCCTTCTTTGTCCAGTCTCTCTTCTATCTTGTTTTCACCTCATTCTGTGAGTAGCCATTGCCACCCTACTGAAGACTGTATAACAGTGTGGTCCAAACCACAGCCTGCAGGCTACATGCATCCGCGAGGCCTTTTTGGTCAGCCTTCAGCAACATTCAAGAAAAAAAACACCTTAAGGCCTTACAAAATATTGTCATGTGTTGTTAACAAAAGAACATAATCTTTCTCTGCATCAAATTTGTTTAATAATTAAATCTAGAATCATAGAATCATAGAGTTGGAAGAGACCACAAGGGCCATCGAGTCCAACCCCCTGCCAAGCAGGAAACACCATCAGAGCACTCCTGACATATGGTTGTCAAGCCTCTGCTTAAAGACCTCCAAAGAAGGAGACTCCACCACACTTCTTGGCAGCAAATTCCACTGTCGAACAGCTCTTACTGTCAGGAAGTTCTTCCTAATGTTTAGGTGGAATCTTCTTTCTTGTAGTTTGGATCCATCGCTCCGTGTCCGCTTCTCTGGAGCAGCAGAAAACAACACACAATCTATTAATTGTGTGTTTAATTACAAACACTTTAATTTACAGTATGGAAATTTAATTTACCGTTTGTCTTGTGGCCCACATTGTATGAAAAGTTGGACCGCCTTGCTGTATAATGTGGTCTCCCAAGGTCTCTCTCTTCTCTCCTCAAACCCTTATAAGGAGGAGAACCCTTGGATTGTTCTTGAAATGTGAAGGTGGTACGTCAAGTTCTCAGTTGGTGGGGAGGACACATAAGGCAGCGGCAGAAGGTGCCAAGTTCAATCCTCTCCCCAGTAATCTTCACTTAGGCTCAGGCCTCATTCCAGATTTTGGGCGGGGGGGAGGGTTCTTGCCCCAAGTGCCCTCAGTGAGCCTTTTCCAGCACTGACCACCTTTTTGCTTCCCACCACCAGGCAAGCACATTTGTGAGACAGGCACATGTGCATATTAACTGCATCCATACCATGGAAAGTGTGCCTAGTTTGGCCTCTGAGGTGCTGGTTTGGGGACCCCAAAAGTGAGTTTAGTGTAGGGGAAGTGGAGCCTGAAAGTAAAAGGCCCATTGCTGAACTTAATGAGCAAGGGCTGAGATTTCCCCCAAGAGGGGCCACTAGGGGGCGCATTGGAAGATGGCCGACAATACCATCTCTCCGACCCACACGGGGTAATTAAGAGGCTGTTATGGGAGTAGGCAGCCTCCCTTGTTGCCCCAAGGAAATGGGGAACACTGCCCTTGCCTGCTGTGCCCATAAATCACCCCCTAATTCAAAAGAAGGGGGTGAGGGCCCTAGGCAGAATGCCCCCGTGTGGACCTCGGCTCTCCTGGACGCTGTCTCTGATTGCGCACTAGCTGCAGCAATTTGGAATAATTAATTACAAAAGAAGCAAATGCACATATTTCAAGTGAAGAAGGGGAGTGAAGTCTGCTAATTTAAGTGACCTCTGCGAAAGAAGACGACGGGTTGGAGAAACAGGAATATTTTACGATGAAGATACACCAAAGGCTGGGTATGTTGGGACTGAATGGGGGGGGGAACCTTTTTTACTTTCCTTCTATGTGATTTACCCCTCCTCATTAGAATCGTCAGTTGAACTGACCCAAGCAGGATGATTAAGGTCTGTGTGGAGATAAACTTTAACCAAAAGTATGCTTTATGGAGATCGAGAAGCAATAAGAGCTTTTGGGAATAGCGCAGCAATTAATTTGGAGTCGCCATCTTGCCAAAGGATTTATAGCCGGGAGGAAGAACTTTCCCAAGAGTTGTGCCCTGCAATGTTTCATTTTCAAATAAAAACGGAATGCTTCCCAAACAGAGCACACTAAGTATGCTCTGCAGCTCTAGATGTGACCAGGGAGGCAGGTCCATCCCTGACATCATTTGTTTGGGGGCTGAGCTGCTGAGAAGCCAAGGCTGGCAGGGTGGAGAGCCCGTAAGTCATTAGCAGGAGTGTCTGGTGGTGTACGTGTGTGTCTCTTTGAAGCCAGCTTGCTCCACGGAAGGAAGGGCAGGCAGCCCTGTGTGAATTGCATAGGAGTCAAAAGGCTTCCCTGGATATGTCGGCCACAACTGCAGCTGTTCTTCTCTCTCTCTTCCTAGAGGCTCACCTTTCTGCACAAGCACCTGTCAACGGTAATGCATTTCCAGACTTCTTTCCTGTTGTCCCTGTTCCTAAAGTACTGTAGCAGTAATGCATGTGGCAGTTGGGAAGCTAAGCACTAACCGAATTGCATGTTTTGCATTTTATTACCATTTCAATCTACCTTTTACGTTCTCCTCCACCCAGCCACTACACCCCAGCCTGCTGAGAACAACTTTCCAGGCAGCTGATTAAGTGGACTCTAGCCTAGTCCAGGAAAGCAAGTTGTTCTCTAATAAGCGGTTTAGTCTTTAAAGTGCTGCAGGACTCTGCTGGTTTTTCTTCAAGAAACCAATACAGTTGCTCCTTTGGAAGTTATCAGATGTCTTAGTGGCCACACTTGATGTTCTTAAGTGCATGCAAAAGACGAGTGTTTGCATTTGCTTGCTGGCAGTACCCAAATGCTTACAATGCATCCTTAAGAAATATTGATAAAGAATATATTCCTGGAGGGACTGCAGAAACCGACAGGGATGACCAACAGCTCAGACCACACAAGCTGTGCTAATAATATTATACACCAGTGTTTTAAACTTTTTCACAGGTATTATCATCTTTACAGCAGCCCAGTCAGGTTGGCTAGTAATAATATGCCCATTTTGCAGATGTGTTGTGAGGCTGATGCTGTGGGAGAAGAGCAGCTTGCTTAAGGCCACCTCTTTATTGATTCATTATTTATTCACTACATTTCTATGCTGCCCAAATAAGTGAAGTTCTTTGGACTGTTTGCAAGATAAACGTTAAAACCATAAAATTCAAAATAGAATGGGAAATCTAAACCAGTTTAGAACAGTCACAGATAGAAACAAACAAAAAACCAAAAGCAGAAGACAACAGTGGTGCAAGGTTCCTAAAAGCTCTTGCACTGGGGTTGCCCTATTTCAAAAAGTGAAAATCCCGTATAGAAAAGTTGGTGAGCTTTTTCTTGTAAAAAAATAATACCGTATTGGCCCAAATATAAGCCGCACCTTTAAAATTGGAGGGCGTGGAGGAAATAAAATTAAAAATACCTGAATATAAGCTGCTCCAATCCTTGCTGCTCCTGGCTGCATACTTGGGGGGGGGGGGGAGCTGCACTGGATTGCCAACGGCCTTTCCCCTTCCTCACTCTCTCCCTTCCCTGCCTTGGGGGAGAGGACGGGGGGGGGGGGTACCACATTGCCGCGCTCCTGGCGCTGTTTGCCCCGCGCTCCTGGATGCATACCATAAGTTTGCAAATATAAGCCACAATTTAACTTTTTATGGTTGGAATTTGGGGGGAAAGTGAGGCTTATATTTAGGCCAATATGGTAATAAAGCTTTTGGCCAAAATCTACACTTCTGACATGGGTTGCCATACATTTGTAGGGTGTATTGATTCCCACAGTGTTGCCGTTATGGATTTTCCTGGACATTTCAGCAATTTCCACCCAGACACTTTCCAACAGCTGAATCCTGGTCATGTCCGGGAAATTCCGGATGTATGGTAACCCTAACTTACACAGTGAAAAGGAACAGGTAGTGATGGAAAGAAAGGCCCTCTGGCTGGGACCCTGGAGACAGCAGGTAAACCTGGGCTCGGTTGGTTGGTTGTGAGATTTGGAGAATGGCTATCCTGTCTCATACCTGTAGCTCCTACGAGAAATAATCCCTGTTCCTGTGATTTGTTTCAACTGGTTTTTAATTCTGAAGTTAGTTGTTGTAACCTGCCCTGGGATCTCCTGGTGAAGGGCAGGTAATAAAGTTAACCACCAACACAACACTGTGCTGAATCAAGAACTTAGGGTGATTGTACTGGAAGCTGCAAATACTGGCATAAGTGTGTGCAATGACAGACTGTGCAGCGTGTTGCACGTGTGTGTGCTTGTAGGCATAAGTGCTTGGGGAAAATGCATCCAACATATATTTAACTGCTATTGTTCTGGGGAAAGTGGATAGGACAGACATCCTATGAGTAGGATGGCAACTGTAAGGAAATGTCATAAAAGGAGCCTGTGTGGTATAATGGTAGAGCGGGGGGGGGGGGTCTGTTGCTGCTGAATAAAGCTCCCATCAGCTCCAGCCCGCATGGCAAATGATTAGATCATGGGTAGGCAAACTAAGGCCCAGGGGCCAGATCTGGCCCAATTGCCTTCTAAATCTGGTCCGCGGACGGTCCAGGAATCAGCGTGTTTTTACGAGTAGAATGTGTCCTTTTATTTAAAATGCATCTCTGGGTTATTTGTGGGGCATAGGAATTCGTTCTTTCCCCCCCTTCAAAATATAGTCCAGCCCCCCACAAGGTCTGAGGGATAGTGAACCGCCCCCTGCTGAAAAAGTTTGCTGACCCTTGGATTAGATAGTTGGATACAAGATCTTGAGGGCACGATGTTGGCTGCCCCTGAGAATTCAAATTCCCACTCAGCCGTGAAGCTCACTTGAATCAGTCTCCATCTCTCAGCCTAACCTACCTCACAAGGTTGTTGTGAGCTCAAAATGCAGGGAGCAGTGTAGGACCTTGGGGTCTCAAATCTCAGCAGCGCCCTGTGCAGCCACCTCCTCTCGCGTTCCATTCTACATCATAGTTGCGGCACCCCTGTGGCATTCCCAAGGCTCCACACCCAGGGCGACCAAACAGGTCCCATTCCCCTAAATCGGCCTCTGCACGTACACTACCTTGAGCTGCATGGTGCATGGACAGAAACAAAATGATGAAGGCAACGCTCCAAGATCTTCCCCCTCCCCAAAGGCAGAATAGGGATGATGATGTGTAAAACAGGGTTGCTCAGCCTACAGTCCTCCAGATGTTGTTGGACTCCCAACTCCCACCAGCCGAAGCAGACATAGCCTGTTTTTGAGGTAGGTGGGTTGGGAGATGCAGGCAAAGAGTATTTGAAGGGCAACAGGCTCCCCATGCCTGATTTACAACCCCTAGCAAGTAGGGGCCACTGCAATTCCTATTTGTTTTGCTGCTAGTTACACTAATTGAAGATATTTTAGTCCAGGAAAAGACAACACACACACACCCCAAACACACAGCTACAGAAACTGAGCTGTGTTCACTGTAAACTCAAAAGCTGCTGAATAATGCTGCTGTTCAGAAAAAGAGTGAATTCTTAACAGCTTCTTTTGCTCTTATTCCTCCACACTTTGCTTAAAGAAAGAAGTTGCAACAGCCCAGAGCACACTGAGCTCAATGCCTGGAGCAGTTTTAACTGGAGAGAGGGATTAGAAATTTTAAAATAATGAATCAAAGAAATAAAGAAGGGCAGTAAGAGTAGTATCTCAGTTGTGTTGAAGCCCTTGGTGTTTAATACAAAAACCTGGTTGCTCCCTCTTAAACACACCAGTTCTGCTGTTGAAACAAGAGACAGAAGTTATATTGTGAAAGGAGGGGGAGGCAGGGACACCTGTGTGTTCTTAGGAGGTTTCTGTGGGAAGGGAGAGAGGGAGGGGCACTGGCTGCTCCTTCTTCTCACGTACGCCATGCATGGTACTAACACAAGATGTTTGCTGCAAACAACCTTTAAACGCCCAAAGTATGAGAGGTTTTCAACACACACACACACACACACACACACAGAGAGAGAGAGAGAGAGAGAGAGAGAGAGAGAGAGAGAACATACCTCAACCTTCATTCTGTTCTTGCATGGAGATGACTACAGTGGATTTATTTATTTATCATCATCGTTATCATCATTATCATCACCACACCTTTCCTCCAAGCAGCTCACAGGGGCATACATGGTTCTCCTCCATCTTCATTTTATCCTCACATTGGATGAGGCTGGGCTGGGCTGGGTTGGGTGACAGTGACTGGCCCCAAATCACTCAGCTTCATAGCTGAGTGGGGATTTGAACCCAGGACTCCAACATTCAGTTCAAAGTGTTGGTCATGGCCTTTAGACATCACACTGGGTCGACATCTTCATTGAGCTATCCAACCTTCTACCAGTTTTCCCAGGACAGTCATTAAACTAACTGGGCTATAATTTCCAGGATCCCCCCAGATCCCTCTTTAAACACTGGTGGTACACTGGCTACATTTCCAGTCCTCAGTAATGGAGGCTGACCTAAGTACTCAATCCTACTCAAAACAGACCCACTGAAATTAATGAATGGACAAGTTAATCTTGTCCATTAGCTTCAATGGGACTGCTCTGTGTATGGTGAGCATTGGATATCGCTAGGGGTGTGTGTGTGTGTGTGTGTGTGTGTGTGAGAGAGAGAGAGAGAGAGAGAGAGAGAGAGAGAGAGAGTTCACTGTCAAGGAATAAGGCTGCCATTCTATGCACACATACATGTGAGCAAGCAGCACTATATGCTTTGGGATTTATTTCTGAGGAAATAGTTATTTATTCATTCATTTATTCATGCATTCTTTCATTCATTTAAGGTCCCCACTCTTTAGCAAAAAAAAAAAAAAAGGTTCCCAGAACAGCTTTCAAATTAAACATAGTCCCTGCTCTCAGGTTTACAATCTTAGAAAGACATCATTCAATGGGAAAAACAGATTGAGAGAGAGAAATAATTAACCAAATTCTGGTTGAATTTCTTAGTTACTAGTTAATTACATATATATATATATATAGTTGTTACTTTATGTTATACTTTTATACACATGTTTAGCTATAGTACTTTATTTTGTATGTGTTCTAAGTTATATCTATTTTATTTTCCTTCTAGGGTCCAAGTGGTCTTATATGGGTAAGTAGTGACTTTAGGTCAATACATTAAACTGTAATTCTTTATCCTATTTGTTTAATGTCAGGTTAGATCTAGGGAGGTCTCATTTAGTTAATAACAGGATCTGTTTTGTTGATCTAATGTCTACATATATTCCATTCATCCACACAACAGGGCACATCAGGCGATAACAGCATGTGATGCCATGATGTGGTACAGATATCATAGGAACATGTTGTGTCCCATGAAATCAATTCTTGTTCAGAGAGGTGGGCCGAGCACTTGGCTAACTACCAGGTCAACTGGTTGACCAAAAAAGTAAGTGAAGGTAGAACTTACCAGGCCACTGCTAGGGGACAGGCCACACAAGTATATGAAAATGAGCTGGGGTAGAAGGCAGCGGCTGGCTGGCGGCAAAGGTGTATTGTGTTGCGACAACGTTGTGCTGTATAAATGGAACATCTTTGTATTTAGTTCCTTCATGTTGAGTCTCAAGGACCAGGGCTTTTTTTCACCCAGAACTTGCAGGAACTCATTTCTGGCACCATTGCCATTGGAAAACAACAAGGGATGTTTCATGGTGAGTTCCGGTACCTCTTTTACTAGAAGAACAGCACTTTCAAGGACTATGTGTTAAAGCCCAGGAATGGAAATCCTAATATGTTGTGTCAAGTGAAGAGCTGGAAAAGGTTCTTTACTGACTTTGGATGGCTGGTGTTTACTAGCTACTGGACATCCCTTACCTGCTTTGCTGGGTAGAAACACTCTAAGACAGAGGTCGGCAAGGTTTACTGGCCATGGGCCGGATCACTCCCACAGAGATTGTCCATGGGCCGGACTGGCGCAGCGCAATGCCGGAAATCACGTCTGCGCATGTCCACGGCGCCAGAAATCGCTTCTGCGCATGCCCAGACGTCAAAATTCATGCCTGCGCAGAAGCAATTTTCGGCATCTGGACATGCGCAGATGTGATTTCCAGTATCTGCGCATGCACAGATGCGATTTCCGGCACCACTCAGTGAGTCCCTGGTTTAGTGCAGCACACGGGGGACTCACCGAGTGGGCGGCTCAGTTCAGGAGTGGCTCATGGGTCAGTAAAATGGTCTTTGTAGGCCGCATCCAGCCCAGGGGCCGCATGTGGCTGACCCCTGCTCTAAGAGGTGGAATGTGGCTGCAAAGGAAACAGTAAAGTCTGAATTATGCAACTGGCTAAGGGACTTCAAGGATATGCCATTTGCATGTGGGGTGAACTGATGCAGGTTTATACACAGGCATGATATCTACGGTCACTTCCAGATTGTCAGTATTTTGTGGGAGGGGTAGAAGGGCTTTCTGGAAATTTAGGTTTATCTTATCTTATCTTATCTTATCTTATCTTATCTTATCTTATCTTATCTTGTTTGTTTGTTTGTTTGTTTGTTTGTTTGTTAACCCTCAGTGTAAGCTTTGTGCAAGGCAAATTAGGATGCAGGAGAAGCCCTATCTGAGTGCATGGCTGTTCCTCTGTGTTTTTATATTTGTAAATATGCAGATATTAAAAGCACACACAAACACATATGCCCATATCATACTCTCTCTCCACAGGGAAATTGACCTTGTAAGACACACTTAGGGAAGTGGATTGCTTCAAGGTAGCCTCCAAAGCGAAATAGCTACATGGCACAATTTCCCCTTAGGGGAAATCTGTCTTGGAATTATTGTTTTTTTCAAGAGACCTTTGTGTCACATGGGAAATGATGCAGAGTGTTTGCTGTCTCCGCTGCCCAGCCCCACACAGTTCATCTTTGTGTGGTTCATCTTTGACTTGCTGAAGCTGCTTGTTTCTCTCCTATAAGAGTTCCCCAGTCCTACTTTAGCAAGCATCAGCTCTCAATTCCTTTCCTTATTGCTGCAGGACATTTCCATTTATCTGAGTCAGATAAGGAGCTCCCCCCCCCCCAGGTCCTGCCCTCCATGTAGGAAGCTTGCAGGAGACCTTTGCACATTTAAACCCATTCCACTGTTTCTAAAGACGTAGAGAATGTGCGTGCGTGCGCACACAGGCACCTCAGGTATATAACATTGCTGTTGAAAGGTGTTTCGTCTGCAAGATGTGATTCTAACAGGTCAGGGCATGGTTGTGGTGGTCCTTGGAGCAGAGAGGGCAGCGAGAGACAATTCTGTTCTGCTGGCAAGGCAAGGAGAGGAGAGGGAGTTGTTGCCATTAAGTGTTTATCTTTCAAGGAGCTTTTATTCTCACGACTCCACTTTTATCTCACAACTCCACTAGGTGGGCTAGGCTTAGAGAGAGAGAGGCACGTCAGAAAGTGAGTTTTATGGCTGAACAGTGATTTGAACCTAGGTTCTCCCTGCTCCTAATCCAAATAAGGACTCATCCATCTGGCCCACTACTTCCCCCCTGGAAAACCCACTCTTTACCACTGAATTGGAACAAATGGCAATTAGGTTTTCTGCGGATTGCTGGTTGTTCCGATTCAGCAGCAAAGTGGGTTTTTCAAGGGAAAGCTGCAGGGCAAAACCACTCAGACCTGTTCTTAGAAAGTGGGGGAGAAGTGGGAAACCGCTCAAACCCTTTCAAGGCATGGAACGAGCGTAACACTGGGCAGGCCATAAGGCTTGTCTCAAGAAGCAATTGTCTGTATAGTTCCCAGGGCAACATATACCTGCCTATTTACATGTCCAAGGTTCTTTAAAAAACAAACAAACAAATTTTCAGGTACACATTTCCCACAATTAAATATAAAACAATACATCCAACGACTTCCCTTCTCCTCCTCCGATGGTTCATTGTACTTTCAAAATTAGCTGCATATTCTATTTCTTCCATCTAGTTTCCCCCTCCCCATCATATCTTAATCTAAATTATACTGTTGAATTTACAATAATCCTGCTAGCCTTTTCACTTGCTCACAATAGTTTTCCAAATGGGTCCCTAAATGGATGTTTGAGTTCAAGGTATTTCTCAAATGTCTGAAGAGGCTGAAGGCTACTGGGCGAGACAGGCCAATGGTCTGACCCTGTGCCATGCATCTGCCTGTGTTTCGAATCTGGATTCCTTTATTGTCTCCCTGAGGTTCTTCTGATGGGGAGCGAGTGTGGCCCAAGATGTTCCCCTTTTGTGGAGGAGTATTCCAGTCGCCAATTGATTTTCACAATGACGTTCTCCAGTATGATTCAACTCTTCTGCCCATAGAACTGGAAGGCTACAATGTCTCCCCCACTGAGGAGTTTATTTTGACCAATAATGGACATTCAGGTAAGGGAGAAAATGGACAGAGAAAATTGAACTATTACTATCATTACATAATGACAAAGAATGCTATTTAGCATTTGTACAGGACTTTAGAGTGTTCTGATTATTCTCAATATATATTTTCTCAATAATTTCTAATAATTTCTTATCTTTCTTTTTTAAAAAAAGATAATATAGGCCAGCCTTATTCCCATTTTGTAGACATTCAGGGATCAGCATAGATAGGATTTGGTTGGGTTTACAGTTTTCACCACACTGCCTGTTTATTTTGGCACATAACTTTGGATCTAGTTTTCCCTCCTGTGTGGAGGTGTTGTCACACATATTGGTTCTGTGCCCATATGTGTGTCTACACAGGTGGCCACTCAAAGAACCTCAGTTACAAGTTAAATGACTTGCTATTGGTGACGCTTATGACGGTCTTAATACAGTGCTACTAACAGACGAAATAGCTCTAAAACCACAAGGTGTACAACTCTAACCAAAGCACAGTGAATAATAACCTCCTAGCATGTTAAATTGGGCTTGGCAAGCAAGGTACAATGTTCTTCATCCAAGTTTAGAGGGATGAGCTGCATTTAGTATTTTGTTTGATATTCTGGATATTGGCAGCAGCCAGAATATGGAAAAATACAACTAGCAGAGGCACAGGATGCTTCGAAATGTTGCTAGTTTGTCATCCCTTTAGTTTCCTCATCCCAACAAAAATGCACATGATATTCAGAATTTCCTTCCTTAGTAATCTCCATCCATATGCACATAGTAAATTTTATCTGAACTTCCTTAATGTCTTTACAGTATTGTGAATTATTCCCTTTTGCAGCAGGTTTGATGACAAAATAATTCTCTTCCTTCAATGGCTGCAAAGTTTCTTGTTGCCTCTGCACCAGTGTGAAATATAACCCTTTTAAAATGCACTAACATCCCAACAGGGACGCGGGTGGCGCTGTGGGTAAAACCTCAGCGCCTAGGGCTTGCCGATCGTATGGTTGGCGGTTCGAACCCCCGCAGCGGGGTGCGCTCCCATCGTTCGGTCCCAGCGCCTGCCAACCTAGCAGTTCGAAAGCACCCCCGGGTGCAAGTAGATAAATAGGGACCGCTTTCTAGCGGGAAGGTAAAAGGCGTTCCGTGTGCTGCCCTGGCTCACCAGATGCAGCTTGTCACGCTGGCCACGTGACCCGGAAGTGTCTGCGGACAGCGCTGGCTCCCGGCCTATAGAGTGAGATGAGCGCACAACCCTAGAGTCTGGCAAGACTGGCCCGTACGGGCAGGGGTACCTTTACCTTTACCTTTAACATCCCAACATTAATCCTTTGAGGACTGTGATATTAGCCAGTGTTAGTACTAGGAGCCCTAAATGTAGCTCTCAGTTTAAGATATTGCCCCAAAAGGTGAGAGCAATTTGAGCTGCATCCTAACTTGGGAAGCTACATCTAAGATCAGAACTGGCAGAATTCATTTGCCTCTGTACATATAAATTAGCATATGCAATTTTATGTAAATATGTGTCATGGACCTGCACTGAGTTTTGCCCCTGCATTTAATACTGTCATGTCATGTTGCCTCCCTCTCCCATCTTCTCCTCCCCTAGTAAGAATGAGTCTTTCTCAAAGCATGCGCATCCGGAGCCTCCCTTCCCACTATTCTGCCGCTCAGCTCCATTTACACTGGGGAAACCGGAACAAGCAGGAAGGATCTGAACACACAATTGGTGGGAGGCATTTTGCTGCTGAAGTAAGATTTTTATTGCACCTTTCAGATATCTATTTATTAAAACATTTTATGCCATGTTTTGGCCCTACAAAGGGCACCCAAGACAATTTACAATTAAGATCCAACAACAATTAAAATTGAAAGGCAAGATTAAAATACACTAAATTTCCTGCCTTATTTTTCCTTTTCCTTATGAGGCTGGCAGAAGCAGACTGCTAGTTGCTCCCCTCTGCTGCACAGCACAGCTGGCTTTGTTCATCACAAGTTTTGTACGCCACTTTTAGGACCTTTTCTCAGGTGGAAAAGCAGCTAATATTTTTAATATACATATTTTAATCAAACTTACTAAGTACAGAAAAATATATTTTGAGTTTCACAACTTTAATAATAAAAAAAAGTTTATTAGCTCTTGCATTCTATTTCATTCCCTGATCTAGTTTTCCTCAGGACAAACAACTCTCTGCAAGCCCCACCTTCTCAAAGCAGCACATTTACAAATCTTGTAGCACCAAATCATAACACAGACAAGTTCCAAATGATACCAGAAAAATCTTTTTTTCCTTAAAGATTCAATACATGGTGAACTATCATATCTGTTTAGCAGGGAGAAATCTATGCCAAGTGTAACTATTATTTTTTTTTACTACAGCTCCCATCAGTCCCGCCAGCATGACCAAAGATCAGGAATGATGGGAGTTGTAATCACCAATATCTGGCAAGCACCACATTGGCCACCCTGGGATGAGGGTGCTCTTAAGGACTGCTGATTGATCCAGATATGCTAATAAGTTTCGCAGTCCTAGTTTAGATATTTATTCTACAGAACTGCCTGGGAGGACCAATCTGAACACAGCACCACAATCCATTCCATGCAAGGGTCAAACTAGGCTTTATTTCATCTGGGTCAAAGACTCAGTTTGGCATGCACACCCATTCATTTGTGCACACGCATGCATACACACACACACACACACACGGGGGGGGGGGCTGGGAACCTCAATGGCGCCCCTCTGGAGGCTTCACCTGGGACAAAAATCTAGCTACCCCCCCCCATAGCTATGACACTGTTCTGTGGACGCCACAAAGAATTGCCATTGTGTTCAGTTCCTTCAGTTCACAACCACAAAGCTGTTTCATGTCTTGCACTAATTATAAGTCTAGCAGAACACATGGATGCCTGCCATGAAGTATAATTCAAGGTCAATTACAAGGGACTGAGAGCGCAAGGCTGCAGCAATACATCTTGGTTCCTGAGGCAGAAAACCCTAATGGTGTGATGTTGGCACTCTTCCCCATCCCGTATTCCTTGCTGTTAACAGGGGGCATCCAAGCTGCCCAGAAGTGTCCCACATAAGCCACCTCATTAAAATACCATATTCTTGGTGAACTGTACCCATCAGACAGATTTCCCCCGTATTCCATTCTGCCACTTCTGTAGTTAATGCTGTAATTCTGATGGTCTGTTACAGAGATAGGGGACCTTTTCTGACTGGTGGGCCAGATCTTACTCTCTCCTCCGCCAGCGGGCCAGATTTGACAAGCGGGCAAGGCTGTCCACATGTCAATCAACAGACATCACAGTGATGTCACGAGATGCTGTGCTAAAGTCCTTTGCAAGCAGCTCCACACTGCTCCGTAAACCTCTGAAAATCAGTTTTTGGAGGTTCAAAGAGCGACTCTGGGAGGGGAAAGTGGTTTGCATTGAATAGAAATCACTTTCACCTCCTTGAGTAAGGCACATTCCTACCACACATCAGCTGAAGGGGAGGGGAGCACATCTGGTCTCTGCAAAGGAATAATCTGTTGCTGTCGTTCTTTTGAAGCCTCATGTCTACCTGCCCCACTACCAGCCAAATGGGGAAGCCTGGTGGGCCAAGTCAAGCCCCCAGGTCCCAAATTCTGCACCTCTGTTCTATTATAACTAGGCCAGGCTTGGGGTGTGTAAAATCCAGCATGCTGGTCCATTCAGGCATATATATATATATAGTCAGTTTTCCTAATCAGGCAACTTATATTGCAGTAAGGCATCCAGTAAATCAGGTTATCTTTTGCAAGCTTTGTAAATTTGTTAAGCCCAGGGGCAGAGCTACCTGCCCCGGCATCCGGAGCGGCGCGGGGGCGGGGCTAGCTTCCCATGCGGTGAGTGTCCCTAGCCGCTTGCCACCCGCATGGCGAGCATCCCTAGCTGCCTGCTGCCTGCGTGGTGAGCATGGAGGGGGCGCTGCTAGCTGCCCATGGCAGCATCATCCCTAACGGCCCGTCGCCCACGCAGCGAGCATGGGGGGGCGCAGTGATGTCACCCGATGCGCACCGCACCCCCCCCACCTGCCTTCCTCCACCAGTGGTTAAGCCTTCGGCTGGTGTTTGCCATTTTATTCCCCCTCTGTAGCTCCACATCGTACATTACAACTCTGACAAATATCTGGACGTGAACTCAGCAATGGACAAATCAGATGGACTGGCAGTCTTGGCAATCCTGATTGAGGTAAGCAGCTCTTTCCCTCAAAGGTGTCCAAAACTAAAGTGTACCCAGAGGTTTAATATAATTCAGGTCTTATCTGGCTCTTGGCAGTTGATGATTCTATCCAGGTTCCAAGCTTGTCCCAGAGCTGGAGAAGCTTTGGCCCTCCAGTTGTTGTTGGACTCCAACTCCCATCAGCCCCTGCCACACTTGCCAATGCTCAGTGATAGCAGAAGTTGTAGCCCATCAACATCTGGAGGGCCACATGTTCCCTGCTCCAGACTCAGGGAAAAGGAGGAGACAAGGCTCTTTTGATTGCCTGCCCTTGTGGATGAAGGATTGCTGCCCTGTTAAAAGCTGTTTCATACATCTTACAATGCAAACAACATTATTTCCCTCGCCAAAGTATGCTTTGGTCACCAAATATGTTTGGAGTTGCTTTTCCAGTGCTATTTTGCTAATGGTTTAGTGAACTATAATCATGGCTATTAAGTATTTTAGAATGTGGTTGAAGAAATCACTCACCACCAGATGCCATTATTCTAATGAGAGCAGCTCTGGGGTTATTGAAACACAAATGTATTTGTGCCCTGAAAAGAAATGACCTCAGCCCACTAAATCTGTGGCTGGGCTTATATCGCCAACAAATGATGGCGTAAACTGAAACAACAAGGTCAGACCAAAACATTTGGGTACCCAAAACATCCACATGGTCTTCTTCCCTACTGAGTAAACATGGGGAAACAATCCATCCAAAGCTCTCCTGTGCAAGTTCCATTGAAGTGGATGGGAGCTGTGCTACTGTGTTCTTGCGCAGGAGACCTTTCTGGTGGATTTTGCCCCTTGTTGGGCTCTCCTCTTCCATTACCATTAATGGTGCCTAATAAAGATCTGCAAGTACTTGCTGAACCTAAAACTATGCAGAATTATAATGGCTTAGAAAATAAATCTTCTCCCTTTTGGTTACAGACAGGCGCATTCAATCCATCGTTCGAAAAGATCTTCAGTCATTTTCAGAATGTGAAATACAAAGGTAGGAAAGAGAATTTCAACTGGAATTTTGCATGCCTAAGCAGTCAAATCAGAAGACTTTGTCAATTTAGGATGTGCTTGCAGTGCAGGTTACCGTATTTTTCGCCCTATAGGACGCACTTTTTCCCCTCCAAAAATGAAGGGGAAATGTGTGTGCGTCCTATGGGGCGAATGCAGGCTTTCGCTGAAGCCTGGAGAGCGAGAGGGGTCGGTGCGCACCGACCCCTCTTGCTCTCCAGGCTTCAGGAAGCTATCCGCAAGCCTTGGGAGCCCGCGGGAGTTCTCGCCGGGATCCCAAGGCTTGCGGACAGCAGCCTGCAGCCCGAAACCCGGGGAGCACAGTGGAGTGCGCCCCGGGCTTCGGGCAGCTCTCCGCAACCCTGGTGAGACCGGCGCGACTACCCGCTGGGCTCCCTAGGCTTGCGGATAGCAGCCTGCAGCCCGAAGCCTGGGGCGAGCTGAGCAGCGCGCCCGCGCTTCGGGCAGATATCCGCAAGCCTGGGGAGACCGGCGGGAACTCCCACCGGTCTCCCCAGGCTTGCAGATAGCAGCCTGTTTTGGGGGCTGGGGTCAGGGGAAGCTTGAGCTTCCCCCGCCCCAGCCCCGCGCCTGGGGGGGAAATAATTTTTTTTACTTTATTTCCCCCCCAAAAAACTAGGTGCGCCCTATGGGGCGAAAAATACGGTAATTCATTAGAAATCAGTGTGAGGTTGGTTTGCTGTATGTGGTACTGAATTGTTTATAAGCAAGTGATAACCCAAAGCAGCATAAACAAAAAATTAAAAAAGCAGCCTAACAAAATACATTCTGCTCGTTTCATCCATCGATACCATTGTCGTGCACCCACCCTGTTGTCTGCCTCACTGTCATCTCCCCACCCCTGACCTAGACAAGTTAGCTAACCTGCGGTTGAGCATGTGTCATGATGGCAATACTGGATTACTTTTGTTGCTCAGCAAAGTGTGTGTTTTGCAGCAGCCAGCCACACTGATTGGCTGTCAGAGCTGTGACCTTTAGAGCAGAACACTTTGCTTCTCTAGCTAGATGCACAGCATCAGGGGGACTGACTGGTGAAAGTGCTCATTCTGTTGCATGCACAAATTAAACCTCCTTATCTGGAATAATGGAAAAGAGGGCAAAATAAAGAATTAAGGGAATGCTGCATCCAAAAATATGCTGAGAGTTGGGCTGGCAAGAATATAGTTATTAAAAAAAGGGTGATCTTTTTCAGATCAGGAAGCCTTCATCCCAGGTTTCAATGTCCAAGATTTGCTCCCAGACAGACTGGATGAATATTACCGCTATGAAGGATCCCTGACCACACCTCCTTGCTACCCAAGTGTTCTTTGGACGGTTTTTCGAAAGCCAGTACAAATTTCAGAGGAACAGGCAAGGGTCTATAAAACATATGTTCTCAGTTAAAGTTGGTAATCTTGCCAGTAATTGTGCATGAAGTGTATACCTGCCTTCTGAGAGAGCCAGTGTGGTGTAGTGGTTAAGAGTGGTGGACTCGTAATCTGGTGAACCGGGTTCGATTCCCTGCTCCTCCACATGCAGCTGCTGGGTGACCTTGGGCTGGTCACACTTCTCTGAAGTCTCTCAGCCCCACTCACCTCACAGAGTGTTTGTTGTGGGGGAGGAAGGGAAAGGAGATTGTTAGCCGCTTTGAGACTCCTTCAGGTAGTGATAAAGCGGGATATCAAATCCAAACTACTCCTCCCCCTCCTCCTCCTCCTCCTCCTCCTCTTCTTCTTCTTCTTCTTCTTCGTTTCCCACCTACTTACACCTTTATGGATGCTGTGCACAGGCTAGACTCCTATCTACCGTCTTCGCTTTACTGTGTTGGATTCAAACTGAAGATTAAGACTGAACTTCCGCCCTAGTGTTTGAGACATGGAAAACACAGACAGGACTAATTCGTTTGACCCAGTGTGAAAAATGAAAAGAAATTGTTCTGTCATCAGTGTGTCCAGGGCTGTGCAAGCAATCAGTGGACAATATGAGAGTTGCAACCCAAGAGATCTTGGGGCACATTTAAGAAACTTGGGCAAGACCAGAATGTGTGCTGAATGTAGTGAAATGGTTGTCCACACATTCCATCACAGGCCTAGTATCCTCTGCAAAACCAAACCAAACCAAACCACCTGAAGGATAAACAGTAATGTACTAAATTGCAATCCAGGCAATGCACTCAGCAGTGGCGCAGCATGGGGGAGGCCGTGGCCCCAGGCACATTTTTAGGGGGTACAACAAGGTGCCCCTCGGCTAGCTGAGAGGGAGGGGAAGGGCACAGCTCCAAGCAGGCCTGACTTGGGGTGGAAGCAGCAGAGAGGAGAGGCAGCGGCAGCTTTGCCGCCCCTCTCCCTCACTGAGTTGGTAAGTGCAGCCCCCACCTGGCTGACTGGAAGGGTGCACACCTCCCCTGCTGCCTCCTCCTCATGGTGCCCTCCAAGCCCTGCCCCCGCCCCCCCCCCCCGGGCACTGGGAAGGCATGCTCTTCTGCTGGCACTCAACCACATTAGAACACCCACAGTTGATCTGGGTTGACATTTTTTTTAAAAGCTGTCAAGACTGAATACAAGCCCCATATGTGGCTGTTTGAAACAGCCCTAATCAAACATACTAAGAGAGCAAATTCTTCTTAATTGTGGGGGTATCCAGGTCTCTTAAAGGAGGGACATGTGCCTCTGGCTTAGTCAAGTCTGCTGTGGCAGCTGCTTTACAGAACATAAGAAGAGCCTGCTGGATCAGGCCAATGGGCCGTCTAGTTCAGCATCCTGTTCTCATTGTGGCCACCCAGATGCCTGTGGAAAACCCTCGAGCAGGATCTGAGCACAAGAGCACTCTCCCTTCCTGAGGTTTCCAGCTTTCCACAGTGCCTACTTTCCATCTGGAAATCATACCACCATTTCCACATTTTCCATATGTTACACAGTTTGCACGTTAAGAGAACAGGTGAGGTCCCTGTAGACTGGAGGTGGGCAAATGTTGTCCCCATCTTCAAAAGGGGGGAAAGTAGACCCAGGAAACTACTGACTGGTGAACTTGGCATCAATACTAGAGAAGGTCCTAAAACAGATAATTCAACAGTTTGTCTGTGAGCACTTAGAAAAGGATGCTGTGATTACTAAGACCCAGGATAGGTTTCTCAAAAATAAGTCATGTCAGGCAAACCATTTCTTTTCTGATGGAATTACAAACTTGATGAATCTAGGGAATGCTGTGGACATAGTGTATCTTAATTTCAGTAAGGCTTTTGACAAAGTCCCCCGTGATATTCTTGCAAGGAAGCTAGTAAAATGTGGATTGAATGAGTTAACTGTTGGTGGATTTGTAGCTGGTTGGTGGACTGAATCCAAAGAGTACTCATTAATGGTTCCTCATCATCCTGGGAAAAAGTGACAAGTTGGGTACTGCAGGGTTCTGCCCTGAGCCCATTGTTGTTCAACATCTTTATAAGCAACTTGGATGAGGGACTTGAGGGATGCTCATCCAATTTGCAGATGACACTAAACTAGGAGGGGTACAGAATACAGAATCAGAATTCCAAGTGACCTTAACAGATTGGAGAATTCAGTCGCTTGAATTTTGACTAGTACTGTAGAGTCAATACATCCCAGCTACAGAAACATTAAAACTAGATACTGGGAGAAATGTCTCAATTGTAATAAGGACTGGTGATGGAAGGAAAGCATGCGTTTCCTGCCACTCTGATGTCCTTAAAACTGTTGTGCTTTGCTCATAGCTGCTGGCCCTGGAAAGCACTCTGTACTGCACACAGCCTAGTGACCCTGCTCCTCTTGAAATGGTGAACAACTATAGGAGAGTCCAGGAGTTTGATGAAAGGCTGGTTTCTGTGTCCTTCCGGCAAGGTAAGCAACAGAAGATTCAAATTTCAAATTTATGCAGAGTTTAGAGTTTTATAAATTGCACCAGAGACACTTCCAAGCCAAGAACAGTTTGTTGGGTGTGTAGCATTCCCCCTTAACATGATATGAAATGGGGTGTCATTAAATACAGTTTTGTTTGTTTATCTTGCCTTCTGTTGGGGCAGCCCGACTGTATTTCCTAAAAGGCTAAAGTTGCAACAAGCGCCAGCAAGTGGATGTGGTGAACCAAAGGTGAGGTGGTCCAGGAGCTTTGCTGGCACCAGCTGAATCCTCAAGATAACCTTGGGTGTGGTGGAGATCATGGCCACCTGTGGGCTGCTCTGCTGTATAAAAGGCATTTGTGCCACTGCCTGGGTGCGGACAAGCCATCTCCTTGTTGTGGAGTTTGTCCCACAGAGTGCTGGAAGCAGGGGTTGTGAGTTTGCTTTTCCTTTAAGTAAACCTGGCGGTGTGGACAGCTTTCTTTGGGAACCTGAGTATCTGGGCCCCTGTGAGCCCTTCTCTGGCTCTGCAGGATATAACAGCAGACAAGGGTATTTTGCTGTCTGGTGATCTGCATCTAAAAGGAACCACAACTTTGCATTGCAGGAAGACACTTTCTGGGGAGTTTCAAAGGATCCGATGAAGCCATTCAGGAGAATGAGTTTGACACGTAATAAACGACTCATAACGCTGGATTGATTTAAAAAACCCACTGTCATGAGTGGAAAAATTAGCCATCTGACTGAAGTGAAATGTGAGGCAAAAATAATTGGCTGAAGATTATTATATGGTTCTAAATTATTGGCAAATCAATGCAACAATGACCTCTGTCAAAAAGAAAAAAAGGGGGAGAAGCCTTGTATTTTACTGTGGATCAGTAATGTTTTTTATTACTGTCACAGGGCTTCTTTTCTGCAAACTGAACTGCAAACTTTGTTGCTTTACAGCAAAGAAAGTATACATAATGCAGTCTTATGCATGTTTACTTTCAAATAAGCCACTGTTTTGAAAGGAGCTTATTCTGTTAATTCTGCATAGAATTTCAGCTGTAGTTTCCTGCAACTCAGGAGGGATTCTCCACTAGATTTCTGAAGAGGTCTGAAATTGTAGTACTCTAAAATCATATGGGGAAACCCCAAACTTTATTTATAATTTATTATTTATATAGCACTGACAGGGTAAACAGCAGTTAAATGCTCCAATACAGCTTTTACATGGAGCATGAACCAAGCAGCTGGCAGAAGACTTCATGTTCAAGGTGCACCAGAGAGCACTTTCAGAGACACACGCTTGCCTTGGGCCACCCCTCTGTCTTTAAGCCTGTGCTGTGCTGGGCAGGCTGGACCTCTTTGTCTGCCCATTTGCTATTCAACTAGGGCATGTAACATATAAACTAAGCTGTAGTTTATACAGCTGACCCTCCCAAAAGACAGGAAAGAAGGAAGAGAGAGATACAGGGAGATTTCCTTTCGCAACCCAGGATATTTCATGGGCCTTCAAACTTGTATATCATGAAAGCTACATTTCATTTATCCTTTGCACTTAACTAGACCAACCAAGCACTACGGTATCCATAAAAGGTTGTGGGTGTTTTTTAAGTGCTTTGCTCAAAATTGTTAATTTCTTTGAAAGTTCATATCTGGGATGCAGAATAAATCAAGTGCATAATGTGGCAACTTTGGTGGGGACATAGTCAAAATCTAGGGTATAAAAATTGTGGCAAGATGCCAAGGGCCCAGTAGTGCCAGTCTCCCAACTCAAAAGAAGCAAGTCCAAATCAAGTTCTCTGCTTCTATCATAAATGTTTACCAACAGCTGTTTCCTCTGGGTGGACATCTGTAATAGCCTCCCCTTCATGGTGAGGACGATGGCCCTTGTGTGTACTCGTCAATGTCGGACATATTTGCATCAGAAAAGGAGTGTGCTGTTCTTAGATTCCTGGCTGATGCACAGCCCATTCCCAAGCCCACAAAACACTCAAAGATGTGCTCTGATCTGTGTACACAGACCTAAGAATCCACTAAACCGGGAAAGCTGAGCTTGCCTCTGTTCCGTGGAACTCAATTGTGGAAGCCCAGTAAAGCATGTACACCTGTACATATACATGTGAATGGGGCACACATGCGTATTATACAGGTACAGAGCATCAAAATTGGTTGGAGTTTCCCATCATATGTACACACATTTACAGTCCTAAGTTTGTTGTGACATAATGTGTGAAAAGGTCCCAAATGATCTGACATGCTCAGTGTTCTGCCTTAGAAATTAACACCAATTTAAATTTGTTTGAAAAGCAAAGGCAAAAGATGGCTAATTTTTCTGTAAACAAGGTTCTTTATTCTCTCCCTAAAGAGAGAAGCAGTGAGTGGTTCTTGATAATGAGCGTTGAGGTAGCAAATAGATTGTATAATTTTATTATATATTGTATTTTTCAATTGGTCACATAACGGATTTGTAATAAAGACTGCTCTAAGCTCTGCCTTGTACAGAATCCTTCATTCAAAGGAGCAAAAAGAAAACTGAACTTAGAAAATTAGTGTTCTTAGCATCTTAGTAGGCCATGCTACTAGAAAAATCTAAATTCCAGGTACTATGTGTCAAAAAGGATGTTGACAGGCTCACACCCTCCACCATTTCTCAGTTGAATAGGACCATGCTATTATACATGGACACTGTTGATGAAATACAGGGGAAGGGGCGGGGTTAGCAGAGCTGCCCCAGTGGGACTTACCTATGTCCTGCGTGAGGAAGTACTTTTGTCCAGAATCTTCCAACATTCAGCTCCATTGGATGTCTCTGTGTTGCAGTATTAGAGAAGCATAATTTTATACACTTCTATCATGTCCCCCTTTCCTCACATTTTCTCTAATTTCTGAACAATTTTTTTTAGCCTCAAATGTTGTAACCTTTCCTCACAGTGGAGTTGCTCCAACCCTTTGATCATCCTGGCTGCCCTTTTCTGAACCCTTTTCCAGCGGTACAACATAGAAGTAGAAATACTTTATTGTCACTGTACCACTTGTTTACCACTGTACCACCCTTTTTTTCAGGTGAGGTGACCTGAACTATACACAGCATTCCAAGTGAGGTTGCATCATAGATTTGTAAAACAACGTTATGATATTGGTCAGGCTGAAAGAATGCCTTTCCAGAGGCCACTCAGTGAACTTCCTGGCTGTGGGATGTGAACCCAGGTATCATGGTCCCAGTCTGGCACTGTAATCTATGCTATATCCTTAAATCTTTACAATTGGCCTTCCTCACTGCATTCTATACCCCATTCTCAATTTTTAAAGCATATTCAAGAAGCATTATAGAAAAGACAAGTGTCAGCAATTCCACCAACACTGCATGGTCTATATCTCTAAGACATCTATTCTGAATTAATAACAATATGGTTATTAATGATCATAGAAGTCGTTATCCCTATTTATTAAATTAAGAACAGTGGAAGGAAAAGGAACAGAAAACAAAGGATGAGGCAAGGGTGAAATGCTTGGCAGTCGAGGGCTGGAATTTCAGAATTACTTAAAAAACACAGATATGGGATTGTCACTTTCAAATTGACTATTTGTTGTATTTTTTCTAGATAGAATCCCAGGAGCATGGTTCTAGATTCATCTGAGATCCCACTATAGTATATTATATTTGCATAATATATATTGAATTCAAAGAGGAAAGCAAAAAGGCATCCATACCATTTTTTTTTTTACTTGTTAGATTAAGAAGTTGTATCTCTCTCTCCCCACAAGAGAAATTACTTTTAAAAAGCAGAGTATTGTGGTACACGGCCAAGAAAAGCATTTTCTAAAATAGATGTGCATGTCTTGAAGGTGCTACACATTTTGGGGGGGGGGGGTTGGTTTTGCCACAACCAGTTCATAGGGCTACCTCTCTAGAATGTAATGTGGGGGTGAAAGAATGTTTTGTGAATCCACACATTTAACAGTGGGCATTGGAACAGGTACACCACCTAAAAGTATTTTAGATTAGCATTCAATAAATGCATTTGTTTTAAAGTATGTATCAATTTGGCTCTGCTGAAGGTTCTTCTGAGCTTCCTTGTGGTGAAACCCTCAAAAGACCGCAGGTGGCTTTTGAGAGACATTCATTTTACACTTTTTGGACTTCTCTTTGATTTTTTTTTTAAAAGATATTTATTAAAATTTTCAAAATATTACAAAATGAAAAAAGAAAAAAGAAAAATACAAAATAAAAGTAGTTAAAAACAACTCAATCTTTCCGTTACTTATCTTTCATTAGCTTGTTTCCCGGACCTCCTCACGCCTCCCTTTTTTGTATTCCAGTTCAATTTGTTAGTTCAGCAAATCCTTCCCCTCTTTGTTTGTCCTAGTCTTTAATCTTAAAATATTATAACATTAAATTTTTACCTGTTAGTAATCCATTTTTCATATTCCCTTATAGTATTACAGCTAAAAACCACTTAATTTCTATCCAACATCATTCTAACATTCATTAATTTTACAATATTTCTGTAAATAGTTGTTGAACTTTTTCCAATCTTCTTCCACCGACTCTTCTCCCTGGTCTCGGATTCTGCCAGTCATTTCCGCCAATTCCATATAGTCCATCACCTTCATCTGCCATTCTTCCAGGGTGGGTAGGACTTCTCTTTGATTTTTAACCTCTGGGGGATGCTGAAGATGCCTGCTGCAATTAACTTTCAGCCTAACAGATGGAAGATAACGGAAACTCTTGAGTCTCTGGATCCAGACTCCATCTGGACAGGTAGAAATGAAAGTCCAGCAAGCAGTATGTCTAAATCCACTGCCCAGAAACAAAAGAGGCCAACACAGTATATGCTTGCAGTGGTTTGGCTGGCAGTACTTGAACACACTGTTTAGACTTTCATTTCTCTAGTACTGGTGGTTGCTGCATGAGTATTTGTGTTTGTTGTGCTGATGTGACATTGTGAAGGTTGCATTTGTCAGCACTGTCTCATTACTGCCTGGGCTCTGCATGCAGTTAGTTATTTGCCTGTTCCAATATAACTCCTTTCTGTTGATGACAGGAAATGATTTGGCATATTTATATTTTTCAGCATTTGGATTCATAGCAGGTGACCCTGGGGGTACCTATTTCCATTCAAATCTGTGCTCATATCATGCTTCAGCACAAAAATATCTTTCTTCCAATCAGTCCTCTTGATAGTTATTGCCTGTACGAGAGCACTCAGGATTGATCACATATGGAGTACCTGCAAAGTATTATTAAGTCTTGACAAACAATTTCATACATGATCATCAACTGGCTTATAGTTTCAATTTCCTCTGTACAATTTAGAAATTGGAATATCCTGTTGTCCAGACATGAGTAACGTCTGCCATTCCTAATTCCTGATCCTCAATATAAAAGTGACTTATTGGGTCACATGCATGACTTGCACACTGAAGTATACAAACCTGTTGAGAAGTGTGCATTACATATTTGCAGGAAAATCACTTGCTGATGTCACCCTGTGCTTAGATTGCAAAGTGTAATATGCAAGTGATGCTGCGTACACACAATATATTTAAAGCACATTCCCCACTTCTAGGACCCGTAGATTGCTAAGTGTGCTGGGAATTGTAGCTCTGGGAGATGTTAGCCACAGTTCCCAAGATTTTTGGGGTGTGTGTGTGGAGATATGTGCTTAAAATGTATAGTGTCTATGAAGCATCAGTTAGGAGTTAGGGAGAAGCACAAGTAGAAATGTACCGGTAATATCTTTTGTAATACTGCTTCTCTCTGTCTTGCATGGAAGTGAAGTTTCAATCTCAGTTAATTGCATTTGCTTGACTGCCTGCTTTGTCAATAGTGCCCTCTTCTAAGGTACTGGCTGTCAAACCCAACAATCTAACTTCTAATTAGCAACCTTTGTATCCTTTAATGCTTTGTGGGCAGTCACGTTTAGTTTATTATCCATGGCATTTATCAAAAAATGGCTGATCATTATTTTTCCTATTTTTCAAATGGGAAACTGAGGTGAGAAGCTGCCTTTCGCAGTAGAGATGGAACATACCGTCATGACTAATAGCCTTATCCTCAATGAATTTGTCTAATCCTTTTTTCTTTTCTTTTTTTTGAGCCATCCAGGTTGGCAGCTATCACTATATATTGTATGGGTGAAATCCATAATTTAACACTGCACAAAAAAACCTCTGTATTCTCCTTTGAGGGCCTCAGTACAGGCTGCTAAGAGTGAAGGCAATTATAGCATCACAACAGGTTAGGGACAAGTTATTCAATTACAATGTTTTACTCATAACTGCCTGCTTCTCTCTCCTTCCTTGCCCCACCCTAGGTTTTGTCCCATTTGTTGTATTAGCCAGTAGCCTTGGCAGTGTCTTCATTCTTGTGGTAGCCTTTTGGCTGATTCGAAGGAAGAAGAGGTAAGACGGTTACTGTCATTCCATGGGATGTTAGTTTAGAGTCATGGTTCTTCAGCTAGATTGTCCTGTACAATTAGCAGATGAAACCAATTTCAGTAGTCTTACTACAGACTTACTCTGGTACTGTACCACACAAATTGTCTTTCTCCCAGTGTCCTTACCCTGCCCACCCTCACTGGAGCCATTCGGGCCATGAGTCCAAACCACCCCCTGCTCCACTATTCATAGCATCAATAGATTAGAACATCTACTTTAACCATTGTCTGTGTAGGAAAAGTCCGCCCTTTCATGACTTCAATTCAGAGAACAATATAACAGGGCTTTAAAATAATTGCTGATATTCTTCAATTGCAATTTCAGCTTTGAGTAACCCAGTTGTTCTGCTTTTCAGCATCAAACAAACAAGGGAAGAAAAAGGGGTCATCTACAAGCCAGCGATCAGCAAAGAGGAGAATATTTCCAAAGCATAAGCTTCTGTTGAGTTACCTTAGTAGCCACTCATTCACTGCTTTCTCAAACATTTGCACTGTTTTCTCTTGCTTTATCACTCAAATCTGCTGGATTATTTTTGCCTGAGCACAAAAAGAGACAATAACAAACTTAGTTGGCCTCTAAGGTGCTACTGGAAGGAATTTTTTTATTTTGTTTTGACTACGGCAGACCAACACGGCTACCTACCTGTAACAAAAAGTGCTATAGTTTGAAGAAAGCTTTTCATGTGTATGAAAATGTGACTCCCCTCCCCCTATCAGAAAACCAGTGCTGCTAATGTTAAGGAATCACCTGTATTTAGGGAGCAGATGACATTATTGGTGCCAGATTGAAAGATTGTGTCAATAATAGAATTGGAACAGTGGGAAATATTGAGAGGAAAATGAGCAAATTTGGATAGAAAACCTGCTTTGGATGCAGGTTTCCCAGTGCCAGTTTTAAGCAGTTTATAGGTCAGGGGTCAGGTATTTTCAAATAAAACAGGTCAAATAAAACTCTCATTTCCTCTGAGACTATAATGAGCTCCATTAGGTTCAGGCTAAAGAAATCTTGTTTCCTCCTAGTAGTTATCGCTAGTGACAACAGGTAGAAGCCACAAATTTGTACATAAACAAAAACACTATGTATACATAATCTGTAATTTCAACTTTATATAGCAGCATGTAATAAATATTTTTATTAAGAGTTTTTGTGGCAACTCCCATTTGTCTTCAATCATTTATCGTTTTATAAATATATCAGACAAAATTATTCTCCTGAATAGAAGCCAGGCAATGTTTCCCTGTATTTCCTGAGCTCTCAGCTGACCAGGTGATGCTCATGTAATCCACAGCAAGGAATTCTGCTTTTCACCCATTCCACAGCAAGGAATGCCTGGCAGCCCTTATAGTGCAGATATTACCGTAATTGCTCCCAAGGCATACTGGGGCTTGTTCTCAAACTGTGTTCCGGGGAACCCCATTGGTTCATCAACAAAGAAAATCAATCGTATTAATGGACAACCTTCTGAAAGACAGGTGGCCTGCCACCATCAACGCACCCCTGCAATGCCAGCTGCAACTGAGTGCTGAGTTTGTTCTCGCTGTACTCTCTGTTCCTGCAAGGTTGAGCATATTTACTCAGACATACCATATTTATTTATTATTATTATTATTATTATTATTATTATTATTATTTTGGACGCGGGTGGCGCTGTGGGTTAAACCACAGAGACTAGGACTTGCCGATCAGAAGGTTGGCGGTTCGAATCCCCGCAACGGGGTGAGCTCCCGTTGCTCGGTCCCAGCTCCTGCCAACCTAGCAGTTCAAAAGCACGTCAAAGTGCAAGTAGATAAATAGGTACCGCTCTGGTGGGAAGGTAAACGGCGTTTCCGTGCACTGCTCTGGTTCGCCAGAAGCGGCTTAGTCATGCTGGCCACATGACCCGGAAGCTGTACACCGGCTCCCTCGGCCAGTAAAGTAAGATGAGCGCCGCAACCCCAGAGTCGATCATGACTGGACCTAATGGTCAGGGGTCCCTTTACCTTTACCTACTGTAACTTCTAGGGACGCAGGTGGCGCTGTGGGTAAAACCTCAGCGCCTAGGACTTGCCGATCGCATGGTCGGCGGTTCGAATCCCCGCGGCGGGGTGAGCTCCCGTCGTTCGGTCCCAGCTCCTGCCCACCTAACAGTTCGAAAGCACAATAAAGTGCAAGTAGATAAATAGGGACCGCTTTCTAGCGGGAAGGTAAACGGCGTTCCGTGTGCTACTCTGGTGCCGGTTCGCTGGAGCAGCTTCGTCACACTGGCCACGTGACCCGGAAGTGTCTGCGGACAGCGCTGGCTCCCGGCCTATAGAGTGAGATGAGCGCACAACCCTAGAGTCTGTCAAGACTGGCCCGTACGGGCAGGGGTACCTTTACCTTTACCTTTACTGTAACTTCTACTTATTTCAGTGTTGGTAACCCATGAGCAAGTGTGCATAATATTACAGTAATATTACAGTAAGTAACTGGAATCTTTCAGTGACTACACCATTGGCATCCTGTGTCTTCCATGATATCTCAGAAACACGAGTGAAAATGTCAGTGAGACTGCTTGGCCTCCATTCTTAATTAAATGGGGACTCGCACCTGAGGTGTTGCACCCGCACTCCTGGCAGTGGTACAGTCCACCCACTAGTGAGTCAGGAGCAGCTTATACTGGTGCTTTGCCGTCTGCAGCTCTGCCCTGTTATTTTCCATGCACAATTCAAGGTGCTGCTTATAAAGCCCTAAGTCCCAGCATCATAGTTCCCCTGTTAATATCTCCAGTATTAACGTAGACAGGCCAGGGTTGAAGTCAGGGGGCCTTTCAGAAGTATTTTAAGACCTACTTGTTTGTCAACAAAGGAAGGGGCGAATTTATTTCAATTAGTCAGTCATCACTGGCCAGGGCAGTGATGGATGTCCTTTGTTAGCTGCTCAGAGCCTCCAGGTCTGGTGGACCACAAATTTAAGCATATAAGGAAACGAATATTCATGGGCCACAATTCAATACAGAGTGAAGCATGCTTAAGTTTACAGCTCTCTGTGGTGTTCCTTGTGCTTTCTGGTAGATTGTGCTTTGTGTTAATTAGTTGGTGGGTCATTGGGGGGGCTCTCACATAGCTATGGGGGGGGGGGCTAGCCAGTTTTTTTTTTTTGTCTTGGGTGAAGCCTCCAGAGGGGTGCCATTGATGCTTCCAGCCTGTGCGTGTATGCAAATGTGTGTGGGGTGTGTGTGTGTGTGTGTGTGTGTGTGTCAAACTGGGTTGTTGACGTGGGTGAAATAAAGACTAGTTTCACCCCTCCTTGTACATAGTCACAACTGCATTTCCGCACAGCAGCTTGGTCCTCTCTCGTGCATGGTTGAGTATTTACATAGCCCAAGTTCACCTACTGAGGGAATAACATTATATACCATATTGAATCCGATACAGGATTTGCTTTCAGCCGCCAAACACAAATGTTGGAATTGGCCACGGATTAATTTTCCTGGGGTGAAGCTGACAGGAAAGCTGAAAAATGTAAACAGAGAGATGTCTTGTTCTGACTGGTTGTGTTTTCCCCCCGATATGTGTACCTCCTATAGCAATAATTACAAAAACACTTCCACACAAATATTATTCAAGAGCTGAGCCACAACCAAAATAGGAGTAGGGCAAATTGCTGTTGGAGTCAGACCACAAAGAAGACTAATTCCCACCACACAATGTGTCCACAGCTGGCACATCAGACAGCTCCCAGCGCTCTAATCCTACGATGACACTTGACACACAGTACAGTGGTACCTCGGGTTAAGTACTTAATTCGTTCCGGAGGTCCGTTCTTAACCTGAAACTGTTCTTAACCTGAAGCACCACTTTAGCTAATGGGGCCTCCTGCTGCCGCCGCGCCACCAGAGCCCAATTTCTGTTCTCATCCTAAAGCAAAGTTCTTAACCTGAAGCACTATTTCTGGGTTAGTGGAGTCTGTAACCTGAAGCGTATGTAACCCGAGGTACCACTGTAATCGTTCTCCTGCTTTACTCTTCTGGATGTGAGCAATGGAAAGGGAGGAAGCATCCCTCTCTGGTACTATTTACTTAGTTGCCTGGGATTTCGAGTTTCACTATCTTACTATTCTTAGAGCACTAAAGCAATTCAGATGAAGTTGCAAAAGAGGAATTAAGAGCCTGGGTGCAATTACTGCTTCAGAAACCTTCAGCCTTAGCTTTCAGTAATCCAGGGCATTCCCTTATGGGCAAGCTTCCCGATGCCCCCATGACGGGGCCAAAGGCTAAAAATGTGCAAAGCAGCAGATGTGATTCTTACCTTTGTACAGTAGGGTATATTGCACCCACACTCCAAACACACACCTGGACACATACAAACAGCTCTCCATCCAGAAAAGCAAGAGGCATTATCCTAGTTCAAGATACCTTCATCTGTCATGGATACTTTAGTTGAGATTCCTGCTGTAGCAGATCCACCGCTTACTACTAATTAATAGTGAGTGGACTCACCCCGCTAACTGCCCCCAATTAAATATAGCACACACTGTATGCCAATCACATAAGTTTTACCATTTACCATATCAGGCAGGAGTTGATCAAGCAAAGTGAAAAGTTTTATTAAGCAAAAAGAAATTTGTGAAACAAAGTGGGGTCAGGAATTGCATACTGTCTGTTAGAAGTTTGCTTTAACTACAGTATAAGATGTCTCACAGCTTCTCTTAACCTCTCCTTACTCAAAATCAGTTGCTACACTTCAGTTTCTGTTACTAACTCTTCTGTTATCTAACTTCTCCCTCAGAAATGGCTCCATTTATATTACCCCTCCATCCCGCAAAGTGCTGCCCCCCCCCCGTGGCTAGCAGACTCTGTAGCCAATCAGAGAGAGGCTCCTGCCCTCTGGTGGAATTTCAGGGGGACTGCACCACCAGACTCTGGTCTGGTTTTGCTGCCTGCCATATCTGCATTGCAGGGGGTTGGACTAGATGACCCATGGGATCCCTTCTAACTCTAAAATTCTGTCTCCACCTGGGCAACTGCACTTGAGAAGGGTGTGGAACAAGGCTGGCGACCTTGGGACTGCCTTGAGGGCCAAACACCTTAGAGGGCTACACTTGGCCTCCAGGCCTGAGTTTCTGCACCCTAGCGCAAAGTAATCATTGGAAAGTAGCCACACCACCCAATTAAAAGAGAAGACAGGGAGTTCATTAAATGGATTATGAATAAGCAAGATAATTTGTTTGTATCACATTATGATGACAATATGCCAATGTTATGAGAAAAAACTGCTCCTTTTCCATTGGGGTACCCAAGAACCCATATAGAGTCCTTTTGTAGGTTCTCTATTGGTAGGAGAAATAACAGAGGCCAACTAGAGAATATTGAAAAGCAAAGCAGCTATTAAGCCTGATCTTTATTAAGCTCTTGCAACAGGGTCCTCACTCACCACAAGCAGGAAAGAGGAGGAACCCAGAACAAAGGTGTGCCCGCCCTTATATAGACTTTGGAAATTGCCCACCCTCAAACTCCAGACCACCACCAGAAACATTATACATACAACACAGAATGGGTGTAGCCCAGGACAGCTTCCCCCAATACATCATACATACATCACAGAAGGGGTGGTCTAAAACAGAATCCTGAGTGTGTTATCTCCTGTCTGGCAGGTTACCTGATTGCAGTATCTGGGTTTTGGCCACTCCTTCGTTATAATAACTACTTAATTCCCGAATCCAGGTCACAGGTCACAGGCTCACCCTATTCACATCTTAAATGTGCCCTTAAGGCAGAATTTGTGAGCATAGAGACAATGGGGAGGTTTTTTCCCATTTACTCAACCTTGCAGAGAAATATTTGAGGTCATTTTGGGAAAGAGAAAATTGTTTCAGGACTTTTCTGTGGGTTTCAGACATGTGGTTTACATATTTGTATGTGTTTGCTTGGTACAGTACATTTATGAACATTCTCTCTCTCTCTCTCTCTCTCTCTCTCTCTCTATATATATATATATGATGGTGTGTGTTTGTGTGTGATTTTAAAATTCTTATAACACCAACATAAAACAAAAACAAAAGCAACCTGCCATGCTTATGATGAGCCGCTTCGCAAATACATTGTAAATTAAGACTCCTAGTGGTTTCAAGCCTGCTCCTTGGGAGAAAGGCAATGGCAAACCTAGACAGCATCTTA